TCAATAATGTATTTCATACGGTCAATCCACATAATTTATACCTTTTTAAAATAGGCCAGAAAGCTTCCTTCCAATTCTTCACATCAACCTCAATCAACTTGAGCTAGATCCAGAGCTTCACTGCAATGTACAATTAGTTTGCCGAACCAGATCTCGGATGTCTTCATGCTCCGTCGTCACTTCATGCAGTGTTCAAGATGCGCAGGCGGGACTTTCCTAATCTGTACTTTAAAACACGAGTCGGGCATTGCAGCGGCAGTCCCTTGAAGAGATGAACCCCGCCGCGCGGACGACTTTGTCAAATGTTGGTCCTGTGATTGAGGTTGAGGATGATGCAGAGTTTGTGAAACTTTGCTTTCTTATACTCGAAATTATTCTAATTATTGGCGGGCCTGGCAACTTCGCACAGGTCTGCAGAAACGGCAGCAGACGTGTTTCTGGTGGCGGGATTGGTGATGCTATGAGCTTTTATCTGGTGAATAGTCAGTCTGTCACCTTAGCTGTCTGTTATCCGACTCTGTCATCTTTGATCACCACTGCCATCTCCGTCTACGTTCTGAACACAATCATTATTTTCTATGGAGCATCTGCGTCTGTCCGCAGTTCGAGGAATATTGCCGAAGATTTGAGTTCGACTCACTCAAACAGGTTTTAACCTGTGACCCTTACTAGAACTCTAATTTACAATCTTATGTGATTCACCCAAAGCCTCAGTTCATCATTTACAAACACTTGGGTGAATAATTTCCATTGTATGCCGACCGTCCACATTTTGCCTGCTCCGGGTTACAGGCAATCTACAGCTGATGCTGCGCGTTGTTTGCCAGACGCTGACAAACCACTCAGTGGAGGTTTCCTTCAAGAAAGACAATTGCAGCCTCTCGGTCATATTGATGGAATTTTGCATCGGAAATCGCTGCCACCGCGGTTTCTCGAAAACAGCAATCTTACTACATCATGGTGTCTCTGGTCTCAGAAAGGGCAATCAAAGCTCACTCACAGGGAAGAGCGAAGCTTCAGGGTAGAGCATGAAAGACATTTGCAGCAGGAGATGAGAGTTTTACAGCTGCCACAAGTCTTCCATTGTCAGCGTGCTTCAGTATTCTCAGGTCTTCAGTCACATGGGTCCTGACACGGCCTTGAATTTGTCCTGAGAAACTGCGCATAAATGACCAAAGATTTGCAAAACACACAAAGACTGAAGAGGTGCAGCCTTTCCGTGATATTGATGGAATTATGCATCGGAAATCGCTGCCACAGCAGTTTCTCGAAAACAGCAATCTTACGACATAATGGTGTCTCTGGTTTCAGAAAGTGCAACCAAACCTTCGCTACCAAGGGAGCTCTCGCAGCAGGACCGAGAGGAATTGTCAATCACAAACAGTGAGGGGTATGCACAATGAGGCCCTTCTGTTCCACAGAAGCCACCGATTTCTTCCATTTCCATTCGCCGCGAGTTAATGGAGGATCGATCTTTCAACTCTACGCGATAAACGCGAAGCAGATATGAACCTCTCGCACACTCGCACACCACTCACTCATCGGTGGCGTCAGAAGCCTTCCAGGAATCTCCCACTCGCACATTGGCAGCCCATCTGCGGGCACTGGGCTGCTTCTCGACCATCCCCTCTGGGTGAGTTCGTCAGGTGAAGCCTGTAATCTACATTATTTTGGCATTATAGCTGCGGGAACAGTTAGAATCCAATAATAATACATGAATAGAACAGAGTATCTGTTAAGCGTGAAGTAACACATCTACCATGTTTCTGCTTGTTAGTTAAGAAATAGAATTAATGAAAATAACACATAGACAATTCATCTGTTTATTTGCCGTCCCATCAATCCAAAACTAATGTAATGCATAGTGAAATAAGATTTCATCTCATTGGTTTAAGAGTCAATGAGTATTTCTTTGTGTTCATGATCTAACAGATTTCATTGAGATTGATGGAGCTGACTTGAAATGTGTGTTAAGTGAATTAGATGGTGCAGTCACAACTATGTTGATTTTTTAATATTTGGGAGTATGATATGTTTCATGTTTGACACCTCTTTTGAACAAAATGTCTAGTAGGCAATAGTAATGTACTCGTACCAATTAACCAGGTGGACTTTTGTGACAATGTGAATTGCAGTTATAGGACTGAAAAAGTATAATTATAGCTCCGGATATCCTTATCTTAAACCCAATAATATCAAATTATGTTATGGATAAGATGTCTGCTTAGTTTAAGAGTGATCTAAACTCCAATTGGAAGCTGTTGCTCTACAATTGTATTTATGATAATATGTGCCTGTTATGTTTCACGTGCATGAGCAATATAGATTAGGTGGCCTTCCCTGTAGAGTAGCAGACAAATTAGGTGGATTAACTTGCATACTCAATATACATCTTGTGCATAAATCATTCCGAATAACACTTTCTCGTGTGATTCATTGACTCCACATTACCCTATGCAGAGTAATAAGAAATTATGGTTAGATTGCAGCAATTTTGAGCGTTCAATGGACGAGGCTATTGCTTTTGTCAGGGACATGATCAACTAAATTGTCGTTTGCACAGTTGTAAATAGTATCATAAACAAGAACAATGATGGACTTAACCATGTTAAATTTTCTTATAAATTGAATGATGAGAATAATCTTGACGAATCATTCTTATCTGGCATTTAGCATCAGAATTATTTCTTAAGTCATGTATACCGCACAGTTTCCCTTGATTTGCAAGCAACTTCGAAAAAATGTTTCTTGAGAGGTTTGACGTTGAGCTCAGCAAGTATCATGCTGGTTCTATCAACTTCTATAAAACGCGATAAACAAGCAAGAGTGTGCGTAGCATTGACGAAATTCGATATCAATTTCATGTTTGAGGTGTACAGGACTCAAGAGTCTAGAACTATGCATGAGCTCACATGCTTGAAAGTTGAGCTAGAAGAAAAATCATATCAGCAATCGAGAACCTAGATTGCGCTTCTACTCTGTTCAAAGTTATTAGAGATAATGTTTAGTGAACTTCCATATACCTTACCAGTTTGTTCCGAACCTACAAGAGATGTAGAGTTATATAGACTACTGTACCGATATTTAAAGAAAAGAGAAAGCACAAGAAGCATTGTCGACCAGGCCTACAGCGCATGTGCCACTGAGTTGTCAGAATCATCCACTTTCTTGCATAGATTAAAATAGAAGATGAACTTTGACATGTTCGTTGTCAGGTGACGACATGGAGTGTATCATCACACTGATGCATTCAGTGTATCCTGTTGGTTGCACAACAAAGTCAAGATCTACTTGACTTTCTAACACCATTGTCCAATCGTAGAGGAGGGAGGAGCAGGCTTTTTGAGATAGAATATTGTCGCTCCCTTGATCCTCACACTTTTCAATGACGAGATCCGATTGAAGACGGTGCATGCTCTTTCCCCACTTTTAGATATGAATGTGCTTTTAATCACATAAATAATGTGAAATACAAATAACCTAACGTTATTTGTTTGACAATCAAATAAACCATCATCACCACTAACAATAATGACTTTGCTTCCAAAAGTTTCTTGAAAGATTGCTCTCAATGTTTAGAAACAACAAATAACTCAAACAAAAATATCAATTTTACTTTTAATGTTTGTATCATTTGACTTCTAAAACCTCATGATTTTTCTTTCGAAATGAATTTCGAATAAAATATTAATTACCATGTAGTTTACATCCAGAAATACTTTGTTACAAAGATATATATTAATTATATATATAAGTTTGATTGAGAACTAATACTTGATGTCCATATATATTATCCTAATCCAAATTTTCATTATTTACACTAAGTATAGGATAAAAATATGAAATAAAACTTAAAACATAGGTTTATTTCTTTTCAAGAATTGTTCAAATTTTTCAATTTTCTTTTCAACATTTTAATCAATTATAGATCAAAATACTTAAGCACAAAACGTTTAGTGAACAAAATTTATATGATGAAATTTAAGCTATCATACAAAATTTGAATATATAAATGATATACTAATTGCAAGAATCTTTATTGATGTGTTTTTCAAATAAAAAAAAACCTTCACACTATGCAACTTCAAGTTTATGAGTCAATAATTTGAATTTAAAAGATTATTTGTCTTTTAAATAAAACTTTCTGCAATGCAATCAGAAATGTTCTATTCGGATTTATACTGAAACATGCTCTCATTCTCACTAACACCCCTAAATCCAAAATCTTCATGTATAAAAGAAGTCAAAAATAGTTGAAAATATATATTCTACTATTTTATTTAAATTAATAAAAAAATACTTTCATTATAATTATATAATTTAATGCACGAAAATATTGAAATGTATGATTAACTATCTAAAAAAGCAATATTTGGCAACATATCATTCATTCACAAAACCATCATATTTAGCTTATTCATATATGCAATTTTTTACAATTATAAAATTGGATCCATTGCAGGAGGGATACGTTGGGATCGTGAAAGCCATGCTTAAAGTGACCAGGCTGTCATCTTAGCAGCACGAATTCATCATGCGATCTCTGTATTCACAGTCATTCATTTTGGCTTTGCAAACTCACCATAAAAAAAAAACTCCAAACTGTGCATGCATTCACATACTTGACACAGCTGGGGTAGAAGAACGATCGTACCAGCAGTTGATAACCTCGAGTACTGGTATCCTCTGTACACAGTTCTTCGATACCATAGTTAGTAAAATCCCAAAAAGCTTGTCAGTTTTTTCTGATCCTACAAGTTATTTACAATTATGTGCACAACTGTTCTGGGTCAAAAGTAAGAAAAAACGTAACATGCTTATTACAGCTGACTACGCATGTGCCACTCAGCTGTCAGAATAGGTCCACTTGCTCGAACTGATCGAACATGCCACATAAATGGATTAATAAAGAAGAAAGTTGTAATGGAAGTTGTCAACGTGACGTCATCGAGAATATCATCACACTGACGCATTCACCCACGTTTCCTCCCCCACGTTTCCTCTCCGCTTGCGCAACAAAGTCAAGATCTACTCTGACCTTCTAACACCATGTTTCAATCACAGAGTATGAAAGAACACGATTTTTGTGTTCAAATGTTGTCATTGCCTTGATCGCTCACACGATTCAATGAGAAGATCTGATTGAAGAGGATGCATACTTTTTCCCCGTGCTAGCCATCGTAGTGTCTGTCTTCCCGTTGGTATTGATGCAGCTAGATTCGCAGTCTCCCAGTACAACTGTCGATTCAGTTTTTCTACAACCCAGAGTTCGTCACATCTGAGAAATCTATGACCTTTTGCTTTCCCATCGCGCCATCTTTGCTGAGAACTTGATTTCAGGTACTTATGCAGAGCTATAATCTTGTCCACTCACTTCGATCACTAGTGCACATGGAACCCTGATAGACGTGAAGTCTTTTTTGCCACACGGTCTACGATTTAGGTTGGTACTAGAATCCTGGTATTCTGTGTCAATTTTGATTCCCATCGCTTGTTCCGAGCTCGAGCATCCTCCTGCTTCCACTTTGCACAATCTCCAATCTCCCTGAGTTCGTGTTGATTGCTCATGATCTGCGTATCGGCAGATCTCGGAGTGATATTTCTGTTGCTACTTGTGCGCAGTGCAAGAGAATTCATGCCCAGCACGTTCATGTGACACTGCGAAGGGAAGACCAGTTTTCTTCGGGAGAGCCGGGCTTTCGGATTGAAGAGAGGGCCTCCTGTACGCGTTGAAGGAGAGAGCAGGAGAGAAAGGAAGGGGCAGGTGCGTCCATCGTCTGTCACGCTGCTGCACTTGCGACACGACTTGTGGAATGGACTCCGCACGAGAGGAACCGGAGCTTCCCTCCGCCATCCAGGACCTTCTACAGCGTCTGGAAGGACAAGGCAGGCCTATAACGGAGCTTCCCGTTTTACTCGGGCCAGAATTTCGGGAGTTCTTTCCTTGGGAGCGTGCATCACTTTCGACAATCACAGGGTGGCGAAGCCAAGTGCGCCTTCGAGTGCTGGAGGCAATCGGCAACTGCAACACCTTTGAGAGTCTGAAAGTGGGAGACATTTGTGGGGGAGATATATCGAGGTTGACGGCAAGCGAGTGGGAGATCGTTTTCAGAGGTTTCAGGTCAAGCACCGCTCTACGATCGATAAGAGTTGGAGTTGAAGAAAGAGGCTTGAAATGGAGTTCAGACGCGGAAGTGGAGAGCTGGTGTTTAGAGCTGGGGAGAATTCTGAATTCTTCTAGCGTTACAATTTTAAAAGTGCACGAGAGCAGATTGAGTGCCAGATGTTGGTCGAATCTCGCCTCAGGACTGCGAGGACATTCCGATTCTAAACTCCAGTCTTTGATTGTATGGGAGGCGTGGGAGGACGAGAGTGCGGTGAAGCATGTGGCTGAGATGATCAACAGTGCTCCTCTATTAGAAACGTTGGACTTAGATCATTGGGAGTACATGAACATGAAGGACGAGACCGTTGGAATCCTGTCCCAGGCGTTGATCCAGAGCTCGTCGTTGAAGGTATTGGTCCTGAGAGGCCAGGTGAAGTGGGGAGGGCCCTTGTTGCTGAAAGCATTGGCCGGAGACGATCGCAACCGATCCATTGAACGTCTTGAACTAGCGTTTATGGATGGAATCGGAGACTGTTTAGGGAAAATTCTTATTTCCAACCCATCAATGAAGAAAGTGGAGTTGCCCAACTTGCAGATGAGTTCTGAGGAATGGCACCAGCTCGGCGAAGTCATACGTGACAATGCTATAGCCACAACTATATATGTTAGCTTTTATGGTGATGACGACTGGAAGTCAATAGAAGCTCTTGCTGGTTCTGCTAGCTCCGATGTCAATGACCCCACGCTGGAGCTTAAGAAATATACTGAGAGGGAAGATGACCTGATGTTATCATTAAACCTACTAGGTAGGGTACTGCGCGGGGAAATCAAATCGGTAAAATCTCTGGAAATAGAAACGCCAAGATCTGGCGGAAGTATCAGTTTCAGTATCCTCCCGATGAATGGCAAAACTGGAGAAACCTCAGTCCAGAAGAGACTGAGATTATCTGTTCGAAGCGAAGATCTTTCGAAGGGAGTATGGGAGGAGCTGCTTCGGTGCATGCGAGGGAACCACCTCACTCACTTGGATTTGTCTGGCTCCGCATTCGACGAGGAGGCGTTCAAGGACGTGATTGGAGTACTAGGTAGGGTACTGCGCGGGGAAATCAAATCGGTAAAATCTCTGGAAATAGAAACGCCAAGTTCTGGCGGAAGTATCAGTTTCAGTATCCTCCCGATGAATGGCAAAACTGGAGAAACCTCAGTCCAGAAGAGACTGAAAATATCTGTTCGAAGCCAAGATCTTTCGAAGGGAGAATGGGAGGAGCTGCTTCGGTGCATGCGAGAGAACCACCTCACTCACTTGGATTTGTCTGACTCCGAACTCGACGAGGAGGCGTTCAGGGACGTGATGGGAGTACTGGAGAGCCAAGTGAACTTGGGTCTCCAGGAAATCGACGTCTCACGAACATCGTGGGCAAGGGACGGAAAGACGGCGCAGATTCAACAGGCCCTGCAGCATAACAAGGAGCGGGCCGGCTACATGTCCGTGTTCCGAGAAGCCAACTTAACATTCGGAGATGCAAAAGCTGGCCGACTCTTCTTATGCGGCTCTCCTCGAGCAGGTAAGATGCGCTGTCTCAGTCTTTTCCTGAATGTAGGCCAACTAGCAATCTATGGTTTAACTTTTCTAAAACTAAGATTGACACTACAAATGCTATTTTGATCTAAATATAATGATGCGTGTATACAAATAGTAATGGAAAGAAAAAAAAATCAAATATGTAAATCATTAATTATGTAACTTCGATTATTTTGGTGATTTTTTCTTTTTTCAATCAAATTTATCTTCACATATTGAATCAATATCATGTCATATTGTATTTCAAGAATATCAATTCAAATCATTTGTGAAAATATCGTTAATAACAAGCTCTGTATTTTGTGAATTTTTTTTCCAAAATGCAGGCAAGACTCAATTGCGTAAAACCTTGATGAGGATAAATCAAGGCAAAAGCTGGCTAGGCAATAAATTGGAGTCATTGTTTAGAACCAAAGGCATTGAGGTGGAGTTTTTGGTAAACAATGACAATATGCAAATCTCAGTTTGGGATCTTGCAGGACAATGGATTTTCCGTACCCTTCAAACTGTACTCTTCCCTCAAACCTACAATTTTTGTGTTTTTCTTTTTGTGTATAGCCCTTTATGTGAAGAAACATCTTCAATCAAACCAGAATCTTGTTTCAGAACTGAGTTGGAAGAGTGGTTGAGTTTTATCACATCTAGCACCAAGGTCACGGGGCGTGATCTTCCCCAAGTTATTGTTGTGATTTCTCACAAGGATAAAGCCAAATCTAGCTCTTTGAGATGGGCTCACACCATAGTGGAAGAATTGACTAAAAGATTCACAAAATTTGTGGATCTTCGACCTATTCAAGAGTGTTTCTATGTGGATGCTAGAAAGAAGAAGCAAGTTAGCTCTCTTAACAGACACATTTTTGAGAATTTCCACAAGTTGTTGAAAGAGAAATCTCCACAGGTTCCCGATTTGTGTTTACAACTCACCTCTCTCTTGGTTACAGAAACCAAGAAGAACGAAAGTTTTCCTTTGTGGCCAACCAAAAAGTTTTATGATTTCTGTGCTCCACACTTAACAAGCTTTGTTCCATCATTTTCTATTCATTCTGATAATCATTCCAGGATAATAAAATCTATTATATCCTATTTGAATGATGTTGGATCCATCATTCACATCTCCAACCTTGATTACATCATTGTCAATCCCAACTGGCTCACCAATACCTTTTTAGGTGAGTTGATAGCTCTGGGTCAACACTTTCAAGCTCAAGAGTCTGAGTCTTCTAATAGAACAAGCTCTTACGCAAGCAAGAGCGGATTTGTGAGCGAGATTGTTTTTGCTAGACTGATAGAGAAGTTTCTAGGAAAGCAATCACGCTTTCAAAATGTGGACAGAAAAGTGCTTGAAAACATCCTTATCAATTTAGATTTGTGTTTCAAGCTGGAAAATACTTCTGAGTATTTCATTCCTTCTTTCATTCCTGAGCATGCAAGCAAGGAGAAACAGAATGATCTAGAAGGGGCGCATGTGATGAAGTGGGAAAATCGGAGTGAGATTTTGCAGTTCGTCGGCATTCGGATTGAATGCCAAGATTGGATAACAATGTCACTAACAGCTGCTTTTTTTCCACGCTTCCAGGTGAGTTTCAATCATGATTTCATCAACACAATGAAAACATTGTATGTGTCAAGTTCTGATTGTAATTTGCGTATGATGAATAGAATGCTCCTTTTCATTATTTGTAACACATTATTCAAATGTCCAACTCAATATTTACTAAGTTTTCTATGATTGCAGATGTTCATGAGACGCAAGTTGATATCCGAGATGGGTGTTTCCGAGGAGAATGTGACCTGCTGTCGACATTATCTACGACTTTTCCTTGACGGGCATCGGATATATATCGAGCACGTTCAGAGTGAAAAGTCCGACAAATTTGTAGATGTTCTGATGTTATGCTCGAGTAAGAAGTCAAAGGAGGCAGCTATTACATATGTGAGGAAGCATATCGTCCAGGAATTGATATCATTTTGCGCATCACCAAAAGGCTGTCCAGGGGTGGCGTTAGTGCTTAGTGTGATCCAAACATGTTGCGTGGAGATGCTGATTCCAAGTCATATCAGAGGAGCCATTTTGATCGAGAAGTTGAAATCGGACTTCATTCGTAACATCAATGACAAACTTGAGGAAATGCCCTTGGAAAGGTTGCACTTGATGGAGAAGGAAGAGTTGTTGCACATGATGGAGAAGGAAGAGTTGTTCCACTATGAGCAGTGTTGGCCTCGGATTGAAAGTTACACCGGCGAAATATCTGAACTAGCAACGGATTTGTTGTGGAAGAGCGATGTGGATGCAGTTGTGAATGAGATTTGCCAGAATCAAATTCAACAATTGGAGTCATTGCAGAAAGCTATAGATGGAGTGGACAATGATTTGGCTCAGTGTTATCCTGAAGCTGAAAACATGGTTAGCGACTCGAATCTCCCACAAATGAAAGACCTCAAACCACTCACATCCAGGTCCTTGAGTCGGGCCAGCACAAGTGTGGAAAGTCCTTCGACCCGATTTGTTGTGTCCAAGATAAAGGAGCTAGAAGAAAAGATAGTACAAAAGCTTGATGGTTTGGATGAGAGGTTAAGATCAATGCAGAGCTCAATGGGACAGATACTCTCTGTGCAACAAGAGCTGCAGTCAACGTTGATTGTCTTCATCTCTAAGGTGGACAGGATCATTGGCTATTCGCCAACGTTTCAGCAGAGGAAAACGCCCAAACGACCTTATTTTACGGACGATGTGGGACGTTTCCATAGGTTGAATGCAGTTTTCCATGTCGGAACAACCGTTCGATTACACTTGATGTGTGAGTCGGTCACTGGGTTTCACACTGTCAAAGAGCAAGAAGGATTGAAGTTACGATTGGATTGGGAAAATTGGGGGTGGATTCGGAAAACTATTGAAATTTCATACAAAGTCATATATTATGCTGCAAAGGCTGCACTAACTAAGTTCTGCGAGTTGGGCGATGCGATTCCGGCTTGGGCAGATTTGGAATCAGATATTGTTAAACTAGATGTTAGCAGTGAAGATCGCAAGGCAGTTTTAACAGGTGGGGATAGCCAGGAGCTGCAACAAGCATGGTTGAGGATTAAGCAAATTCTTGCGCCTGAGCTTCAAAATCGCTATTCCAAAATCTTCAAGTTGTATCAGGTGAAGTACGTGAGTTTAGAAAAAGGTGGGTATGCATGGGTATGCGAGAAGTGCATGAATAAAGGCCTTCGTAGTGGAAGTTTGACAGTGGAAGTTTGACATATTAGGATTTAGAAGAGGTTAGAATGCCACTATGCAATTGGCAAGCATATGTTTAGACCCTCATGCAATATACAACTCTGCAAATTCTTCTTTGCAGCTTTCACAAGGAAACAGTCTTCTATAATTTTTGCCATATGTCAATCGCACAGTTATGTTTCTGAAGAAGATCAGTGTTTGGCTAAACTATGAAGATGACATTTTGAGGAGAGAGTGTTCATATTGTCTCGTTGCAAGTCTCACTATGATGAAAACCCTTCCGTTGACACGTGAGAGTGGTCATGTTGAACTTCCACACATTCTTGACTGATTCTTATGTCCCACGATGAAGGTCCGACAAATGTATGATGGACCGGAACTAAGTGTTATCATTTTCAAGTAGTATCCGTGTTTAAACAAGAGAGCAATATAGTCTGGAGAATCCTTTTGCAAGAATTCATGCACAATATCCAATCTGTGATGCTCAGAAATTTGTAGCTCATGTGAATCTTCTTCTGTCACTTCTTTGTATGATCACAAGATTTCACAAGATTTCTTAGGAGGCCTAACTCCAGTTCGAATGCATCTTACCGGTAAAACAAAACCTGTGCACAGATTTCTCTCCTGTGATATATTGTTGAGGTGTTATCAGAGTTTTTCATTCGGTATTCTTTGTGCGACATCGTGATAACATGCTTTTTCATAGCGGGATTCTCAGCGCATTTTAAATCGCCAGCACGCTCAGAACTGTCACGTGTATAAATGTGGTACTTTCGAAGCACAAATGCTTTTGCACGTGTGGACGTTAAGTTAAGGAGAATCTTTACAGCATAAATTCTCTAAGTATGCACGACCTCGTGCAGCAGAGCATGCAGAATGGTGATCAAAGATGACATAGTCAGTCTGTCATCTTAGCTGTCTGTTATCCGACTCTGTCATCTTTGATCACCATTGCCATCTCCGTCTATGTTCTGAACACAATCATTATTTTCTATGGAGCATCTGCGTCTGTACGCAGTTCGAGGAATATTGCCGAAGTTTTGAGTTCGACTCACTCAACCAGGTTTTAACCTCTGACCCTTACTAGAACTCTAATTTACAATCTTATGTGATTCACCCAAAGCCTCAGTTCATCATTTACAAACACTTGGGCGAAGAATTTCCATTTGATGCCGACCCTTCACATTTTGCCTGCTCCGGGTTACAGTCAATCTACAGCTGATGCTGTGCGTTGTTTGCAAGACGCGGACAAACCTCTCAGTGGAATTTCCTTCAAAACCCCTCTAAGATTCGCTAGTTCTAGAACCAAGGACATTTGTAGGAATTTTCAATTATTCTTAAGCTTGATTACTTCCGTAGTCTGATGTTCTCAAACTAAAGTGTATCCCCATAATTATAACCATCCGATACAATGAGTTGTTTTTTCCATATAACACGTCCAATTGATCCATGAAGAGATGGTTCTTACCATATACTGGAGCTCTGTTCGGGGCATTAACCCATGCAGTCAATCTCAATAGTTACAGAAAGTGACATAATACAATGTACATATAATACTGGAAAATAGCAATCTTACGACATCATGGTTTCTCTGGTTCCACAGAGTCCAATCAAACCTTCACTACCAAGGGAGCTCTCGCGGCAGGAACGAGAAGAACTGTCAATCACGATGCACGATGAGGGCATTCTCTTACATACAATGAGCCGCCGATTTCTTCCATCTCCACTCGATGCGGGGTAGTGGAGGATCGATCTTTCAACTCTACGCGATAAACGCGAAGCAGATCTGATGGTCATCGAACCTCTCTCACACTCGCACACCACTCACTCATCGGTCGCGTCAGAAGCCGTCCAGAAATCTCCCACTCGCACACTGGCAGCCCATCTGCGGGCACTGGGCTGCTTCTTACCATCCCCGCGTCCGTGACCCTCTAAATTACATTATTTTGCCATTATAACTCCCTCACCCGGTTAGGTTTAAATAATTCTACGTGGCTAAAACTGAGTATTTGTCAAGGCGCCAAGTAAATGGAAAAACATTTCAAGTTCATTCAATATTCACCAAACCAACATTTGTTCCTGTTCATTAAGCACACAAAAGAGATTCAGTTTGGTTGATTCCACTCTGTATGTTTTTATGTTTTTATTTCATCGTGGTATAATCTTCGGCCCGTCATTACGGGCCGAAGATTATACCACGATGTACTATTCTTAAGATTATCGTATATGTATATGTGGGTTTACAACTTGTATTATTATTTTTATGTAGAATTGAGTTGGAGCGTGGTTCAAGATTGGGGAGTTCTAAACTCAATATCGTTGCTCAGAATGACACTGAGAGAAGATATAACAAATTAAGCGAATATGTAGTACCTGGCGTACGAGAAAAATCATGTGCAAGTGATCCATCTAAATGGATGCTGCATTCTGAACACAAAAATATGACATAGAATTGTACCAGTCCACAATCAAATCTACATTCCCATTGACAAATTTCCTAACGAGAGATCCATCTGACATTGGGCAGAAGGTGAAGAACAAACACATCGACTGTTCGAGAGAATGTCCATCTGAAATTTAAGCTAACACAGGAGAGATATGAGGTGAACTAAAACGTGCATACATGACGTAAATCATAAAGCAAGTGATGAAGTAAATAACCTGTGAAAGCCAACGACTAGAGCGATTACCTACACAAAATATTGCATGTGAACATGTCCACATCAGTTTCAGTATTTCTAGAATAATATATGCTCATTACTTACTTGAATCCCTTATCTAAATAAGGACAGCTTTCATAACATATAGAACCAATAGAAACAGTTAGGCATGACACAATTATAGAAGAGAATCACACACTGACTGGAAAAGAAAATCGCGTTTGCAACATTCAGTATTTGCTCTTTTTCTCATCTCAGCTGCAATCATTCAACATCATCTTCGAAACTCCACAGACGATGAACAAGGAAAGAAACGGATCCCAATAAGATCGTGTGAATGTCGCTCTTTCTTTTGAGCAAAAATAATTGGGCTATGAGGTTGAATGTGGTGTGAAAATCACAGCCACGGACTAAAGAATAATCTGCATCAAGCATACCTTCACCGTAGAACTCACAACTCATTTTTCGTTTACAGCCCCGCTAACAAACCATTCCAGGTCGACTGCCTCCTCACTAGACCTCGACAACCGGGACAAAGTCGAAAAAACTGTGGTAGATCCATTTCCAACGTTAGGCATCTTCAAGACGGCCTGGAATGCTGGATGATTGTCGTCGCAGCAAAGCTTCCGCTCAGTCGATCTCGGTGACAGTCTTGTTCCTAATAATATCCTTGAGTTGCATTGAAAGGACCCCTCTTAGCTATATCAGCGTTGACGACCTAAATCTAAACCGAAGGTAGCATATAGAAGCAATTGAGTCCTACCACAGAAGATATATGCTCCGTTCATTTTCGCTGGACAGTAGCCATCTGAGCTCAAAGTGAACACAACGATGAGGTGCATGAGACAATTGTAAACTGTACAATATAAGGACGGAGCATGACGCCATACCACCCCTACTTAAAGCGACAGAAAAAGCATCTGGCGCCCGCTTGACCTCGTACGGCCTCTGCAGTGTAGGAAAAATGATCAGCTCCTTTGAGGTAGTTTCCATTACCCTGTCCTATTCGGTCCTCTGGCTTTATTTCTCGAGGCTTTCTTGGCTTGCTTTGCCGACGGATCAACAGGAGCAAATCTGCGCCAACAAGAAATAATTGGATTAGATCTCCCGTAAGGATGTTGTTGAACAATTACTTTTATCAATTACTATCATATCATGATTTCATCTCTAGCCGATAATATGTGGAGGACAAATATAAATCACCTTCCATCTGGCTTGGTTTCAACAGCGTAATGGTTTTCTTCGGACGGAAGCTCTACTTTGAATGGATCCATCCATTCTGGATCGCTTGCAGCTGCTCTTCTCCATCGTCGTGAGAACGCTTGCAACTCAACTTTAGATCTATTTCTAATCTGCAGGCCAGAATGGACAATCGAATGCCACCATCAGATATGTCCGTACAAGACATCAAAACAATACAGAACGAGGGAGCAGAAGTCAGAAAGTCAAAACTGACCTCTCCTCGAGTGTCCACAGCGTCGGGATCCTGTAAAACAACGAGAGCGGGGAGTATGAAATATTAGCGCCACTCGAGAGGAACCATCTCATGCATGGTTTACGGATGCATTAGCTCAAAGGACAACCCTCTTCGGAACATGGTTCGCCTGCGGAAGATATTCCAACATGCTGAAGTGGCCTTTAAGATCACTGGTTTTGTCTGGCTTACATAGTACATTTCTTGGCTTGTGTGCACTCATTCTCTAGTCCATAAGTTCTCCTCGGCATAGACAGTCCTGTACCTTCAGGCTTCCTGAACAAACGGTCCTGTCTGTAGCTCCTTGCGAGACAGAAGCTCAGGAGATCTAAGAGTAAAGCGGAATCTTCTCAGGTTTGCAGGTACTCAGACAGTACTGCCAATTCTGCAATGTGGTCTAAAACCAAACTCGAGATGCGTTCGATTTCTAGTTAGTAGTCAATGTATATACTAAGATATGGAGTAAAAGTCCCTGACCTTGCTTTCTCAGTCATACTCCTTGCTCCATAAAATACCTCGATCCCTCTACTCAGGACACACTAGAGCTTCTGACCCATGGGGATGTAGGCACTTGGTTCGACCCCGGTTTTCTCTTGTGGTATTACTAGCCATTCTCAGAGGTCAGGAGAAAAGGTTACACCAGTCTTAGACTTCAAATACTCCAACCTCGTCGTATCTTTGAGAATGAGACAAATAGCGGCAAGATGCTTGCTAGCATATTCAGCTCATTTCACAAACCACCTTCGGTTGGTTCGATTTACTTCTTCGAAGTATCTGATATGAAACCTTCTGGGATAATTCCTTTCTTTGCTCTGGATCTTCATTCGGTACAACATAGGAATGTCAAGATACGACGCTCACTATATCATCTTTACTCATCATTCCATGTCACTAACACGGATCGAACTTAACGTAAAACGGAGAATCACATTGAGAAGACCTCCATACAGGCTGGCACATGGTGACCAACAACAACGAATACATCGGGATATATTCGTTGTATATCAATGTGTGTTTCATAATGAAGTGTCCTCAAAATAGTCTCTCCCTTTCATCACTGGATCAATAAATAGCAGATGGAAGCACTTGAGGATCAAGGTCATTTCGAGGCCCTCTCAATCAACCGTTATCTCGTTTTTACTCAAGAAACGAGATCATTGTCTTCCTTACATAAGGCATATGGAGTGCTGAATAGAAAACATTGTCAAGATCACGATTGAAGATTACAGACCGCCTGAATCAAAATGCATGTTCTTGTGGGGCTGCTACTTGCACACTTTGTATCAAACTGCTGACTAAGTTCCGACCCATTCTTAGAGAAAGTCCAATAAATAAAATCTAAACCTGAATTTAAATAAAATCTTCTGAGCGAAAGGTTCTCAGGCCCAGGAAAAAGGAAAGTCTCGACCGCAGACATGTAGAAACATACCAGGAGGCTAGCGTCAAGCACGTTAGCAGTCCTCAGATTTGTTTGACTCTCTGCAGTCTGTCACAGATTCCAAGTTGAGTGCGTTACAGGTTTAGATTACCTTGGGCAAAAAGTAGGGCTTGTCACTTAAACTCGAAATCCTACTCAGACCGATCACTGAATCGTTCTAACTTCCATACTCTTGAAACTGCAATCATCAAAAAGTTACTGGAGCAAAGCGTGATTTCCATCGCTGACAAAAAATTGCACAAGAACTTCATCCTCACAAGCATACCTTGTCATGAGGTTGACCTCCCAAGGAGGGAATGCCTTCGTGAACAATATATTCACTGTCGATGATACCCACTTTCTCACTGCGAACTCCCTTAAAAATGAAAATAAAGATTATGAGTGCCATTATGGAGACCTGTGATATAGTTCTAAAATCATTTCACGACTAGAAAGCAAATTAATCATGATCGCTACTCGATCACTCACATCTCTATTCGAGAAGATAGAATGCCACTTCTTGCAGAGTTTACCAAAAACCCTCACACATCATATATATTTAAAAAAAGCAGTTGATACCAAGGGGTTCAGAGATGTACCTGGGCACAGTAACCAAGCTTGTAGTCTAGACCCCAGGCATGAACTAAGTCATTCTGCTCAGCAAAAAGTAAGTCAAATTCAGGCCACGGAAAGGAGCTGCGCGAAAAATAAACTGAACCCGAACAGCAAGAGTAGTCTAAACCAGATGTAAAGAATTCAGAGATTGAACTGGAATACACATGAGAAATATTCAACAGACGATGTATGAGAGCTAGTGTGCTTTCAGGACGAAGTGGTATATTCGATTTTAACAAAATAGATGACTGGCAACAGTTCATGGTTTTCCCTTAAGCAGGTTGGACAAATCTCCACACCGCTCTTGATGATAAAAAAAGAACTAGTATTTTTATCACCGTGTCGTTGCAGTCAGCCTCTTATGATCAAAAACCGGTAGGTTTCTTCCAAAGTTCACAAGTAGGTTTGTCTTCAGCTCCAGCATAAGAAGGGCTGCTTCAATTTACATACTCTAACATCGTTGTCTCAACTTCATGATTAATGAAGACTCCAATGCAGAGCTAAACAAACCTGAATCATGTACCAAGTGCACCTCCAGGCAGCCCGAGAAAACACTGGAGCCATCATATTAACCCAGAAAAGTCCAGATTTCCATAAGACCAGGATTTTTTTCAGAAGATCTTTTCCCGAACCAGGCCTGATCTCATGGAAGGTGATAGACAATGTCATGCTTTTGATACTAATCTCCACTTACCCTGTACACGGAGGACCGGTGCTATTGGCGTTACATGAATTCCATCCAGTTCCTGTTATCAAGCGTCTGCATTTACATTCAGATGATCAGAAACGTTCATGTATCATAAATGAAGAAACATACTCAACGAGAAATGTCCTCAGGTTCAAACCTGACAGGAGCAATATGCATATACATATAAATACAAAGCAACAGACAGGCCGCTAATACTCAGGGTCTAAAGAAGAGCAATGATCTTTGATAGAATAGATCATGTTAGCATCTGTACCCTGCTATCAGAGATCAGACTAGTTGACAAATAAGAATTTGCTCTTGCCTGTGAACTCTCTCTGTGGGTTGGCGTACAGTTATAATGTGGTGAACCTCTGAAGGGCTTGAAGCGAGGGCAGGCTGAGAAATCTCAAGTCCTTCATCTTCCATGATGTTTAGATATCTGTCGCCGATGACAAGAACTTTGTTTAGGCCCGAGGTTGCACAAGGATGATATCTCTTGTACTGCAAACTTTTAAGTACAAACCTTAACCAGCTGAAATGTAGAACGAGAGCATACACCAGTTAAGTTCATGAATTTCTTGATTTATGAATCAACAGTTGTACTTCAGGGTGGTTACTTAGAAGCTTAATCACTTCCTTACAAAGATAACACTGCAAATGGGCTAACAACGTTCCAACCGGTAAAACAAGCAAAACAAGACGATGTTACAGTATTTTCATACCTGTCAGCGTGGAAAACTTCCACCCCGAGATCTTCGTCCCAGAGGAATATATAATTGTACCTCGCGACGATGTCCGGGTGCAGAAACCGCTTGGCATACCACCTACCGAGAGATGTGCTCAAATTGATTATTTAAAAATTGGTTGTTTTGGAATTAAGTACGTAGACGAATCAACAACCAAGTGACGTCCCAACCACTCTATTGTAGTCTATTAAGTTGGCTATCGATTAAAATAAATGAGACCTCCTGGTGTTGAGCCAGAGCCTAAATACATACAGGTATCAAGTAGCTCAAAATTCTGCAGAAAAAAAAATTACCCCTTGGCCATGCAGAACATGTCAGAGTTGGATGAGACAGCTTTGGATATTTATGAATAACATGATTCCGAACAGAAAGGAACCTTCTCTAAGTGCTTCCCTATTAGAACAAAGACGATCCAACCGAAACAAGAAAATCCACTTATGACGAGATCGGTTCCGTGAGACCAGAATTTCACTATCAAATAGAGCTCCATTCAATCTACAATCGTTTGACTCCTGGTTACGAAAGGCAAAAAAATGTGCTCACCATTTTGTCTGATTGGCAGCCATTACATGAATTGCTTGAGGACTCCACTCCATATCCATCCACGCGTCTACTTGTCCATCGTAGTGGAAGAGCATGATCGTAAAATTGTCTGCGGGGAACTGTTAGAGAGCTAGTGAGATCTACATAGGCATCATGGATAATGTACAAGATGAAAATGGTATCCACACCGTAAATCTGGACAAGATTGATATTTTTCAAAATTACATGCAGAAAGCTGCGATTACGAAAACATTCCTTTACAGAATGTTCATTTTGAATGTTGGTTATCTTTATCACAACCATCTGTATCCAGATTTGGATTTGATAAAGATAAACCACTTCACCAGAATTCAAATGTTTTAACTACTTATCGAATACGTATAATCTGAAAATGCACCTTCTGGATTATTTTATCCACATTGCTTTTCTGCTTGATACCAACAGCCATAGCAAGAAGGTTTTGAGACATGGCTTCATCCTGCACACAAAACAACGACCTTCAAGAGTTCATCAGTTTTTTTGAGGGATGTACTGCTCATTTGCTCCTGTCTAGATCAATAAAAGCACCATTTTCTGTGATATTTTCTGTAGAACACATAAGAATTGACCCATATGCACCAACAACGAAATAATGAGAAGCGCTGAGCCAGAAAAAAGCGTCTGACAAATTAGAAAGCGGTTTGACTGAGCAGTTTAATTGAACAAACAATTGAGTTAGACAGTAGAAAAACAACAGTAGATCTGATGAAGCGAATCTACCACAGTGAGGAGATCACGTTCTTACGTTTTCAGAAACCTTCCATAAGTGTCTACGTTCAAGGTCTGAAGTAGCCTCCACTATTCCACTTGGCAAGGTTTCAGTACCCTCTCGCTTTCCAGGTTTCGGACATTCGTTCGGACGTTCTTTGACTGGTGAAGCTTGCGCTTGTACCTGCAAGCAGATAATCTTCATCATGCGTTTGGATAGAAGTCCTAATGTTAAGTCAGATCTTCCGGACGAGAAACAAACGACTTCCTGAAAATTAATGTGCTCATAGGTAACTCAGAAAGACGCGAAACTGCCCGCTACTCAAATTAGAAATAAGGTGCAAAAAACCGAAGCTCAAGGTACAAACTGGGTTCATCAGATGAAGCTCCTCTCATCCACCACACCTTGCAGAACCTACTGAATAGCAAGGTTCTATTGTGACAGAAACAGGATAAACACGGTTGAGTCCCATAGTGTTCCGAAATCAAATGATCAGAGGGTGCAGCACTGGCTTATAAAAGTGTCGCTTTATATTCTAACTGAGGTAAGTCTTACGTTTCCGGCAACGACTGGGCGATTATTAGAGATTTTCGTTTGGTATTCTTGGTGCGACATCGTGATAACATGCTGTTTCATAGCGGGGTTCTCAGCGCATTTTAAATCGCCAGCACGCTCAGAACTGTCACGTGTATAAATGTGGTACTATCGAAGCACGAATGCTTCTGCAATTGGACTGCGTGTGGACGTTGAGTTCAAGAGAATCTTTACGTGGAGCATAAATTGTGGATGTGTTGTGAGAGTTTTCCGTTCCGTATTCTTCACGCTACAACCTGATAACATGCTTGTGCTGGCAGTGATCTCAGCACATTTCAAATCACTAGCACGGTCAGAACTGTCACGTGTATAATGAATATGGTGGCACCAAATCTCTTGCTATTGGACTGCGCGTGGACTTTTAGCTACAGAAACTCTTCACGTCTAGAACAAAATTCGCTAACCCAAATAGTCATCCGATATCAGAGACAATAACGATCATAGTCATGGCGATGAGATGAAAGGAGAAAAATATCGATAATTTATTTCATACGGTTCACCCACATAATTTCTAACTCTTTATAATAGGCCAGGAAGCTCCCTTCCAATTACTCCACATCAACCTCAATCAACTTGAGCTAGATCCAGAGCTTCACTGCAATGTACAATTAGTTTGCCGAACCAGATCTCGGATGTCTTCATGCTCCTACGTCACGTCATGCAGTGTTCAAGATGCGCAGGCGTGGACTTTCCTAATCTGTACTTTAAAACACGAGTCGGGCATTGCAGCGGCAGTCCCTTGAAGAGATGAACCCCGCCGCGCGGACGACTTTGTCAAATGTTGGTCCTGTGATTGAGGTTGAGGATGATGCAGAGTTTGTGAAACTTTGCTTTCTTATACTCGAAAATTATTCTAATTATTGGCGGGCCTGGCAACTTCGCACAGGTCTGCAGAAACGGCAGCAGACGTGTTTCTGGTGGCGGGATTGGTGATGCTATGAGCTTTTATCTGGTGAATAGTCAGTCTGTCACCTTAGCTGTCTGTTATCCGACTCTGTCATCTTTGATCACCACTGCCATCTCCGTCTACGTTCTGAACACAATCATTATTTTCTATGGAGCATCTGCGTCTGTCCGCAGTTCGAGGAATATTGCCGAAGATTTGAGTTCGACTCACTCAAACAGGTTTTAACCTGTGACCCTTACTAGAACTCTAATTTACAATCTTATGTGATTCACCCAAAGCCTCAATTCATCATTTACAAACACTTGGGTGAATAATTTCCATTGTATGCCGACCGTCCACATTTTGCCTGCTCCGGGTTACAGGCAATCTACAGCTGATGCTGCGCGTTGTTTGCCAGACGCTGACAAACCACTCAGTGGAGGTTTCCTTCAAGAAAGACATTTGCAGCCTCTCCGTCATATTGATGGAATTTTGCATCGGAAATCGCTGCCACCGTAGTTTCTCGAAAACAGCAATCTTACTACATCATGGTGTCTCTGGTCTCAGAAAGGGCAATCAAAGCTCACTCACAGGGAAGAGCGAAGCTTCAGGGTAGAGCATGAAAGACATTTGCAGCAGGAGATGAGAGTTTCACAGCTGCCACAAGTCTTCCATTGTCAGCGTGCTTCAGTATTATCAGGTCTTCAGTCACATGGGTCCTGACACGGCCTTGAATTTGTCCTGAGAAACTGCGCATAAATGACCAAAGATTTGCAAAACACACAAAGACTGAAGAGGTGCAGCCTCTCCGTGATATTGATGGAATTATGCATCGGAAATCGCTGCCACAGCAGTTTCTCGAAAACAGCAATCTTACGACATAATGGTGTCTCTGGTTTCAGAAAGTGCAATCAAACCTTCGCTACCAAGGGAGCTCTCGCAGCAGGACCGAGAGGAATTGTCAATCACAAACAGTGAGAGGTATGCACAATGAGGCCCTTCTGTTCCACAGAAGCCACCGATTTCTTCCATTTCCATTCGCCGCGAGTTAATGGAGGATCGATCTTTCAACTCTACGCGATAAACGCGAAGCAGATATGAACCTCTCGCACACTCGCACACCACTCACTCATCGGTGGCGTCAGAAGCCGTCCAGGAATCTCCCACTCGCACATTGGCAGCCCATCTGCGGGCACTGGGCTGCTTCTCGACCATCGCCTCGTGCGTGAGTTCGTCAGGTGAAGCCTGTAATCTACATTATTTTGGCATTATAGCTGTGGGAACAGTTAGAATCCAATAATAATACATGAATAGAACAGAGTATCTGTTAAGCGTGAAGTAACACATCTACCATCTTTCTGCTTGTGAGTTAAGAAATAGAGTTAATGAAAATAACACATAGACAATTCATGTGTTTATTTGCCGTCCCATCAATCCAAAACTAATGTAATGCATAGTGAAATAAGATTTCATCTCATTGGTTTAAGAGTCAATGAGTATTTCTTTGTGTTCATGATCTAACAGATTTCATTGAGATTGATGGAGCTGACTTGAAATGTGTGTTAAGTGAATTAGATGGTGCAGTCACAACTATGTTGACTTTTTAATATTTGGGAGTATGATATGTTTCATGTTTGACACCTCTTTTGAACAAAATGTTTAGTAGGCAATAGTAATGTACTAGTACCAATTAACCAGGTGGACTTTTGTGACAATGTGAATTGCAGTTATAAGACTGAAAAAGTATTATTATAGCTCTGGATGTCCTTATCTTAAACCCAATAATATCAAATTATGTTATGGATAAGATGTCTGCTTAGTTTAAGAGTGATCTAAGCTCCAATTGGAAGCTGTTGCTCTACAATTGTATTTATGATAATATGTGCCTGTTATGTTTCACGTGCATGAGCAAGATAGATTAGGTGGCCTTCCCTGTAGAGTAGCAGACAAATTAGGTGGATTAACTTGTATATTCAATATACATCTTGTGCATAAATCATTCCGAATAACACTTTCTCGGGTGATTCATTGACTCCACATTACCCCATGCAGAGTAATAAGAAATTATGGTTAGATTGCAGCAATCTTGAGCGTTCAATGGACGAGGCTATTGCTTTTGTCACGGACATGATCAACTAAATTGTCGTTTGCACAGTTGTAAATAGAATTATAAACAAGAACAATGATGGACTTAACCATGTTAAATTTTCTTCTTAATTGGATTGACGAATCACTATTATCTAGCATTTAGCATCAGAATTATTTCTGAAGTCATGTATACCGCACAGTTTCCCTTGATTTGCAAGCAACTTGGAAAAAATGTTTCTTGAGAGGTTTGACGTTGAGCTCAGCAAGCATCATGCTGGTTCTATCAACTTCTATAAAACGCGATAAACAAGCAAGAGTACTCGTAGCATGGACGAAATTCGATATTCAATTTCATCCTTGAGGTGTACAGGACTGGACACTCTAGAAACTAGAACTGTGCATGAGCTCACATGCTTGAAAGTTGAGCTAGAAGAAAAGTCATATCAGCAATCGAGAACCTCGATTGCGCTTCTACTCTGTTCAAAGTTATTCGAGATTATGTTTAGTAAACTTCCAGATAGCTTACCAGTTTGTTCCGAACCTACAAGTTATGTAAAGTTATATAGACTACTGTACCAATATTTAAAGAAAAGAGAAAGCACAAGAGGCATTGTCAACCAGGCCTACAGCGCATGTGCCACTGAGTTGTCAGAGAATCATCCACTTTCTTGCATAAGTTAAAAAAGATTTAATGAAGATATACTTTGACATGTTTGTTGTCAGGCACACGATTGTTGTGCACACGATTTAGTTCGTGATTTATTTGATTCTTCATGCTTGAAATTTTTTCGAAATCTGCTTTGCTGGCAACGTCGTGCAGGTCTGCAGAAACGGCAGCATACCTGTTTCTGGTGGCGAGATTGGTGATGCGGTGAGCTTTGAACTAGTGAACAGCCTGCCATCAATTGAGCTGGTGATCTCTGTTTGCACGTTCATTCATTATGACTTTGCGAATTCAACAAAATCAATGGGTCCGCTAGGGATAACTGGAAAGTCAAAAGAAGAAAATGGGGTGAGAATTCCAGAAAGATTTTTAATTTCCACTATAGCTGCTCACTTCAAGTAATTGGACAAAGTCAGCCATCCACACGTATTGCTATTCTTACTGCAGCTGTTCATCCACACTGATTTGACTGTGGACAAATGCACGCAGCTGAGAAAATGGAAAGTGGGACATCCGAGTCTTAGGACAGGGTCGTGTCTCTTGTCGGGCCTGCAAAATGTAGCGGAACTCGACATCGAAAGCCACTGTACGTAAAAGTTGTGAAGTTGGTGCTGGCAATTGCACAGGAATCCCGATTGGAACAGGGAAAAGGAGCATATCCAGACAAAAAAAAACAAATTTTGGCGGTAACAAGAAATTAACCACAGGACTAACTATCTAAAAAAGCAATATTTGGCAACATATCATTCATTCACAAAACCATCATATTTAGCTTATTCATATATGCAATGTTTTACAATTAGAAAATTGGATCCATTGCAGGAGGGAAACGTTGAGATCGTGAAGGCCATGCTTAAAGTGACCAGGCTGTCATCTTAGCAGCACGAATTCATCATGCGATCTCTGTATTCACAGTCATTCATTTTGGCTTTGCAAACTCACCAAAAAAAAAGACCTCCAAACTTCTGCATGCATTCACATACTTGACACAGCTGGGGTAGAAGAACAATCGTACCAGCAGTTGATAACCTCGAGTACTGGTATCCTCTGTACACAGTTCTTCTATACCATAGTTAGTAAAATCCCAAAAAGCTTGTCAGTTTTTTCTGATACTAAAAGTTATTTACAATTATCTACACAACTGTTCTGGGTCAAAAGTAAGAAAAAACGTAACATGCTTATTACAGCTGACTACGCATGTGCCACTCAGCTGTCAGAATAGGTCCACTTGCTCGAACTGATCGAACATGCCACATAAATGGATTAATAAAGAAGAAAGTTGTAATGGAAGTTGTCAACGTGACGTCATCGAGAATATTATCACACTGACGCATTCACCCTGTTCCTCCCCCACGTTTCCTCTCCGCTTGCGCAACAAAGTCAAGATCTACTCTGACCTTCTAACACCATGTTCCAGTCACAGAGTATGAAAGAACACGATTTTTGTGTTCAAATGTTGTCATTGCCTTGATCGCTCACACGATTCAATGAGAAGATCTGATTGAAGAGGATGCATACTTTTTCCCCGTGCTAGCCATCGTAGTGTCTGTCTTCCCGTTGGTCTTGATGCCGCTAGATTCGCAGTCTCCCAGTACAACTGTAGATTCAGTTTTTCCACAACCCAGAGTTCGTCACGTCTGAGAAATCTATGACATTTTGCTTTCCCATCGCGCCATCTTTGCTGAGAACTTGATTTCAGGTACTTTTGCAGAGCTATAATCTTGTCCACTCACTTCGATCACTAGTGCACATGGAACCCTGATAGACGTGAAGTCTTTTTTGCCACACGGTCTACGATTTAGCTTGGTACTAGAATCCTGGTCTTCAGTGTCAATTTTGATTCCCATTGCTTGTCCTCCTGCTTCCACTTTGTACAATCTCCCTGAGTTCGTGTTGATTGCTCATGATCCGCGTATCGGCAGATCTCGGAGTGATATTTCTGTTGCTACTTGTGCGCAGTGCAAGAGAATTCATGCCCAGCACGTTCATGTGACACTACGAAGGGAAGATCAGTTTTCTTCGGGAGAGCCGGGCTTTCGGATTGAAGAGAGGGCCTCCTGTACGCGTTGAAGGAGAGAGCAGGAGAGAAAGGAAGGGGCAGGTGCGTCCATCGTCTGTCACGCTGCTGCACTTGCGACACGACTTGTGGAATGGACTCCGCACACGAGGAACCGGAGCTTCCCTCCGCCATCCAGGACCTTCTACAGCGTCTGGAAGGACAAGGCGAGCCGTTGAAGGTATTGTTCCTGAGAGGCGCGGGGAAGTGGGGAGGGCGCTTGTTGCTGAAAGCATTGGCCGGAGACGATCGCAACCGATCCATTGAACGTCTTCACCTAGATTCTATAAAGGGACTCGGAGACTGTTTAAGGAAAATTCTTATTTCCAACCCATCATTGAAGAAAGTGGACTTGGACGGGGTGTCGATGAGTCCTGAGGAATGGCACCAGCTCGGCGAAGTCATACGTGACAATGCTATAGCGACAACTATACTTGTTCGGTTTCGATCGGGGAATAATGACTGGAAGTCAATAGAAGCTCTTGCTCTTTCTGCTAGCTCCGATGTCAACGACCCCATACTGGAGCTTGTGATCGATACTAGGAGGGAGAGGGAAGATGACCTGATGTTATCATTAAACCTACTAGGTAGGGTACTGCGCAGGGAAATCAAATCGGTAAAATCTCTGGATTTAACGCCAAGTTCTCACGGAAGTATCAGTTTCAGTATCCTCCCGATGAATGGGAAAACTGGAGAAACCTCAGTCCCGAAGAGACTGGAAATATCTGTTCGAAGTAAAGATCTTTCGAAGGGAGTATGGGAGGAGCTGCTTCGGTGCATGCGAGAGAACCACCTCACTCACTTGGATTTGTCTGACTCCGAACTCGACGAGGAGGCGTTCAGGGACGTGATGGGAGTACTGGAGAGCCAAGTGAACTTGGGTCTCCAGGAAATCGACGTCTCACGAACATCGTGGGCAAGGGACGGAAAGACGGCGCAGATTCAACAGGCCCTGCAGCATAACAAGGAGCGGGCCGGCTACATGTCCGTGTTCCGAGAAGCCAACTTAACATTCGGAGATGCAAAAGCTGGCCGACTCTTCTTATGCGGCTCTCCTCGAGCAGGTAAGATGCGCTGTCTTAGTCTTTTCCTGAATGTAGGCCAACTAGCAATCTATGGTTTAACTTTTCTAAAACTAAGATTGACACTACAAATGCCATTTTGATCTATATATAATGATGCGTGTATACAAATAGTAATGGAAAGAAAAAATAATCAAATATGTAAACATTAATTATGTAACTTCGATTATTTTGGTGATTTTTTCTTTTTTCAATCAAATTTATCTTCACATATTGAATCAATATAATGTCATACTGTATTTCAAGAATATCAATTCAAAGCATTTGTGAAGATATCGTTCATAACCAGCTCTGTATTTTGTGAATTTTTTTTCCAAAATGCAGGCAAGACTCAATTGCGTAAAACCTTGATGAGGATAAATCAAGGCAAAAGCTGGCTAGGCAATAAATTGGAGTCATTGTTTAGAACCAAAGGCATTGAGGTGGAGTTTTTGGTAAACAATGACAATATGCAAATCTCAGTTTGGGATCTTGCAGGACAATGGATTTTCCGTACCCTTCAAACTGTACTCTTCCCTCAAACCTACAATTTTTGTGTTTTTCTTTTTGTGTATAGCCCTTTATGTGAAGAAACATCTTCAATCAAACCAGAATCTTGTTTTAGAACTGAGTTGGAAGAGTGGTTGAGTTTTATCACATCTAGCACCAAGGTCACGGGGCGTGATCTTCCCCAAATTATTGTTGTGATTTCTCACAAGGATAAAGCCAAATCTAGCTCTTTGAGTTGGGCTCACACCATAGTGGAAGAATTGACTAAAAGATTCACAAAATTTGTGGATCTTCGCCCTATTCAAGAGTGTTTCTATGTGGATGCTCGGAAGAAGAAGCAAGTTAGCTCTCTTAACAGACACATTTTTGAAAATTTCCACAAGTTGTTGAGAGAGAAATCTCCACATGTTCCCGATTTGTGTTTACAACTCACCTCTCTCTTGGTTACAGAAACCAAGAAGAACGAAAGTTTTCCTTTGTGGCCAACCAAAAAGTTTTATGATTTCTGTGCTCCACACTTAACAAGCTTTGTTCCATCATCTTCTATTCATTCTGATAATCATTCCAGGATAATAAAATCTATTATATCCTATATGAATGATGTTGGATCCATCATTCACATCCCCGACCTTGATTACATCATTGTCAATCCCAACTGGCTCACCAATACCTTTTTAGGTGAGTTGATAGCTCTGGGTCAACACTTTCAAGCTCAAGAGTCTGAGTCTTCTAATAGAACAAGCTCATACGCAAGCAAGAGCGGATTTGTGAGCGAGATTGTTTTTGCTAGACTGATAGAGAAGTTTCTAGGAAAGCAATCACGCTTTCAAAATGTGGACAGAGAAGTGCTTGAAAACATCCTTATCAATTTAGATTTGTGTTTCAAGCTGGAAAACACTTCTGAGTATTTCATTCCTTCTTTCATTCCTGAGCATGCAAGCAAGGAGAAACAGAATGATCTAGAAGGGGCGCATGTGATGAAGTGGGAAAATAGCAGTGAGATTTCGCAATTCGTCGGCATTCGGATTGAATGCCAAGATCGGATAACAATGTCACTGACAGCTGCTTTTTTTCCACGCTTCCAGGTGAGTTTCAATCATGATTTCATAAACACAGTGAAAATATTGTATGTGTCAAGTTCTGATTGTAATTTGCGTATGATGAATAGAATGCTACTTTTCATTATTTGTAACACATTATTCAAATGTTCAACTCAATATTTACCAAGTTTTCTATGATTGCAGATGTTCATGAGACGAAAGTTGATATCCGAGGAGATGGGTGTTTCCGAGAATGTTATCTGCTCTCGACATTTTGTGCTACTTTTCCTTGATGGGCATCAGATATATATCGAGCACGTTCAAGGTGAAAAGTGCCTAAAATACGTAGATGTTCTGATGTTGTGCTCGAGTCAGAAGTCAAGGGAGGCGGCTATTACATATGTGAGGAAGCATATTGTCCAAGAGTTGATATCATTTTGCGCATCACCGAAAGGTTGTCCTGGGGTGGCGTTAGTGCTCGGTGTGATTCAAACTTCTTGCGTGAAGATGTTGATTCCAAGTCATCTCAGAGGAGCCATTCTGATCGAGAAGCTGAAATCAGACTTCATTCGTAGCATCAATGACAAACTTGAGGAAATGCCATCGGAAAGGTCGCACTTGATGCAGAAGGAAGAGTTGTTCCACTATGAGCACTGTTGGCCTGCGATTGGAAGGGACACCGGCCGAAGATCTGAACTAGCAAGGGATTTGTTATGGCAGAGCGATGTGGAAGCAGTTGTGAATGAGATTCACCAGAATCGAATTCAACAATTAAAGTCATTGGAGGAAGGTATAATTAGCGTGGATAATGGTTTGGCTTTATGTTATCCTGAAGCTGAAAACATGGTTAGCGGCTCCGATGCCCCCCAAATGAAAGACCTCAAACCACTCTCATCCAGGTGCTTGAGTCGATCCAACACAAGTGTGGAGAATCGTTCGACTCAACTTGTTTTGTTCAAGATTCAGAAGCTAGAAGAAAAGATGGAACAAAAGTTTGATAGTTTGGATGAGAGGTTGAGATCAATGCAGAGCTCAATGGAACAGATACTCTCTATGCAACAAGAAGTGCAGTCAAAGTTGAGTGTCTTCATGTCTAAGGTGGACATGATCATTGGTTATTCGCAAGTGTTTCAGCAGGGGAAAACGCCCAAACGACCTTACGTTACGGACGATGTGGGATATTTATATAGGTTGAGTGCAGGTCTGCATGTGGGGACAATTGTTCGATTACACTTGATGTGTGAGTCAATGACTGGGTTTCACACTGTCGAAGATCAAGAAGGGTTGAAGATACGATTGGATTCCGAGAAGTGGGGGTGGATTCGGAAAACTATTGAAATTTCATACAAAGTCATATATTATGCTGCAAAGGCTGCACTGACTAAGTTCTGCGAGTTGGGCGATGCGATTCCGGCCTGGGCAGATTTGGAATCAGATATTGTTAAACTAGATGTTAGTAGTGAAGATCGCAAGGCAGTTCTAACAGGTGGGGATAGCCAAGAGCTGCAAGAAGCATGGTTGAGGATTAAGCAAATTCTTGCGCCTGAGCTTCAAAATCGCTATTCCAAAATCTTCAAGTTGTATCAGGTGAAGTACGTGAGTTTAGAAAAAGGTGGGCATGCATGGGTATGCGAGAAGTGCATGAATAAAGGCCTTCGTAGTGGAAGTTTGACAGTGGAAGTTTGACATATTAGGATTTAGAAGAGGTTAGAATGCCACTATGCAATTGGCAAGCATATGTTTAGACCCTCATGCAATATACAACTCTGCAAATTCTTCTTTGCAGCTTTCACAAGGAAATAGTCTTCTATAATTTTTGCCATATGTCAATCGCACAGTTATGTTTCTGAAGAAGATCAGTGTTTGGCTAAACTATGAAGATGACTTTTTGAGGGTAGAGTGTTCACATTGTCTAGTTGCAAGTCTCACTATGATGAAAACCCTTCCGTTGACACGTGAGAGTGGTCATGTTGAACTTCCAAACATATTCTTGACTGATTCTTATGTCCCACGATGATGAAGGTCCGACAAATGTATGATAGACCGGAACTAAAAACTAATAAGAGTTATCATTTTCAAGTAGTATCCGTGTTTAAACTAGAGAGCAATGAAGTCTGAAGAGAATCCTTTTGCAAGAATTCATGCACAATATCCAATCTGTGAAGCTCAGAAATTTGTAGCTCATGTGAATCTTCTTCTGTCACTTCTTTGTATGATCAGAAGATTTCACAAGATTTCTTAGGAGGCCTAACTCCAGTTCTGCAGCAGAGCATGCAGAATGGTGATCAAAGATGACATAGTCAGTCTGTCATCTTAGCTGTCTGTTATCCGACTCTGTCATCTTTGATCACCATTGCCATCTCCGTCTATGTTCTGAACACAATCATTATTTTCTATGGAGCATCTGCGTCTGTACGCAGTTCGAGGAATATTGCCGAAGTTTTGAGTCCGACTCACTCAACCAGGTTTTATCCTCTGACCCTTACTAGAACTCTAATTTACAATCTTATGTGATTCACCCAAAGCCTCAGTTCATCATTTACAAACACTTGGGCGAAGAATTTCCATTTGATGCCGACCCTTCACATTTTGCCTGCTCCGGGTTACAGTCAATCTACAGCTGATGCTGTGCGTTGTTTGCAAGACGCGGACAAACCTCTCAGTGGAATTTCCTTCAAAACCCCTCTATGATTCGCTAGTTCCAGAACCAAGGACATTTGTAGGAATTTTCAATTATTCTTAAGCTTGATTACTTCCGTAGTCTGTTGTTCTCAAACTAAAGTGTATCCCTATAATTATAACCATCCGATACAATGAGTTGTTTTTTCCATATAACACGTCCAATTGATCCATGAAGAGATGGTTCTTACCATATACTGGAGCTCTGTTCGGGGCATTAACCCAAGGAAAGTATGAAAGTCTGATACCACAAAGATACATGTTATAAGAGTGAAATTCTTAGAAATCTTACTACGTTGCAGTCAATCTCAATAGATACAGAAAGTTACATAATACAATGTACATATAATACTGGAAAATAGCAATCTTACGACATCATGGTTTCTCTGGTTCCACAAAGTCCAATCAAACCTTCACTACCAAGGGAGCTCTCGCGGCAGGAACGAGAAGAACTGTCAATCACGATGCACGATGAGGGCATTCTCTTACACACAATGAGCCGCCGATTTCTTCCATCTCCACTCGATGCGGGGTAGTGGAGGATCGATCTTTCAACTCTACGCGATAAACGCGAAGCAGATCTGATGGTCATCGAACCTCTCTCACACTCGCACACCACTCACTCATCGGTCGCGTCAGAAGCCGTCCAGAAATCTCCCACTCGCACACTGGCAGCCCATCTGCGGGCACTGGGCTGCTTCTAACCATCCCCGCGTCCGTGACCCTCTAAATTACATTATTTTGCCATTATAACTCCGTCACCCGGTTAGGTTTAAATAATTCTACGTGGCTAAAACTGAGTATTTGTCAAGGCGCCAAGTAAATGGAAAAACATTTCAAGTTCATTCAATATTCACCAAACCAACATTTGTTCCTGTTCATTAAGCACACAAAAGAGATTCAGTTTGGTTGATTCCACTCTGTATGTTTTTATGTCACTTTTCATAAATATTACACAACCCTAATGACGGGCCGAAGATTATACCACGATGTACTATTCTTAAGATTATCGTATATGTATATGTGGGTTTACAACTTGTATTATAATTTTTATGTAGAATTGAGTTGGAGCGTGGTTCAAGATTGGGGAGTTCTAAACTCAATATCGTTGCTCAGAATGACACTGAGAGAAGATATAACAAATTAAGCGAATATGTAGCACCTGGCGTACGAGAGAAACCATGTGCAAGTGATCCATCTAATTGGATGCTGCATTCTGAACACAAAAATATGACATAGAATTGTACCGGTCCACAATCAAATATACATTCCCATTAACAAATTTCCTAACGAGAGATCCATCTGACATTGGGCAGAAGGTGAAGAACAAACACATCGACTGTCCGAGAGAATGTCCATCTGAAATTTAAGCTAACACAGGAGAGATATGAGGTGAACTAAAACACGCATACATGACGTAAATCATAAGGCAAGTGATGAAGTAAATAACCTGTGAAAGCCAACGATTAGAGCGAGTACCTACACAAAATATTGCATGTGAACATGTCCACATCAGTTTCAGTATTTCTAGAATAATATATGCTCACTACTTACTTGAATCCCTTATCTAAATAAGGACAGCTTTCATAACATATAGAACCAATAGAAACAGTTAGGCATGACACAATTATAGAAGAGAATCACACACTGACTGGAAAAGAAAATCGCGTTTGCAACATTCAGGTTTTGCTCTTTTTCTCATCTCAGCTGCAATCATTCAACATCATCTTCGAAACTGCACAAACGATGAACAAGGAAAGAAACGGATCCCAATAAGATCGTGTGAATGTCGCTCTCTCTTTTGAGCAAAAATAATTGGGGTATGAGGTTGAATGTGGTGTGAAAATCACAGCCACGGACAAAAGAATAATCTGCATCAAGCATACCTTCACCGTAGAACTCACAACTCATTTTTCGTTTACAGCCCCGCTAACAAACCATTCCAGGTCGACTGCCTCCTCACTAGACCTCGACAACCGGGACAAAGTCGAAAAAACTGTGGTAGATCCATTTCCAATGTTAGGCATCTTCAAGACGGCCTGGAATGCTGGATGATTGTCGTCGCAGCAAAGCTTCCGCTCAGTCGATCTCGGTGACAGTCCTGTTCCTAATAATATCCTTGAGTTGCATTGAAAGGACCCCTCTTAGCTATATCAGCGTTGACGACCTAAATCTTAACCGAAGGTAGCATATAGAAGCAATTGAGTCCTACCACAGAAGATATATGCTCCGTTCATTTTCGCTGGACAGTAGCCATCTGAGCTCAAAGTGAACACAACGATGAGGTGCATGAGACAATTGTAAATTGTACAATATAAGGACGGAGCATTACGCTATACCACCCCTACTTAAAGCGACAGAAAAAGCATCTGGCGCCCGCTTGACCTCGTACGGCCTCTGCAGTGTAGGAAGAATGATCAGCTCCTTTGAGGTACTTTCCATTACCCTGTCCTATTCGGTCCTCTGGCTTTATTTCTCGAGGCTTTCTTGGCTTGCTTTGCCGACGGATCAACTGGAGCAAATCTGCGCCAACAAGAAATAATTGGATTAGATCTCCCGTAAGGATGTTGTTGAACAATTACTTTTAGCAATTACTATCATATCATGCTTTCATCTCTAGCCGATAATATGTGGAGGACAAATATAAATCACCTTCCATCTGGCTTGGTTTCAACAGCGTAATGGTTTTCTTCGGACGGAAGCTCTACTTTGAATGGATCCATCCATTCTGGATCGCTTGCAGCTGCTCTTCTCCATCGTCGTGAGAACGCTTGCAACTCAACTTTAGATCTATTTCTAATCTGCAGGCCAGAATGGACAATCGAATGCCACCATCAGAGATGTCCGTACAAGACATCAAAACAATACAGAACGAGGGAACAGAAGTCAGAAAGTCAAAACTGACCTCTCCTCGAGTGTCCACAGCGTCGGGATCCTGTAAAACAACAAGAGCGGGGAGTATGAAATATTAGCGCCACTCGAGAGGAACCGTCTCATGCATGGTTTACGGATGCATTAGCTCAAAGTACAACCCCCTTCGGAACATGGTTCGCCTGCGGGAGATATTCCAACATGCTGAAGTGGCCTTTAAGATCACTGGTTTTGTCTGGCTTACGTAGTACATTTCTTGGCTTGTGTGCACTCATTCTCTAGTCCATAAGTTCTACTCGGCATAGACAGTCCTGTACCTTCAGGCTTCCTGAACAAACGGTCCTGTCTGTAGCTCCTTGGGAGACAGAAGCTCAGGAGATCTAAGAGTAAAGCGGAATCTTCTCAGGTTTGCAGGTACTCAGACAGTACTGCCAATTCTGCAATGTGGTCTAAAACCAAACTCGAGATGCGTTCGATTTCTAGTTAGTAGTCAATGTATATACTAAGATATGGAGTAAAAGTCCCTGACCTTGCTTTCTCAGTCATACTCCTTGCTCCATAAAATACCTCGATCCCTCTACTCAGGACACACTAGAGCTTCTGACCCATGGGGATGTAGGCACTTGGTTCGACCCCGGTTTTCTCTTGTGGTATTACTAGCCAATCTCAGAGGTCAGGAGAAAAGGTTACACCAGTCTTAGACTTCAAATACTCCAACCTCGTCGTATCTTTGAGAATGAGACAAATAGCGGCAAGATGCTTGCTAGCATATTCAGCTCATTTCACAAACCACCTTCGGTTGGTTCGATTTACTTCTTCGAAGTATCTGATATGAAACCTTCTGGGATAATTCCTTTCTTTGCTCTGGATCTTCATTCGGTACAACATAGGAATGTCAAGATACGACGCTCACTATATCATCTTTACTCATCATTCCATGTCACTAACACGGATCGAACTTAAGGTAAAACGGAGAATCACATTGAGAAGACCTTCACACAGGCTGGCACATGGTGACCAACAACAACGAATATATCGGGATATATTCGTTGTATATCAATGTGTGTTTCATAATAAAGTGTCCTCAAAATAGTCTCTCCCTTTCATCACTGGATCAATAAATAGCAGATGGAAGCACTTGAGGATCAAGGTCATTTCGAGGTCCTCTCAATCAACCTTAATCTCGTTTTACTCAAGAAACGAGATCATTGTCTTCCTTACATAAGGCATATGGAGTGCTGAATAGAAAACATTGTCAAGATCACGATTGAAGATTACAGACCGCCTGAATCAAAATGCACGTTCTTGTGGGGCTCCTACTTGCACACTTGGTATGAAACTGCTGACTAACTTCCGAACCATTCTTAGAGAAAGTCCACTAAATAAAATCTAAATCTGAATTTAATTAAAATCTTCTGAGCGAAAGGTTCTCAGGCCCAGGAAAAAGGAAAGTCTCGACCGCACACATGTAGAAACATACCAGGAGGCTAGCGTCAAGCACGTTAGCAGTCCTCAGATTTGTTTGACTCTCTGCAGTCTGTCACAGATTCCAAGTTGAGTGCGTTACAGGTTTAGATTACCTTGGGCAAAAAGTAGGGCTTGTCACTTAAACTCGAAATCCTACTCAGACCGATCACTGAATCGTTCTAACTTCCATACTCTTGAAACTGCAATCATCAAATAGTTACTGGAGCAAAGCGTGATTTCCATCGCCGACAAAAAATTGCACAAGAACTTCATCCTCACAAGCATACCTTGTCATGAGGTTGACCTCCCAAGGAGGGAATGCCTTCGTGAACAATATATTCACTGTCGATGATACCCACTTTCTCACTGCGAACTCCCTTAAAAATGAAAATAAAGATTATGAGTGCCATTATGGAGACCTGTGATATAGTTCTAAAATCATTTCACGACCAGAAAGCAAATTAATCATGATCGCTACTCGATCACTCACATCTCTATTCAAGAAGATAGAATGCCACTTCTTGCAGAGTTTACTAAAAACCCACACACATCATATATATTTAAAAAAAGCACTTGATACCAAGGGGTTCAGAGATGTACCTGGGCACAGTAACCAAGCTTGTAGTCTAGACCCCAGGCATGAACTAAGTCATTCTGCTCAGCAAAAAGTAAGTCAAATTCAGGCCACGGAAAGGAGCTGCGCGAAAAATAAACTGAACCCGAACAGCAAGAATAGTCTAAACCAGATGTAAAGAGTTCAGAGATTGAACTGGAATACACATGAGAAATATTCAACAGACGATGTATGAGAGCTAGTGTGCTTTGAGGACGAAGTGGTATATTCGATTTTAACAAAATAGATGACTGGCAACAGTTCATGGTTTTCCCTTAAGCAGGTTGGACAAATCTCCACACCGCTCTTGATGATAACAAAGAACTAGTATTTTTATCACCGTGTCGTTGCAGTCAGCCTCTTATGATCAACAACCGGTAGGTTTCTTCCAAAGTTCACAAGTAGGTTTGTCTTCAGCTCCAGCATAAGAAGGGCTGCTTCAATTTACATACTCTAACATCGTTGTCTCAACTTCATGATTAATGAAGACTCCAATGCAGAGCTAAACAAACCTGAATCATGTACCAAGTGCACCTCCAGGCAGCCCGAGAAAACACTGGAGCCATCATTTCTACCCACCTGCGTTATTAACCCAGAAATATCAGTCAGAAAAGTCCAGATTTCCATAAGACCAGGATTTTTTTCAGAAGATCTTTTCCCGAACCAGGCCTGATTTCACGGAAGATGATAGACAATGTCATGCTTTTGATACTAATCTCCACTTACCCTGTACACGGAGGACCGGTGCTATTGGCGTTACATGAGTTCCATCCAGTTCCTGTTATCAAGCGTCTGCATTTACATTCAGATGATCAGAAACATTCATGTACCATAAATGAAGAAACATACTCAACGAGAAATGTCCTCAGGTTCAAACCTGACAGGAGCAATATGCATATACATATAAATACAAAGCAACAGACAGGCCGCTAATACTCAGGGTCTAAAGAAGAGCAATGATCTTCGATAGAATAGATCATGTTAGCATCTGTACCCTGCTATCAGAGATCAGACTAGTTGACAAATAAGAATTTGCTCTTGCCTGTGAACTCTCTCTCTGGGTTGGCGTACAGTTAATCTGTGGTGAACCTCTGAAGAGCTTGAAGCGAGGGCAGGCTGAGAAATCTCAAGTCCTTCATCTTCCATGATGTTTAGATATCTATCGCCGATGACAAGAACTTTGTTTAGGCCCGAGGTTGCACAAGGATGATATCTCTTGTACTGCAAACTTTTAAGTACAAACCTTAACCAGCTCAAATGTAGAACGAGAGCATACACCAGGTAAGTTCATGAATTTCTTGATTTATGAATCAACAGTTGTACTTCAGGGTGGTTACTTAGAAGCTTAATCACTTCCTTACAAAGATAACACTGCAAATGGGCTAACAACGTTCCAACCGGTAAAACAAGCAAAACAAGACGATGTTACAGTATTCTCATACCTGTCAGCGTGGAAATTTTCCACCCCGAGATCTTCGTCCCAGAGGAATATATAATTGTACCTCGCGACGATGTCCGGGTGCAGAAACCGCTTGGCATACCACCTACCCAGAGATGTGCTCAAATTGATTATTTAAAAATAGGTTGTTTTGGAATTAAGTACGTAGACGAATCAACAACCAAGTGACGTCCCAACCACTCTATTGTAGTCTATTAAGTTGGCTAACGATTAAAATAAATGAGCCCTCCTGGTGTTAAGCCAGAGCCTAAAGACATACAGGTATCAACTAGCTCAAAATTCTGCAGAAAAAAAAATTACCCCTTGGCCATGCAGAACATGTCAGAGTTGGATGAGACAGCTTTGGATATTTATGAATAACATGATTCCGAACAGAAAGGAACCTTCTCTAAGTGGTTCCCTATTAGAACAAAGACGATCCAACCGAAACAAGAAAATACACTTATGACGAGATCGGTTCCGTGAGACCAGAATTTCACTATCAAATAGAGCTCCATTCAATCTACAATCGTTTGACTCCTGGTTACGAAAAGCAAAAAAATGTGCTCACCATTTTGTCTGATTGGCAGCCATTACATGAATTGCTTGAGGACTCCACTCCATATCCATCCACGCGTCTACTTGTCCATCGTAGTGGAAGAGCATGATCGTAAAATTGTCTGCGGGGAACTGTTAGAGAGCTAGTGAGATCTACATAGGCATCATGGATATTGTACAAGATGAAAATGGTATCCACACCGTAAATCTGGACAAGATTGATATTTTTCAAAATTACATGCAGAAAGCTGCAATTACGAAAACATTCCTTTACAGAATGTTCACTTTAATTGTTGGTTATCTTTATCACAACCATCTGTATCCAGATGGATTTGATAAAGATAAACCACTTCACCAGAATTCAAATGTTTTTAACTACTTATCGAATACGTATAATCTGAAAATGCACCTTCTGGATAATTTTATCCACATTGCTTTTCTGCTTGATACCAACAGCCATAGCAAGAAGGTTTTGAGACATGGCTGCATCCTGCACACAAAACAACGACCTTCAAAAGTTCATCAGTTTTTTTGAGGGATGTACTGCTCATTTGCTCCTGTCTAGATCAATAAAAGCTCCATATTGTGATAATTTCTGTAGAACACATAAGAATTGACCCATATGCACCAACAACGAAATAATGAGAAGCGCTGAGCCAGAAAAAAGCGTCTGAAAAATTAGAAAGCGGTTTGACTGAGCAGTTTAATTGAACAAACAATTGAGTTAGACAGTAGAAAAACAACAGTAGATCTGATGAAGCGAATCTACCACAGTGAGGAGATCACGTTCTTACGTTTTCGGAAACCTTCCATAAGTGTCTACGTTCAAGGTCTGAAGTAGCCTCCACTATTCCACGTGGCAAGGTTTCAGTACCCTCTCGCTTTCCAGGTTTCGGACATTCGTTCGGACGTTCTTTGACTGGTGAAGCTTGGGCTTGTACCTGCAAGCAGATAATCTTCATCATGCGTTTGGGTAGAAGTCCTCATGTTAAGTCAGATCTTCCGGACGAGAAACAAACGACTTCCTGAAAATTAATGTGCTCATAGGTACCCGCTGAAAGACGCGAAACTGCCCGCTACTCAAATTAAAATAAGGTGCAAAAAACCGAAGCTCAAGGTACAAACTGGGTTCATCAGATGAAGCTCCTCTCATCCACCACACCTTGCAGAACCTACTGAATAGCAAGGTTCTATTGTGACAGAAACAGGATAAACACGGTTGAGTCCCGAAGTGTTCCAAAATCAAATGATCAGAGGGTGCAGCACTGGCTTAAAAAAGTGTCGCTTTACATTCTAACTGAGGTAAGTCTTACGTTTCCGGCAACGACTGGGCGATATAGAGATTCGTATTATTTAGAATGAACACGAAACCAGCCTTTAAAGCAGGACATATAAACAAGGGCCTAAAATCTTGAAGTTACATAAAAGTATTCGTCAGTAGCTTTCTCAAAACTAACAACGAAACTTTCAATAACCAAGAGGTCATCAGGTGTCCACTCGCAAGATGGTGAGCGAGAGATGTGAAGGAAGAGCAGCGCCCATGCTTGGATGGAACTTAGGAGAGGGATGCCCGGATTGAAGAGTAAATGTGCTGCGACAAGATATGCTAAGCGAGAAGAAAATGCTGTAACGGCGTGTGGGAGATCTGAAATCACAGAGTGAAGTTCAGCATGAACGAAATTCATGCAGAAAAGAATACAGAAGTGACCTGGAGTGGAAGATGTGCAAGTTCAAGCACAAAACCAGCTTGTGTCAACAGGAAACTTGATGTGGTTCAATGAGCAGATAGAAAAAAAATGGTCTCTTACTGTCAACATCCTAACACAGAAAAGTTGGCAACCGCTACCACCAAGACCTAATCAGTGCGACCTTATCACGTATCCTCCCGCATAAGGATAAAAAAAAGCGTAAAAAAAACAATCTTTCTTTTGTCACATCCTTCTCGTCAAGTGTTTTGACAAGACTTCAGAGGAAGCAAAACTTCATACATGCACGTTACTAACTACCCTGTATGGTTTGACAGCGAGCTATTCTTAAACCAGAGTATCTTTATGACCAGAGTATCGTCCAATGTCATAGAAAGAAATAGGTTCGAACAAGGGCAACAGACGAGTAGGACATTCTGTTGCCTACCGTGCAATTCATAACATTGGCAGGTTTGAAACTCTGCATAAACGTCGTAACACTCCATTCCCTGTGATACTGTACACAGATGAAATAGGTGATTAGCATTACTCACTTGGAGCATACGCTCTGAAGGCCGCAATGCTCCTAGATATGGCTAGGCAATTCTAAGTAAGCGACACAACAAGCATAGTGATTGAAGTTACAATTGTCCTAAGCCATCTCTCAGAAGGACATCCAACGGAAGCTATCAAAATCATCATTACAAGCAAATGTACCCACAAATGCAAAGCTTGCAAACACTTGCTCCAGGGAAGAACCTTGTGAACGGGGCGAAGCATGGCATAACAAGCACGAGTGAAGAACCATCGAAAGGAAAGGAAGAAACAGGTTGATAATCGTACGATATAAGGTTCATTCACAGCCACGTTGCAGATAAATAACACGAACATGATGAAGACAGCTGTACAAGCCAAAAAGCTCGGCCGAAAAACCTTGCGCCATTTCCCGTCACCGGATTTTCTCTCCACCTGTAGTCGGACAGTTCATCGACAACAACGAAAATGTATTACTCACATGATCCCCAAAAAATCACAATTGGGGGAAAATGTCCTTGGATGATCTTCACGCTTTTCAAAAATTCCCTTGCTAAATTATGTATCAGAAGAATGACTAGAGAAATAACGAAGTAGAATTCGTCGGGTTCGTCCATGACATGTTTGCTAAAGCCCATAGCGGGTGCATGTGTACACCACTCGATATTCTCTTTGTCAAAAATTTCACATCGATGATCCTAATTACCCCTTCATGGCCAAAGATGCAGTTAGAGGGTTTCTTTCTTTTCAACGGCTCCATGCATCCGTAGAGGTTTCCGATATTCCAAAACCGCTTCTTCATGACGGGCCGCTTCTACATTCCGAGGCCGCTGGCATCGCAGACAGTCTCGTGACAATCAAACCACGCTACACAGTGAGGCCCCGTCGATTTTCTTAGCAGATTCCATGACGATGTACGCACTGGTCCTTCCGCCTACTCCCTAATTATTGAAATCTGTTCTAAAAATCGCAGCTACGGTCCTCACTACAAAGTCACGGAAACAATCGGACGCAATCGCTTTTCCAACAACAGGCTTTTTGTTCAACAGAAAGCCTGCGCCGAGATAAAATGGCACGAAATTGCTGCGGCATTTCCATCTTCAGCTATGAATGTCGCCTTATTCCCGACATGGTTGGACCAACAGGACTAAGACTGATACGCAGAGTATTGCCAGAACATCTGCAGAATGATGATCTGGAGGCAGGGCATAAAAATGTCGAGTGGGCACCCGTCGGAAGTCCAATGCTTCACACTGCTGATATGTGGCATAACTACAAGGTTTCGGAGCAGCCTAAAGCAAGACTCCTCAGCGGACTGAAGCCTCTCAAGGACGGTTGATCTCGACAAAAATCTACCTCGATATGCACCGTGATCTCTAATTCCGCACAATTTGACAATCATAATCAGCTTGAAATCACACAGCCTCATATACTGAGAAGGTGTCAAACCAGGGTAGAGAGTCCCCGTACAATTTCCACAAAGCTGAAGCCCGCAGGCAGACCATTGATCCAACCCTTGTAAGTCATGGCCACCTTTCCCTCTGATTCCTGCGTGTTGACCGCGAAAACGTTAACTTTACACTATCTATTTGTCTGGTGCAAGCATGTTGATGAGCCTGCTGGGTCTTGCCTGATTCAAATTCGATTTTGACCATCTCCTTAACATGTTTGCCATTGTGTCGGCAAATGTAGATCAGTCAAATCTTTGACTGTTGTCTGTCGTGATAATCCTCATCCGGAACTCTGCACTGACATCTGGTCCGTCAAGCATCCCCCAGCTCGAAGGCGACTTTGGTTGTTCTCTCTTGTCAGGACAAGGCTTCACCCTCCAAAATTCACCCAGCCGTCAACTATCCGGAACGCAATTCAATCAAAACCCTACAAGGGATTTGTGAATCTATCTCTGCTGGATCTACAGCACCGCTCTTCAGCTGTAAGCACCCAATTGAATCGTCGAGATCTGCAGATCTGGCTCGGGCGTTTCTTACAGTAATTCGAAGTAAGAAGGATGTTTTCTCGACGTTTCACGGTCCTGAATAAATTTTGTAATCGCATGTGCCGAGGATTGCAAATCCAAGAGGTGGGACGGATAACCCAATGACAGTTCTTTCTGAATTTCTACAGCGCACCGGGACGAACCCTGGGTAGAGATTGTCGAATCTCCAGCACTGAAAACTGGTATCAGGACCTGGGGCAGTCACAACCAACTCCGGGAACCGACCCCGCTGACATGTACAAGGGGCTCCGGGCGGTCAAGCGGCGGATTCCTTTGCTCGGGTTGTAAACCAGAGAATGTGTCCGGGTCTTTGCGCTCACAGCAAAACACTACATTCTGGCAAGCAAAAAGGAATCCGCGCTCATTCCACTTCCAGAAGACAGAAAGGGAAGCCTTTCCGTCCTCCTTGAGGAAGTGAGGACATAACAATAACTGGTGGTCAAGGCTTCCGGGTCCATGGCATACGAAAGGAGAAGTTAGTAGCTAATGACTACAGTAACAGTTCCACCAGGCAAGCGCGCACTACTTACTTACTGTACCTGCACAAACTCTCGCCGGAGCTTTGTGAATCTGCTATGACGAACGGCGCAATGATTCCTACCATTCTGATCGTAGGGGGTGGGGACGGAGAGCAACAGTGCAAGAAGTGACGGACCTCACAGATATGCGCAGCTCGAGAACTCGAGCACAGCTCCATCGGAAATTATTATTATTTTAACATCGATGCTCTAGGGTACCATCATCCTTCGGCACCATGCGATCCGCCTTGAGTACACGAACGATTCGATGCCGGCGGCAGCTTCGAAGTAAGTACGTTCGTGGGGAGAACATGAGCGACGCTTGTGCAGCAGATTCTTTGGTCTGATGGCGATGGCAATGGCAATGCATCGGATCCGTCCACCGGAACTGGAGACGACGAGCGGCAGTACCTCATTCCCTTGCTCTGCAAATTATGAATACTGCAATAAATGCTGAAAGGTGAGCGCGGGCCCCACAGATGAGGGAGGAGGAGAAAGGGAAGGATTTGGAGAAAATCCTCAAAGCTCGGGCAAAGGACAAGCAGAAGTGGCCGCAGGACGAGGACGAGGAGGACGGGCAAGGCGAGGTCCCGGATCGCAAAGCGTCCGAGTCATCACACCTGTCTAAAGTCCGAGATCGCTCGCCGCACCAAGGACATGTACGCCCGTCCAATCTGCGCTGACAGGAGCGGACATTCTCAAAGCTCGAGCGAGGACTTTTTGGGGCACAAGAGCACGAAGAGAACAAAAGCATCAAAAGTGTCAGTCCCGAAGGCGCAAGAAGCCCACCCCCAAACTCGGCAAGACCCGCCCACACCTTCTCCTGCAATCAAACCCCTCCACGGAATGCTCCCCGAAGTGCGTTGTGCACCCGGAGGATCATCTCCATCCCCATCCTCGATCGATCAAATCATTTGCCGTATCTGCCGACGAGGTGCCGAGAAATGCGCAGAGCGTAGCGAAAGATTCCGGCAAGACAAACGAATTTGTGAGTTTCTCGTGCCAATTGCTTGCTCGCGTGCATCCATCCATCGCCCCGGGCCTACAGGCCTCGGATCACTCGTCCTGCCATGCTCCCTCGACAGCGAGGGAGCAAAATCAGCGAATGGGCCGAGAGCATGAAGAGCGCAGGCCTCGATCCTCTTTCTCTCTGCAGCTGCTGCGGCCTATTTTCGCCCGAAAACAAGAAGGCGCCCCGAAAGCTCGCTCGTCGTGGCGCGAGCGAGCCCGGTGGCGGGGCTGTGCCTGCGACCCGCCGAGAGGAGAGGGCCCGCGACGTTCCGGTCGGGAGGCGGAAGTACGACCTCCGCGACGCATCCGGTCGTTGGCGCGGGTTTGACTTCTGCGCCTCGCCGTTTTCCCGTTCTTAACGGTCGCCCAGCGCAGTGTGGGCGTCGTCGCGAGTCAAATTTGTGGGTTGCTCGGCGCATCGACCTTCCACATGGAGACTCAGTTCAGTGAAAATTAATGTTTGCAGTTCACAAGGTAACGTGAAAATATATCGTACTTAGCGCAGCCCTTATTGAACTAGGGACAATATGTTATAAAATTACGATAACAAATAGAATTATTAAGTCTGTTTTGCCTTATTGATATATATGATTAAAAAATTTAGAATTTAGGATATTTCATATATTGTATTTGATATCAAAATTTATTACATCAGCACAAATGTACCATCATAAAGTGATAATGTTTAGTGTATATATATATATACTCATTATGTCTGTAGTATACATTATTTGAAGAATCATTCGAATGATCTCTTATGAATATATGTGTTAGTATAGAAGCATATCTATCTTCATTTCTTGTGTAGCATAACTTTTGAAGAATCATTGAATTTATTTCTTATAAACTTATTTTTTGGTGCTTACTTTTTTTTTCTTTCTTATGTAACATATATCTCTTGAAGAATCTATCAGAGGCGGGGAAATTGAACGGACTAGATTTTCGATAACCTCGACACCAGGCAGCTAAATACTGCGACATTGGTGGTAAGAATCAGATGCAGGTTCTACATCGGGTAATAACTTAACCTGTGGAGAGTCAGAGTAGGTTGGTTCACATCTGACCGCTGGTTGTCAAGTGCCGATACAGTTTCCATTCATTCTTCCTTTCTTACGATCTGTTTCCCAGGGTCAATCCTCCAGACCTGTGGATCGTTAGCTAATTCGGCGGTCACCATCTGTGTTTGGAGAAGGAGCTGGTGGTCCCGGACAAACCAGAGCTCGGGGTCAGCGTTAGGGAGACTGCGCTGCAGTCCGTGCCCGAACGAGCCAAGCACGAAGCACGTCCATCCACGTCCGTCCGTCCGACCTCCCGACCGACCGTCCTTCCATCCATCCATCCGCCCCGCTCACAGGCTGGCCAGGACAGACGTTGCGCCTCCGGGGCTGGACAGCACGTCTCGTCCGGTCCGAGCAACAGGGCCCTCGATCATCAGCATGCTCCGTCCCCTCGTCCCCCTTTGACGCGGTCAACAGCTGCAATTCTTCCCCCCCGCCCCCACGCTTTTGGCGAATCTTCGTGTTCCAGCGTTCGTTAGTGCTGGAACTTTGTGCTGGGACTTTTGCTTCCGGGCGTGAGGGAGCTCGATCCTCTTTTTCTAAAGGGAAAGGATTGCATGGGTCGGGATTCTCTTTATTGGTCGAGCAGTGGAGTGATGGGGGACCAAAGGTTCGTGAAACATGATGCCACTGCTGAAAACTGTGTGTCGTCGTCATCATCATCACTTTACGAAACAGCTTTGCCTTCCTGACGATGAGCTGATGAGTTCCCACTGGCAAGGTGGCACCTTGTGGTGTGGATTTCCATCGATCCATTATTAAGGATGTTCATGGATGGATTCGGATCTTGCAGTTCTTGGAAAAAGTGTGTTGAGCTTTCCACCTTCTTGTTGAATACAGCAGGCGACGATGATAGTTCTTGGACACGAGACGACGATCTATCGATGAAGTGCAGATACTGGAGATTTGTGAAGGAATGAATGAAAGGTCTCAGGGCAGAACGACGTCTCGTGTCGCAGGGAGAAGTCGATTTGTTAACGACCTTCGAGAAAGGCCCAACGTCTCTCACTCTGAAACCAGCAATGACCTTCCTGCTTCAATCAATGAGAGCCGAATTTTACGACTCTGAGACTCCACAATGACCATCTTGCCTCGGCATAATTGGTGCACGGCCCTCCAAGTCTTCGTTCGTACTGAAGAGCCGTCAACTTTTCACACCTATCCACCAGAACTCTCAAATTGATCAACTCAGATGTACGGCGAAGTCCACCCCACCATCATCATCGGGAAGGAAGAGAGATACCAGAGGTCACTGCTGCTTCACAGTCCATGTCTCATGCATGCAACGACGTCAACAACTCAGACCCTTTCTAAAGCTCACAATTCCCCATTTTCGGGTCCTAGTCTCTGAATGTGAAGATCGTCGGTGGTGGAGTACTAGAAACTCTAAAAATGTATAATTGATGTACAGGAGAGTTCTGAAACAGCCTCCATAGTGACCCTTGCTTTCAGCAGTGCAGGTCGTCGAGGCACATCAAATTGTTGTAGTCTAATCGGGCTGCTCGTTTATTTGCTGGGTTTAGCGTGGAGTGAACTTCAATCAACTTCTGAAATGCGCCGAGGTCGGCATTTCAGCAGCAGCAGAATCTGCAGGGAAGCAAGAATAGTTTTGTAAGATCGAGTGGCCCCTCACGTCCCCAACTTGCTCTTCTCGTGGCCACACTGTTGTGTACTCACAGTGCTTCCATGAGGCGAAAGTCAATGCAAGCGTAAGAAATTGAACACACACCCAAGTGTGATAACTGTTCATTATCACACTAAGGTGGATACCTATAATCTACATGCAATATAAAACCAATTCTATGTTTATGTAACATGAAACTCAACCTTTGAATCTCACTTGCGATCCTAGGATTTTTATCCATGTTTTTGATCTCTTGCAAGCTAGTGAGAAACAAGACATTTTTCCAAGTTACAAGTTTGGTGATTAGATATATAAAAACATATCCAACGCATATGAATCTCTCGAAGTCTGTTAGATGGATGCATGTGAGGAGACATTGCTTTTCATGGGAGTCCTTCAAGAAAAACCAAAGGGTTTAGAAAGGCTCTCACACAAATCGTTTCACATGTCATAATAGTTTGTTGATCTCCAACTGCTGTGATAGAATTATGCAATTATAAAAGATCATGCAAGAGAACAATATGACTTACAACACACAAATGAGTACCGAGTCATCTTTGAAGTCATGAGATAATACTACCAGCTTGAGATTACAATTAACATAGCTCGAGAAAATATTGATAACATCATGGAGGAGTTAAAACGGTAAATCAATTGAATATATTCATGCAGAAGCATTTCCTTCAAACCACATCATGGATGATGAGGGATGAAAGATCTCAACCAATAGTATTCTTACTCCTTATATCATCATTATAAATTCCACAAATTGTAATAATTAATCTACAATAGGCTGCACATACTTATAGGCAAATATCTTGAAATTAAGCTATCTTTCATGACTCTTCAACCTAGTAGAACCTGTTTTTACATCCTGGATTGATTGTACATAAAGATATTATATTTTCTATGACTTTGAATATTTGATTATAAATTTCATACTGTAAGTATGTGGCTACAATTTGCAAAAATAACGCACGATTTGAAAGATTTCCTCCTTATTTCCAACTTCCACATTTATGTTTGACACCAAGAAACAACTTATGCTATTTTTGGTGATCGCGATTTCTTTTAACAGGTTTAAGTACCATGAGAAATTTGTCTCAACCTGATCTAAATACAACCTTTGCCTTCAAGACACAACACTAGTCTCATATGTATTAAGAGAAAATGAATCAAAGATATGATGGGATCCCTAGTCTGCGTTTACTATACTAGATTGTATCATGGATGTTTTAGTTGACATCATATGGCAGAGACATTGAGTGTGATTGAAATTCTAACATTTTTTACTAATTTGACACTCTTGACATATGATCTACCTTATATGTACATGATATAGTTTTTTGCTATGATGGCTATCTTATTTGATAGTGGAGAGAAGAAGGTAAAGCCAATTATATAGATATGCTAGGAAGTCTTTTCCTTGCTCTCCTAGCATGAAAAATACATTTCAATGATTTCTATGAAAAAGTTGAGGCTTATTTGAAAAGAATGGTTTCATTGTCCACCACGGCTTACAAATTCGTAGTGTGGTAGGATGCACTTGTACATTTCTTCTTAAAGAAAGTCTCTTGCATCTACTTTCATGTGTCAACGTTCTTTAGACTTCGGTTTGTAATCACTGGAAAATCAACAAAATTGACATAACTAAGTTCAAGTTACTACAGTGCATACATTTCAAAAAATCTGTTTTGCAGCAGTGTTGCAACAAACGACTAATGCCCAAGCATTGCCTTGCACATTTATCCAAAAAGAGAAGAAGTACTTCGTTTGACATTTTGAATGTAAGGAGCTGAAATTGTTTACTTCATACATGCCACATCTTTAAATCGTATCCACTTGAAACCTTTTACTTTAACACAATGAATTATTCATGATGAACATATCAAGAATCTAGCTTCGAAGACAACTTATATAAATCTTGCTTTGAGACAGTCGTAATTTCAAGATTTGTAAAGAAAGTGACTTGTGAAACCTCCTCACAATACTACAAAAATTTCGCAAAGTCGAAGTACTTCAACGACACCACTCGGTAATTGTCTCCATCTTGGTCAATAACAGTGTATCAAGAAATTATTTTAACGATATGAAATTGGTTACATTGTAAGGTAAACGCAACGGATCCAAACTGTATATTGTTATTTCAAAATTGAAAATAATTTTTCATTATTGCGGTATTTCTCATTTGATACAAATACGAACCATTTTTCATCAAGCATGTTTATAGGATATTTAATATTAGAAGACTCTACTCTTATACATTCACCACGGTGTTCACACTACAATCCACATATAGAATAATCATGCGTCAAAACTCATAAAATTGTTCCCAATAGTATAAAAAACAGCACTAAAAACACATACATTTCAAAAATAATATAGTACTCCCTCCGTCCCAAAATTATTGTCCGATTTTTGTTAAAACATCGAGATTAAGTTCAAATAATCTTTTTTTAGTTGTTTTGCGATGCGAAAATGTAAATTTTTGAAGTGTTTTTCGATTCCCGAAAATTTGAACTTCAACATCCTCTGCAAGCGAAAGTGTAAATTTTTGAAGTGTTTTTTGATTCCCGAAACTTTTAACTTAGACATCCTCTGCAAGCGAAAGTGTAAATTTTTGAAGTGTTTTTCGGTTCCCGAAACTTTTAACTTCGACATCCTCTGCAAGCGAAAGTTTTGGCACCAAAACCACTTTCGGAAGTTTTGGCACCAAAACCACTTTCGGAATTGAGTGTCATTTGCCAAAGTACCGGTGGATAAACAATGATCATTCCTGCGAAGACCGATCAAGGTGTCGGTAGTGGAGATTCAACTTAATGTAGATCAAGGTTCTCCCGGATAACATTGCCTGTCCATTGGCACTGCACAACAGCGCTCGAGAGCGTATGTACGGTCTAAACACAACGTAATAACAATAGGACAATAAAAATGGGACGCAAAAAACCGTGAATTGGACAACAACTTTGGGACGGAGGGAGTACATTACTCCATAACTTTGTCTCATAATGATGTTTGAGAAGACAAAGATGATAATTTATTTTGCGAGCGAAACAAAAGATAAACAAAGTTTCCATTGTATGACAGGCGTGAACAACTTCAACTTTAGATGATATGACATTTGAAGATTTCCTTGTTGAGGTATCGTAGTACACTCAAAACACCCAAAAGCCCAGGAATTGCACTAAGTGTTTTTTGACGGAGACCAAAAGATACATAGACAGGTATGTTTATTTTGCAATAATGAATGACTCAAAACTTATAAGTTCAGTATTTCTGAAAGACATGACCCGTCGTGAAATTGAGTACTCAGCTGATTCAACACAATATACGGTGACTACACCAAGCTATGCCAGTAATGGAACCATTTGCATGAAAGAGAATAGACTCTTGCTTTATATTCTGTTCATAACGTCAAAGAACATGTGTCCAGCCTAAGGTCGACCGAGGAGGCTGAATAATTACAAGGCTGAAACATAATGTACTGAAACCTACAAATGACAAGATCTCCACACCGGCAACAAAAATTGAACGCACCTAACGTTTCACTTGTTCCCCGTCCAAAAGTTCCAATTGTGGAAGTGCTCTCACAATCGTTTCTCTAAATATCTCGTCACTGGCAACAGAATTGCCGGCAATATCCAAAACTTTCAAGTTCATACCTCCAAATACAGCTTGTAACTCCCAACTGCGCTCAGCGTTCACATTTCCTTTCGAAAGTGAAGAGAAACACATCTGATTTGTGAGAACGGAGGGGAACGAGTACCTCGTGGCGTCTACTTGATGATCCCCAATTTCATTCTGGGAGATGTTGAGATATTGAAGACTAGGAATCAGCCTTAAAGACGCGAGGGATGTTATATTCGGTAACTTGTTGTGGCTTACATCCAATGCAACCAGTAATTGCATCGCTTCCAGACCTGTAGCCGGACCAATTGCCACTATAGTTAGTCGGCAGGAATTCAAAAACTCCGTTAAAAGTGATGGAAGCTCAGAACTGAGCATTGTATCTAGACTTATTTTCATGTCTGTTAACGAGCTTGTCTTACATTAACCTAAGAAACAAATTGCTGAAATATACATCACTACCTTCAGAGAGTCCAAACTTTAAACTTTCTGAATGTGCTAAAATATCGATGTTTCAGTGCATTTCTCGGAAAGTTCAGAATGCAGGATAAGAAGGATAGAGAGTTCATTGCCTGTGCTGCAGAATGTAAAATCTTTTGTTGCTTAAGTAAATCTTCAAAAATGACAGAAAGTGTGGCGAGAAGCGCACTCACCATCAACGGTGCGCAGCTGATTATGACTTAAATCGAGTCTCTGCACCCAGAGTAGTCTCTCTACAGATCTAAAGTCGCTCAAAGAAAGTCCATTCCACCGAAGCCAACCAGCTGACAACCGGTCTTCCACGTCCCACCAGAGTTTTTGCAAAATATCTGGACTTCTAGTTATCTGCATTGTTATCATACATGCAAATTAACGGTCTCATTCAATACATACTTAAAAGACAGAAAACTAGAGTGTGCACTGCAAAAGTCTGATATTCCGTGGCAAATCCATACGGTGGTGAAATTCGATTTTGGATCTTGTGAACAAAATGTTTTTTCGACCAAAGAACCAAAGATAAGTAAATCCTTCATTATTCCAATAAGAGAAACAAGATCAACACCGAGATGGGGATGAAAGGTTGACGAAGAATAAAATCCATCGGCCCGACTTTTAAACTTATCAACAGTGGGAATTCTTCACCAAGAGGATGTTGAAAGAAGAAGATCAAGGCAGTAGTAAGGTAACTCTAACCAAGGTAGACGAAGACATAGCAGAATATTAGTGAAGTAGAGAACAGCATTTCATGAGAACGGAAAACTAACCTTATCAACGTACAGGATGCTGTACTGAGCCTTGTAATACTCTGCATGGTCTGGGTCGATGTCTGGCAAGCGTTTGTACAACTTCAAAACTTCATCCGTATACCGGGAGGCACCATGTGCTGCTAAAACTCGAGCAAGCGTTAAAAGCGTCCATTTGCTGCAAGACCAACATGACCAAACACGATGAGCGAGAATATCAACTACAAATGACTTCAGGATAGTATACTATATCACGAAGAAATACGAAATATCGACTGATATGCAGGTTCATCAGCTAGCTTGTAGGACAAATTACTATACAAAGAAGATGGTGGAGAAAACAGGTCGAAATCACGGAAGCAACATCTCCATAAGATTGAGACTTTCGAGAATTCAAAAGCTCAATTAGACAAGAAGGCTGTTTGAACCTGTTTTCTTCCAGTTCAAGGAGCTCACGCAGAATATCAACTTGCTCCTCCAAAACTGTTTCCTGCCAGTTGTCTCGCCTTAAATATCTTGTAGGATCTTGTTTGATGGAGCCAGGTTCAGCAGACGATGGATCAACGGTCAACCGCTCAAGTTCAAGCCTCATCCCTACTTGAGACTCATCTGATGATGACTTTTTACTTGGCCAGGAATAACACTCGCTTCTCGAGTTTTGATCTCTGGACACTTCGCTTGTGCCACGCTTTGTATATTTTAACTTGAAACTGATTGGTGTATTTTGACATTCCTTAGGAGACGACACTTCCACAAAAAAAGTGTACTCTGTTTCCGCGAAGGACTGTACGGGGATGTCTGCTAGCCATGCCCTTGAAGGCGCCTCTGTACCAGAGACTGACCTCCACTGTACCTCACTCAAATGTGGCAATTCTGGCTTAGATCTTATTGTGGCAGCTACGTCGGAAAATTCCTCATTGAAGTAAATTACGAGAGTCAAAGTACGAGACTCAAACCTGTGCTCAGAATCCAAAGGAGTCCTGAAGTTAACAGCCACAAATGAAGAGCCTTCCTGAGCATCGACAGAAATTGAAGAGCCATCTTCTGGCCACGACCCTACTACATGTGGCCCGGACTCTATCTTCGTCTCCCCCAGAAGCCATGTGTTGTAAAACCAAGCAGATTGATCATCTGGTTCTGTGAAATAGGCTTGATTCACAAGCCTATATTCTTCGTTCAAGACATCCTCCTTGTTCTCTTTACCTTTTATCAGAGGTGATAGAAGTTTACTGCAAGTCAGCCCGAGCACGTCTCAGTGATGCAGTTCTATCGGTATACGCCCACAACGTATAGAATATATATTAGTAGTGAGATTTAAGAAAACGATAAATGATGACCCAAAGTACAAAATAGGTGTGTGCTGATCAAACTCTATTATCTAGTGGTTCTGGCACTCAATCATGTGACAAGTGGAGTTGGATGGAATTACGAGGGAGGATACCTGCGATAGTGCCAAGCGGAGTAATTACTGAAGTTCTCATTGATTTTCTCAGTTGCATACTCCAGCTCCTTCTCTGGAGTCATGCCTTTCATCTCTACGCAGAACCTGCCGAAGAAGTGCAAGTTAATCGAAAAGGTGACTGCGAACACATGCACAGAACTGAATGTCCATGACAAGGACAAACATTTAATTCATACAGAGAGACGCGTACAACTTATACAGTTTTTCCAGACATACAAAAAATAAAGAGAACCAAAGTACTTCAGGTGAGATCAGTATTCTAATTACTGGAGATGTGCCCATTGAGCACATCTTCAGAACTAGACAATTAACTAAAGATCAGCGCAGTTTTGAACTCGTACACATTCCATCATATCGCATTGTATCATCCATTGCTGTCTGGTACTGGGTGGAATTTCGATCGGCTTAATTCGTGCAATAATGCGTGCCGAAATGAACATAGAAATTACCTTCTGTAATTCCATCCGTGAAAATTTCTGCAGTCAGCCTTCAGAAGCATCTTCAGCAGCATAAATTCATGGTCCAAAGATGACAATCCAAAATCAATGACCCATTTACGGTGGTGCCAAGCTCCGTAAGATTTGACGTTGGATTGCAGCGCTCGCTCCACCTGCTCTTGAGAAGCACAGCGCCAAGTATAAAGGGACAAACAAAAGCACAGATTTACTGACAATGACAATCAGGCCTGAACACCACAGAGTCCATGATTTTGGTTTTCTCAAGGCAACCATCTTGATCCTCAACTACTGGAATTGGTTGCCATCCCCTAAAAAGAACAATCTATGAATCAGAAACAGATAGTTCTCATCAAGTTAGAAACAACTGAGATACCAGTTAAGAAACAAACATATGGGTTCAATAGTTAATGAACAAATCAAATTGAACATGAGCAGCAGCAAAAGCTCAGCATGAGGTACCAGCTGAAGCTCCTCATCGAGAATAAGTTTTCGTGCAGCTTCGTCGATCTCAGACTCGAAGAGATGCCGCACAGCGAGCTTCCTGTAATTCCAGGCCGTGTAAACCTCAGGGTTGAGCTCCAGCAGCTGCGCATTCTGCTTCAACGCCTCTTTCGAGTAACTACAACCATCCCATTGCCAAACGATTCATCACCAGAGTCAGCAGCAGAAAGCGGGAGCTTTCAGACCACGAGTTCTCACGAGTCGATCCATCGATCCCTATCCAAGACATAATTTCACAGCAGCAGCAGGAGCAGCAGTACCATCTCTCGTGATGATTCCGGAGAAAATCCGACAGCAATTTTTTCAAATTGTTCGTCTTCGTCTGATCCTTGCCCTTGTCGGCCGCCTGGCCGATCGGAATTCGCTTCCTGCCATGCATCACTCACCCCTCCTTCTCTTTCCCGAAAATCTCACTCCGCCTCTCTCCTGATCGATCGACCCAACGACCAACCGGATCAATCTGCAGAAGAACAAACCAAAAGACAATCAATGGCGACCCGTATGAACGATCGCGCTATTCCACAGCCTAATAATCTTCATGCTCGAGCCTTGATTACTCAGCTCCGAAAACAAGCTTAATCCTCTCACTGCTCCGACAATTTCCCTCCATTTCTTATACCTCGACAATATCACGAAATCCGAGCTCCGCTCGTGCGATGCACAAACACCTCGATCGAATATCGTAACATCAAAAACTCAAAACCTTTAATTTCGTCCAGTTTTTGTTTAATTTAGCGGTCAGTAATTTAATCAGCGGGCTTTAATCCGAGCCATCGGTTATTGTATCAGGCAATTTCACGTCTCTCCGCGACATGAAAAGCCATGACATGGAGAGGTTCTCGTACATGGAGATGATTTTTTAATCCTCGGTCTTCGCTTAAACATTACACGATTCGACGAGATTTAATTTACACTAAGCCGAAAGGTTAATCTAAATTAGCTGTGTAATTAATTAGTGGGCCGACCAACGACCAAAGCTCGTGCCGAGGCCGCGCAACTCACATCTCGTGACGAGGACGAACTCCGTATCCTCCGGTCACTGGAGTCACTGGCCAGAACTCCGCAGTACGACGAGGAACCCGGCGGATGTACCTCGTACGAGATACGGTGCAGGGCTACAGAAGAGAGAGAGATGGAAGCCCATGCAAGACAAGAACAGCCCTAAAGCAACCGTCGCGGGCCGGTGACGGGCCAGAGGCGTGACCGGAAGGGGTTTAGGCAGGCTTCTCTATATAGGGCGAATTTTGTATGTTCCGTATCTCAACAAAATAAGGATAATTTTCAAAGCAAAATACAGAATATATGTATCTTGACAGCAATCTCTAATGTTTTCGGCCGAATTTGACGGCAATATAATGCACCTTTGAGAGAGATGCTATTGTTTTATCTGTAACTATCCTTTTCCCATTGCACCACTGATAAATCACCTCCCCAAAATGTGCAAACTAATCCACACAGGAAATCTAATCTTACTACCTGGAATCAGACTGATAAGTTAACATATTTTTGTGAACCGAGAACGTAGACAAAACCAAAAGTGTTTGTGTTGGTTCACTATTTTATCTCTTTTTTTCCCAAGAAAATTTAACATGATCTTGATATTTTAGAACTAGTTGAAACAATGAGTCCAAATATTAGAACTTGCCGGGTTGAACTCATCCGTGTCCTCACCGCAAAGTTCCAATTTACTAATTCTCTAGTAAAAAAACCGAGATCAACAAAGACATTGTCACAAAGCGGTCACGGCACGGTTTTAGTTGAGTATATCCTTTAGTTTCTCGAGTAAAGCCACCTAGTTCAACAAATAAATTATCAACAACTTTCACAGCCAAGTTTTAGTTGAGTAACTCCGGTACTTTCTCTAAATAACCTGGCTAGATAACAAATATTTTTCTTTTTGAAAATACGGAATTTTCTGAAAACGAAATAAGTACGGAACTCGAGAGTGGGATTGCCGTATTTAGAGAGGGCTGGGTTTAGACCGCGACTCCGAGCCTGGCGACCGGCGGACGGCGTCGAGGGACCGCCGGAAGAAGGAGGAGGAGGCAGAGCAGCGGCCGCCATCGCGGGCCTAGGGGAGAGACGTTGAGCAGTAGTAGGCCGGAGCGCTGCCGTGGGCCAATTCAAAGTCGGTCGCGGCCTCTGGCGCTCGTCGTCGAAGGGATTGCGAATTCGGGCCAGGGCTCGATGGCTCATGCTCCACGAGGGCGCAATTTCTTCTTCTTTTGCTGATGCTTCTGATTCGACCAGCGCGAGGGACGGAGGGCGGTGGCTGGAGGTGACGCGATCCGTGGGGATTGAGGATGGTCGCGGCCGTGCAGAATTTCGCGCAGGAGAAGGAGCGGCATTGGCGGTGAGGATTTGGGTTTCGCGGATTCTTTTTGGAGCTGGATTTGAGCGCGGGGCGGGTTTGTGGAGGGGAGAATTTGGGTGGTGGTAGCGGTGGGAGGAGATGATGGGCACGGGCGTGCCTTTGCCGAAGGATTTGAAGGAGTTTTCGACTGCCAAGTATTGGGATTCGTTCTTCAACGCGCGTCGCGGGAAGCCTTTTGAGTGGTACGGCGAGTGGAAGGACATTTCGAAGCTGTTTTTGGCGCAATGTGGTGTTTCGACGGATTCGAAGGAGAAAGTTCTGATTCCAGGATGTGGCAATTCGACTCTGTCCGCCGACATGTACGATGCTGGGTTTACCGACATTACGAACATTGATTTTTCTCGTGTGGTGATCTCCGAAATGTTGCGCCAGCACGTCCGATCGCGCCCTCGTATGCGCTGGCTCGTCATGGACATGACAAAAATGCAGGTGTTATTTTCCCTCATTGTCTGCCTGAGTTTAATGTCTGCTCAAGGACTGATTACTTTCTCAATTTTTTAATTGAATTCCCTTATTCGTACTCCATTCACGCTGTTTACTTTTCGTGCTCTGTCGTGTGTTTCAGAGAATGAGTGTTACTGATATTTCCTGTGTACTGTACACCCTTTGAGGATTTTGTACCTTCGGCCTCTACGTATTCTCGTCGTCGTAGCTGCCCGTGATCTGAAGTTCATATCTTCTGCACTGTGAACTGCAGATGGCGTCTTCCCAATTCAGAAATAATTGCTGCTTGTTTTCTTTTCGCGTGTAACGTACCTCATACGATCTATCTTGGGACACATGTGTTGCCCCTGTCAGTCGGAGAACGACCTGATTACACAACTTTGCCTGTCTTTCTTTGTCTGGATGACCTTGAATCTCGAGATTTGAGGCAATTCTTGCAGGAATTTCAAAGGAATGTCCGTTGCTTTACCTTTGAGACTGAAGTGTCTCTTGGTGCGTTTGCAGTTTTCCGACTCATCGTTTGACGTAGTGGTGGATAAGGGAGGACTTGATGCAATTTTGGGGGAGCCAGAGGACGAATCAACAGCCGGCGTCGCTCTTCTTTCCGAGGTCTCTGATGAATCTTAGCAAGAAATTACCATGTTGTGTAATAACACGTTGTGAGGGTGTAGCTGGACACAGTCCAGATTAGAAAGAAAGACAATTGAGGTCAGTAATAATTACATTCGTAGATTGAAAATATTAAGGTGGGTACACGAGGGAGGATACTGACAGTTAGGGTGTTCATGAGTTCAAGGAGGTTACTCTCTTGAAGAGCACAGAATCAACAGCGGCCATAACTTGTGATGATGACCTTTACGCAGATTCTTCTGCAGGTACAGCGCTTAGTAAGTGATTAAGTAACTTCAACTCGATTTTTTTGTAGGAAACTCAAGATTTCGCTGGTGGCTTATAGCAAGTTTCTTGGTTTCAGCTGGTTCAGCTGGTCTACACGCTACTCTAATCACAAACCAAAACCCTCAATTGAAGAATCATTTGTCAACTCAGTCACAGGACAAGTGGGATTTTAGTGAATCTTGATACTTACGGTAATAACTGGCATCGAAGGAGCATTAGCTAAACATCAACACCTAACCTTTATTGGTTTGACAGTCCCATTATGCAGGGTTCGCCTGGGACCAACGGAGTAGTTTTTGCAGGCACAGCAGGGAATCATATAACTTTAGCTAGATGGTTACACCTTCGACAGTAACGAACTTCCTGAACCCTTCCGGACACAGTTACTATAACCAGCTTGAGCGGCAACAATATGAACATGCAATTTCGAACATTTCATGCATATGCATATGTTGAAATGGAAAACCGGCATCCTATTACACCCGGGTTCCCGCTGACAACTTAGTTGTTTTGATCTTGTTGCAGGTCAAGCGTGTGCTAAGACCTAACGGCAAGTTAGTCGTCATTACTCTGGCGCAACAACACGTGATAGGTAACGACACATATCGAACACCTTAGTGACTTTTTTGTACGCTAGATGGTCGAATCCATGTGTTCTTCATTTACTTTTGAGGTTTTCAAGGAGATCATCTAATTGTAATGTTTGGAAGCCAGTACACTGAAGGAACATGTTATAACACTGGTGCACTCAAGTTGATGTTTCTCACCCTCACATTGTGTATCTGTAGAGTTGTTGCTACTGACCTTCAGGGAAGGTTGGCACCTTAGTATATATGCTTTACAGCTGACAAGCTCCTCGCCATCTAGCCTGCAACCGTTTATGGTCATCGCCAAAAAGGAGACTAGGGCGAAGTTGCCCCTAGTATCGTTGGATTTAAGTTGGCAAGGAGCATCAAATAAATATCAAGTAAGTGTTCAACGTATGACAAATAGGAAATAATGCATGGATCTTTCCATGCATTATTTCCGGTCTGAACCTGTAGTAAACAGAAGATGAAGAACTGTAAACGCGTTCTTTATAAGCTCACATAAGAGTGAAGAATTTGAGTGTCGAAGGTTTTGCCTGTCAAATCTTTTCAATTTGGATCATGGTGAGCATATAAGAAATATGTGTGTATGGAAGCTGTTTGCAGAGTCAAGTGTGAAACTCCTTACGGTTATGTGCTTATTACTCTCTTCAGATGGAGGACGTTGTTAAAGCCGTGGATCACGAGAACGTCTTGCGTAGTCAAGGACTCTGTGAAGCCAAGGCACCAAAGAGCCCTGAAATTAATCCTGAAGATTCGTACGAAAGTCTACATCCTGGTCGCCGATTGACCATGAACTTGGGCAGTCACCGTTCACAATATAATTACACAGCTGTAATCATGGATGCTAAGGAAGACATCATACCTGAGTATCGATGTGCTGTTTTCTTGGTGCCGAAGGTGAGCGGTTTATTTGCGCTCTGCTGACGAAGTCAATTTTTATATCTCATACACTTTGGAAGAGAGATCTTTGGGTTTTTATTCCTCAATGTTTCCATTGGTGACGTTTGAAGTTCGTCTTCTATGATGATTTCTATTTCGGAAGATCTGGTGGCATGTCTCTGACTACCTATTTGTACGTACTGGTACAAACAAGGTTGGAGATATGCAATTGGAAGAGGAGAAAAGAATTTGTCTATAGACAAGATTGCAGCTGATTATCCGATCCTGAAATTGGACTTTGCATGAGTAGACTTTTGAAGCATGAGAAGCTAAAGACTTCTCATGTGTACGTGTGCCTGTAACTAAAATCCCCACAAGCTGAAAGTATGTGTCTAAGTCGTAGTTGTAGATGTCCATGTCCCTTGGATATAAGTTACTAGCTTTATTATGATTGATTCAGACTAAACGAGAACTACCTATTTACTTGATCTGTACTGCATGCAGGGCAGAGCACATGAGTGGCTCTTCTCATCCGTTGAAGGGCAGTGGCAGGTAGCGGAGAGTACCAAAGCAGGTCGGCTCATCCTGGTAGAACTGCACTACCGTTAATCATTGACGATTTGCTTTATCGTTACCGACTATTTTCCATTGTTGATGTAATTTCTCGTTGACTGAATTATTCTGTGAACTGCAGGTTGCATTGGCACCTAATCAATACGTTGACAACATACTCAATGTGAAGGTACGGTTTTGTTCGTTCTGTTCTTATGAGAATGCACAAAACCTTCGCAATCTTCACTTAATCGGGAGCAGAATAGCTAAAACAACATGTTTTTGTATGAAACGGGTTAATTGGAAACAATCTGATAACGTTTCGTGGAATCTTCAGGATGATTTATCGCCACTGGTTAAGTGCCTGCTCCCTTTGGACTGTAGAGAAAGTTCCAATGTACCGTAAGTCAACGCTTTGCTCAATGAACATTTTCGTTTCGCACTTTTTGTCGGCTCATAAAGCTCGGCTACTCGTGTCTTGCAATTATATCTACCCGGATATACAGCGTCTCTTTGTTACTATGAGTCATGGACAATATGTCCTAAAAAATAGTCACAGTTCTAGGCACCTAATACAGAGCGAGAATGACTGTCAACTTTGAGTGACATCCCAAGTGTAAGATGCTACATGTCATGTAAAAGAGTGTTAATTTACGAAATATAGTACCTGAACAGAACAAGTCCGAAACGCTTGACACCTCTGGAACATGCAGCGTCTTCGAAATTTACGGATAGTCATGTTATAAATTTGCCAACTGGTTTCCACAGAACAAAAATTGTAGATGGACTCTAAGTTGCAATTGTTGCGTTCAATTTGATTTGCAGATATATGACGCAAGGGGATGGGATCTCGACTAGGAACATTTTGGATGAAGTAAGCTAAGTTGGATTCTATCTGCACTCTAGAAGCCCCGTATTGGAATTTGTTCGATCTTTATCTTGCTCCTACTTGTCCTCGTACAATATAGGTCCGAAGCTGTATCTGAATACAGCCCCGATAGGTGTGTTGCATGCATGCAGATTTTGTGTTTAACGTTCACATTTCCCAGCTTTGTAGCAACTGACCAAGTGCTTGTCTTTGGCATTTTGTTCTCTTTGTCCTAGAAGATAAATAGAACATATTCTAAAGTCAGGATGTGTGACAGGTCGAATCGCCCCTTACAGGAGCCATGCTTGTCGAAGACGTTTTTCTATCAGAAGAAAACACGAGCAGTAATAAGTCAGGGGAAGAATGTTTCCGTCGTCTGGTTTTCAGAAGAAACCCAAACTTAATACAATCGGAGGCACTTGTAGTTAGAGTGAAAACCTCACCGAAAGCTGAGGAGAAAGGGAAGAACGTTGGTGGAACTGGTCGTAAGCACCCCAATAAGAAAAAGGGCAAGCCTGCGAAGGACTCAGGTCTTACTCAAAAACAAGGTAGCCCCTGGGCACTCAGAGATGGGGAGGCGTTTACATGTACTTCTAACTATTTGTGCTTGTCATGCAAAAGTATGAGTTTTGCGAGTACGAGGAGAGCAAGTCATTATGTACAATATGGATGCAGCCTATGTAGACCAGAAGTAAATTTCTCTACAATACTGAAGAAGATCAAAGACATTCAAGAAATATTTTTATCGGGCTTGTAATTGACAGGTGAGGAGCTAAGAATTGATCACAGCTATTTAGCGAGTCCCTACCATGGAGGAATGATCGCAGCATTAATATTAGTATCGAACAATTTGGAGAACTGGTTAGCTTCAAAACAGCAGGTATGTTAGGAGAGATGTCCCGCACCTGACAGTTTTTTCTGCTTTACAAGGTGGCAATCATTTGTTTTCTTTGTTATTTCAGGGAAGATGAGCACATCTTACCTCAAATTAGTCTAAATGTACAAGAAGTTGTTCCTTGATATGTTCCTTGGTGATAGCACTACTATCTGTTATGTGCAATGTACTTGGTGAGTTCGTTACGGCTGATTTAAGTTATATCTTCCAGATAAGATGCATGATCGTAGGACTTGGAGCTGGGCTGCTACCCATGTTCGTGCACAACCATTTACCATTTGATGATATTCAGGTAACAATCTTGTGCATCATCATTAGCATTCATCATTATATGCCTGGTGTTTCATCCATCCATATTTACAAATGGGATTTGACAAAAACGTGGGAATCTTTACAGATTGTCGAATTGGATCCAGTAGTAGGGGATGTTGCCAAAAAGCATTTCGGTTTCATCGAAGATGAGCGAATGAAGGTTGGTTGTCCTGTATAAATTATGATCCCAAGATAACGGTTCGAATGCTTCTGCAACCATAGAGAAACCCTATTGCATTGTTGAAGTTGACCTAGTTATTTCGGTCGTACAATTATTTTGGAAGGCCTTCGATTAAACGTTGGAGCTGGTTTGCTCTTGAGTACTTTGTCGCTAGAAAACTCACGAAATTGCTTTTACTTTGGACTTTGTGTTCCAGCTCGTAATCGGCGATGGTATAGATGCTGTGCAAGAGATAGCTGATACCGCAACCACTTCGAGCCCCCAAAATGGTATCGAAGACGCAGAGAGATCCACATCTGATGGTGGCTTGAATGGAAAATACACAAGTGAGGAATCCTCTAGCGAGTTGCACGAGGAAGAGTCAACAGCTTCTCCTTCTCATGCAATTTTGAAGAAACTGGACTTGAATGGGGAGGAAAAGCCTAGTCAACGGTCAGCTGCTACCAGCACAGATTCCAGGCTTCATGTTCTTATAGTTGATGCAGACTCCGAAGACCCAAGGTGACTGCTTGAGGGATATGCTGAGGAGAGATCTCTTCTCAGTCCCTTTTAAGTTTAATGCCATCAATGTGGTTTGTCCTTACATCAATGTTGTCGGTTAAAAATTATTGACATGTGTCCAAACTTTCCTCTGATGATTCGTCAGCAGTCTCTCTAACAGGACGTCGTTATCTCTTACGTTGGTCTGTACCTGACTATCCATTGATTACTTGCCAGTTCGGGATTGAGCTGTCCGCCCCAAGAGTTTATCGAAGATAAATTCCTGATCGCTGCGCGAGATGCCCTTGCCGAAGGTGGAGTGTTGATTATTAACGTTGTTTCAAGGGCAACGGCACATCATGTCACATACGTTGCCCAACTGAAAAAGGTATGGTTCTCGTAAAGTGGGAAAAAGTTGGGTAATTTGCTCTTTGTACCTTGGATGTAATTATTTTAGTCCGATGGGTGTGAAGCCGATAGATCATGACAGGGCATATTGTTTATTGTTTATTTCAGATACCTCTATGGTTAAGTATAGTTTGTGTTTCATAAGTAGCATCTTCAAGTTACTTGGTGGTTTGAAAGTAGGAGTTTGATGAAATGTGCTATTCTCTGCGATGGTTGGTTATACCTACCTAGCTGTACACCTATCTCACTAATTTTTCGGATCTTTTTTCTGTGTGTAGTATTTTGTGGAGGTTTATGATATCGAGGTTAACGAAGATGTGAACCGGGTGCTTATTGCTCTTCCTCAGCCAAGGAATAAAGGGGCATCCTCCGATATCATGCACGACTTGTCCAAGTTAGAGAAGATAGTGACACAATTTGCCCCGTGGCGAAGTGGTCCAGACCTCAAAGAGATTGTGAAGAGCTTGAAACGCTTGAAATAGACATTAGAAACAGTCTTTCAAAAATGTGTGAAGCAATTGGAGCTTATTATAGCAGGCTGGCCTGTCACAAGAATGGGAGATTATCCTGCAAATTCATATTCGAGTTTCTTGGCATCATTCTATGATGGTTATACTTACAGTGAATGGCTGCTCATTATTCCCATGTCAAGTACTTGGATTCGAAAAGTGGTTGACAGTCTAATGGCTCTAAAGTCATTGCTCTTCCTCAGTATGCATGTTTTTTCCAAATGCGTGTAGCGACTAGCATTGAATTGAGAAGCTGAATATCTCCCTGAACAACTCCCAGAAAAAAAATTACTCCTATGAGAGTCTGCGGAGGCAATCAGAAGTAGCAACTTTTTCGGCAATACGCTTTATTACAGACAGTCATGGTTGCCATCTTCGCAAAACATTGAGCCCGAAAGTCTCGTATGTTTCTCTGCAGGTTTATAAGATCAATTGGGACTGGCAACAGACACGTCCTCCTACACGGATGACATGTCTTAACCAAACCTCTGTATATATCAGAAATTAGATCCTTCAGATCGCGATAACAATCCTTCCGAACCAAGTCAACAAGCACCCAGATTCTGAGTGATGCGCCACTCACGATTTAATTTACCGCACCCTTCGACAGTGCCTGCGAAACGATCTATCGCTCACACAATGGACGTTTCCATGTCACCAGAATCGGATGAAGTACGGAGTAGTTTGAAGTAACGCAATTACCAACATATTGAAGTTTTAATCTGCATGAAAATCATCACTCGACTTTCTACCGTTGTGGTGAAGTCATGGCCTACTTAACTCCTAAACCATCCGAGTGAGCTTGTTCCTGCAAATTGTAATTCGGCTTTCTGTAGACGCAGACGCAGTGATATTGTACTGTACTGTTGAAAGAGCTCATGCCACCAATTGATCCTCCCTCTATTTCTCTCCACTCGGCCCAGTTACAATTATTAAACTCCTGATATACGAGAGAACGTCTGTCTTATTCCTCACGAAGACATCCATGCTTTGTTTGGGAATCTTCTCATAATTTAGCATTCTCATCGAATTGGGAACAACTATCGTCAGGTCGCATTCGAAGTTCTTAAATCGTTATGCTAATTGTATTCATTGGTGGAGGGCCGCGCGAACGCGAGCCCTCCTCTATCACAAATTATGACGTGCATTTTCCCCTTGGGGAAATGCTACAACTTGCCCGATCGTAGTGCAATGAAGGAGCTCGTCGTAGGTCATCGCCCTTTCGGATCAGCGATAGGCCCCGCCCAGGTAAGTATGCTTCTTTCTCGTTTCAGAGGCAAATTATATGTTCCATCTCATTACTAGCCCTTCTCCACTTATGGGTTTAAAAATATGGCTCCCTGCCTTGCATTCTTCCTATCAGCATGATGCCCGGCTTCGTCCCTTTCGTGCCTTCCCAGCCGTGGATTCGTCGATATCTCGTCGGGTTACAGATTTGAAACTTTGATGCGCCATCGTTGCGGGAGATCATCTTCACACTCACTTCCTTGATACCGATTTCCTAAAAGAACATTCTGACATTTCGTTGTATGATGAAGGCATTTTGGGAACAACATTTCTGAAGTTTGGTTATTTCTAAAAACTCTATGGATCCAAGTCTTAGATACGCGACCTCGATGCCCGCTCTTGAGACTCTTACAACCATCACATTCGTTCTTCATCTCATCGAATTTTGTCTTTTGAAGAAACATATCGAGTGCATATGATATATCTTTCACTTTTCAGCAGATCATAGCAAAGAGTTTTCTCTTCTTCAGGACATCTTTAATTTGAGTGGAGGCGAACAATCTTCATCTGTTATCGAGTATACTGACTTCAGATATTTTATTTTTGATCACTGATTGCAGGTCATATCAGGGCATCTGCTCACCTCATACAATAATGCTTAAATTTTGCTTGGAAGTAAAGATTGTCTATACACTTGCTAGGTTAGGTTGATATTCATCCCACTTTTCATCTCCAGTGATTGTGGGTAGAGTTTGAGGATCTCACATGAATGAGATTGTTACACCAGAACAGCAGAATTAACTTCTCTGCGCTTATAGATAATCCTCGCAATTCAAGTAAGTTATTCTATCTGCTTTTCTATTTTATTTTATTATGGGGACCAACAATATGAGGGATCTCTTGGTATCATTTTCGAGAGAAATAATGAACTACGCAAATAAGCATTAAATTTTTTTCCCCCTTGACCTTGTGAATCACCATTTATGCTACCTTACAACAGAAGAAATACATATAGGGGTCAACAAATTTATTTATCATATATGTTGTCATGGGAAGTCAAGCTTCAGGATGGATGTAGAGGAATATGTAGCTCGGCAAAACTAAAATGGATCCTGAACAGAAGCCTTTATAGGTCCATACTTTATCATTCTGTCTTTCCATTCGAAGGTCCTAAGAATTACTGTGTGTGATTCAAGGTTTCTGAGCACCACATAAAAATACAGGGCTGGCATTCGTCCATTGGGAAATTCCTACAAACTAGAACCTCTACCTCAATTTCTTCTTAAGCGATCGCATTACTGTCACTATATTTGCAGAGCTGCAGCACCTTGCTGCTTGCACTTCCGTGGGAGTCATAACAGAGAAAATAAAAGAATGATACAATGACACAAGAACCAAAATTTATCCAGGAAGTCATCGAAGCAGTGTTTCATGGAAGGGTGCCAGGTCGTTCCCACCCCTCCCTTTTGTGACCAATGATGTTTGTTCTGCCACAACATGACCTGGACGTGTACCGAGGTGAGACTCAAGTTCATCCCGGGTCCAGCCACACGATCCAATTGCAACATGATTGGGTTGTGACCAAATCAAAGCCTCAAGAGTCGTTTTCTCTATTCTGCATATTTGCTTCAAAACTTCTTCACGTCTTCTGAGGATTGATTGTGTGAGGAGGAGCTGCTGGTCAAGAAACCATAAGAGTCCGAAAAGAGGCTGCAGTGCTGAACTGGAGTTGTGCACACTCATGAGCGTACCATGATCTGGTGCTTGTGATTGGAATATTCAGGTGAGTCGAGTTCAGAGTTTTGAAATTCGAGGTTTCAGTATGGGAGAAGTGCTCAAACTAAACCTACATGACTAAGTCTGCTAGATTATCCATTTCTTCGGCAACTGATCTGACTGTGGCAGATCCTTCAACCATTCCCTTGAAGGTATCTGCAGGTACAGCTAAGAATCTAGTCGATATTGGAAGAATATTCAAAGATTATTGACCAATAAAAAAACACTTTGGATAAAATTTGCCACAATTTTGTGGCATGAATGTGGTCTCTAATGGTTCCACTTGCTCATGAGACGATGAGATAGAATGAGAGTGACTGGAAAATGCTCGGAAAACTGTTGATCGCTTTATAAAAATAATGAAAGTCACACGAGAACGTCAAGGCTAAAATTACAATCACAACCTGTAGGTTGCGAATTTCATGGTTCCAAGGAAGGGACAGTCTGAGCAGTAGAGTTACAGCAGCAAGTATTCAGGGCAGGGGTGTCCTTTCATCTCTCGTAATGATCTTTGGACAGATGTATCTTGTGGCAGCCATGGCCCAATGGCAAAATCAACATTCTACTGCTTCTCAGAGCGCTTCTGGTCGCCGTGGTCCATCTGCAGTACAAGTCGTTGGCTGGCAGGCGGCCTCAAAGAGGTAGATCCAGACCTTTACCGACCTCCACTCCGATCATTTCGAGTAGACCTTTCTTGGCAAACTGCACAGAGCAATTCACCTCGTGAGAATAAGATCACTGCATCTCAACATGTGCTGTGAGATTCCTAACCAAACACCAGGGGCCCTGCTCGGAAATTCGACTCAGTCCTCTCGTAGTCAGATGGACATACAAGAATCTAGCTCAAAAGTACTCCCGGCACTGCATCAAATCAGAAATATTTTCGTTTGAACTCATACAGAACTAAATGTTCTCCTACATTAGTCAAGACATGATCAAATCGCCCCATTGACCGGCTGTGCAATTCCTCTAATTCTGACCTCTTCGAGATTTCTCTGACTGAATCTTCCAGGTTAATGCGAACTACTGTACTCTTATGAAAGACCAGGAGGTGCGTCAATCTCAATTGCAGGCTTAGGTTGAAATCAACAAGGTTTTGCAGTTCCAGTCAGAGCAGAAGAAATGACAGTCTTGGACCAATGCGCAAATTCTCATCCCACTAAGAGGAAAATACTACAAAGTTATCAGAGAGAGTAAAATTTCATTGCAGCGGATTCTGATGCTGCATAATTAAACCGACGACCTCGTGATTCAGTCCATGGACAGCAGAGAGTTTCATAACTGGGCAACGACCGTCCGACCTCTTGAAGAGATATGCTGAAATCGAATAAATAACGGTAACATTGTCTGGTCGCCCTCCATTGACATAGTATAATAAGAAGCAGGCAAACATAACATGGAAAACTTATTAAGCGGTGCAGGCAAAGGAGCAAAGGAAGAGAGTGGGTCTAGAGAGCTGCACATACAAGTTCGAGAAGGATAATGCCGAATAGACCGATCATGGAAGCCCTGGCGTTCCAAACCTCAGCGTTCTCTGTGAATCCCCAGAATGATGTCGGCAATTTTGGCTCCTCCTTGGGAGCTTCGACCTGCACTCCCAACGCAAGCAAGAGCATTCATCAGCCACAATTCACGAGGAAAATTTCAGCACACTGGACTCTCTGATTCCTAGCCACAACCAAATCATGAAAATTGCACCCGTTTACAAATTGAAGCAAAACTGTGTTGCCGGAGTCTTGGCTACGAGCTCATGAGAGCTAAGAATGTTCAAAAGCCACAGACTTTCCGCCCAAAGTACTCAAACAAAGCCGACCAGCACAGAATAATTCGAGCACACTCGACGACGCCAAGGAGCGATTTCAATTACTGTAAGGAGGAGGAGGAGGAGAGGGCTCACTCCTTTGGGGAGCTTGGCAGCGCAGGAGATGGAGCTGCGGCGGGGCCTGCTTCCGAAACTCTTGACGGACGATCTCCGGCTCAATTGCAGGCTCAAGCTCTGGCCATGGAAGCACGAGACCAAATTCTCGCTCCCCTTCTTCGCCGATGACAAGCTGCTGGCTGAAATCGCAGAAACTGCACACGTAGCAGCAGCAGCTGCGGCGGCGGTCGCCATCGCTGCTTCAAGGCAAAATCACAATCACGAGCGCAAATGCTGATCAGAGCTCCGCGAGACCACGATTTCACTTTCTCTTCCTTCCGTCGTTCATTCAACGCCGAAGGGCGGGGGTACAGGGAGGCGTTCCGGGCGACGAGGGTGGCTCTATCCGCTAGACGCACAAGTGGGGCACTGGTGGTCCGTGGCGGAACTACAACGGCATGTCCAGTCACTCTCCCCTCTCCCCTCTATAAATGTTATCCCTGCGCGCGCCGCCCTCCACGTCACCCATGACAGCTCCTTATCTGTTATACTCGACCACTCTCTGTCCCTGCGCGCGTGTTCTCGGAATTCTCGACAGGATCGATATAATCGAGATTTGTTGTCTCGATTACAAATTACATTAATTATTACAGTGTATTAATACGAAAATTAATAATATGCTCTATACATCAGAACGAATTCATTGGGAAGTTTGCGATAATATTTCGTTGAGCACTAATATAATGCTTCATGGGAGTAACAATAAAAGGGCGACATGCTAATCTAGCAGTGAGCAAGATTGGAGGGAGAATCTCGAACTAAACGCGTATCTGTTCTGTAGTAAATTCTATGTAAGCCTCCTGATCATCATACATCTGGAGTCTCTCACATGTTCTTCAGTATCGAGTCTGAGCTTTGATGATCGATCAATACCTGATGTTGTATACCCAGGTATGGTTATAAAATTCACTCGTCTAAATAAGGTTAATTAAGTTTCCTAAAAAAATTAATTTAAGATAATTTAGTCTTCTCAAAAACGTTAATTTAGGTTAATTTAGTACCCTTACAATTTTAATTTAGTCTACTAAAAAGTAAATTTAGCCCAATTTAATTTCTATAAAAATTTAATTTTTTTCTATTAAATTAATATTTTTTTAAAAAAATAATTTTGAAAAAAATTTAAATTTTTTGAAATTAAATAAATCTTGAAAAATTAAAGAAAAAATTCCATCAATTTGACATAGGTGTACTCTCCCCTAATCACACCCACCTTAATTTAGGCACCTAATCACCAGATAATTTAGACGACCATATATAGGTTCGCCTAATACAACCATGCCTGTGTATATCCCAAAGAGGATAATGAAATCTCATGGAAGGAATATGTGTCCACATAGTTTGCGTTTGAATTTCATGAATCAAAAAGTGTGACTCATTTTGATACCAAACTGAGGGAGAACTAGACCCTCCGATTCTTAAAGAAGCAGATGAAGAAAGAAGAACGTTTTGAATGAGCTCAAAGCAAATCTCAGAAGGAAGGTAGATTTGCTCCGAGTCATGTTTGTCAAATATTCTGGACTTCCAGACGAGGTTACAGTGTCAAGCTAGATTTGAGCTACCTTCGAATTTCTTGAGCAACCAACAGAAATAAGTATCCAGAGCATGTAAGTAATCTCTATAATTAACAAGCTGCAAACCCGATCACAAGTCAAATCAAGCGATCCATTCGAACCCATTCATTTTATCCTCCTCGTCAAGCGTCAGCATTGATCCACGAGCCCATGATATCGAGAGTTACTATCTTTGTGTAACGTCTAAGAAATACGATAAAAAATCATTGAAATCAGTTTTATGATGAGTGATAAGTCAGGGTAGTTAAAATCGTATCACGAATGATGAACATACGCTAAGAGTAGGATGTGATTACACCCAATCTTTTGCTACATATATGTTTTGGGTGTTAAATTTGGTAATGCTCATTTTGCAGCTAGTATTATTATTCATCTAACAATTTCTGAGTACTTATGCAATTACCATAGTTCTATGTTCTAGTCACTTGGCTTTGTTAGTCCATTTGCTGAAGAGTGTTGTAAAAATGCATGGATGGTGATAAGAAAGAAAACAGCCTGGGCATGTGATAGATCGACCACCTTCAAGTATATCGTGGATGATCATTTCGAATATCAGTAAAAGCATATGCTATCCCAACACTTGCTCCATATGATCACGAAAGTACATCATTCCTCGAGTACAGTCTCCAGATCAGCTAAGAGATCATTCTCCAGAAGGAGCCTGGTTTTTTTTATTTAATTTTTTTATAATTATCCAAAGTAAGTATAATTAAAGTCAACTTCACATCAATATTTATGATTTTAAGATTTTCTAAAATTTACTTCAAATGAAAAGTGCTTATAATATCACAATATTAAATCTGCAAAATTCGATTGTTTTATATCAAGCTTTCTTTCACTGGCAGCTTTGGAGGGTGATTAAATTCTTCACATGGACTGATACAGATTCCTAAAAGCTGCAATTGTGGCCCATTGGAACCTGAAGCAAGTGCCAGTCCGGAAGCTCGCTCCAGTGGCAAGAATTGGCGTCGATCCAGAGTCCGAGAGTGGACACCTTGTAGGCGCAGAAGTGGCATGGCGCCACGAGAGAGGACTGGTGCTGCTCGTCAGCCCAGGCCGTGAACTTGAGGCAGCCGGGAGCATGAGCCAGGCCCACAATGCAGGTCCACCGATCAGCCTCAGCGTCGTGCATTAGCGGGTTGAAGAAGAAATTGCCCCCGGGGTGAGTCAGAGACGCCGCTACATGTGGTCCACTTGGATTGTCGGTGGGACTGCACTCGATGTTCAGACTGTCGTTGCTCTCGTCGTTCCAAACTGCCACTCGTTGAGCACAAAGCAGTGGTTGCACCGTCTGTGCAGCAGTTGCAGCTGGAGCTGCTGCTGATGCCTGCACTGAACTCAGCTGCCAGACACTCACACAAAGTGTAGAGATGATGATGAACATGGTCTCGTTCATCTTCATCTTCATCTTCTTCGCTGAGTGCAAGGTCATCTGTCTATTTTGGATGAATAGAGCTGTTGCTTGCAGGAATAATTCTGAGTTCAGAATTGCTGCATGAAGTGGAGACGAGGTGAAAGCTCTTCTCTCCATATTTGTATGGTGACTTTTCCTCTGGACGGTGGTGATGCTTGTACATTTGTATCACCAGTTGTTCACTCCTAGTGAACCACTGAACTGGATTGAACTAGAAGTGATCAACTTCTAGTTCACTTCTTCAATCAGTGCTTCAATCCAATTCCGATACATCTTCCTTGATATTGACAGCATGCACAAGATCTATGTTTCTTAAACTCTAATACTTATATTGACCATTTGACCGAGAAGTAAATATTCTAACTGATGATTGCCTTGAAACAGATCGCGATATAAGTACATCCAAGCTGAAAGTGACAATAGAAGAAAAAATTACTGATCAGAATTATAAATATATTTGCAGTGAGAGAGAGGGATGAATAAAAGTAAATGGCTTGAGTCATATCTTTGTCCATCTGTGCCATTTCTGCTTGAGTTTCTCCTATTTCTTATTAGACCTGTTCTCATATTCAGCTATAACATGATACAGAGAGGTGTCAAACAGATTTTGGGAAATATATCGCTTTCAGCCTGGTTATGTACTTCGTTAAAAGTAAGGACCTCAACTTTTTAGAAAATAGGAATGAAAATATAAAAGTCCTGCTGGAGGGTAATCTAAAAACGCAGTAGTTTTCAAACGTTTCTGAAGTACACATATTCTTCTGAACGTCTCTTTCACAAAGACTGTTGCCTCTTTGTTTTTGTCAGTCGTTCTCATGTTTCGGTTGAAATCTGGTTTTGGTGGTGCAAAAAACTCGAGAAATAAATATTTTGGAGGGCGACAATTAAGGGATTTACGACTCGGAAATCAACGGAAGATGCCAATTGATCGCACGGTTTATTTGCAATTTTCACAACAACTAACTTGAAAAAGTAGTCACAAGATCTACTTCCCGAACCGGTCGCTCAATTGGTGCCAACGCAGGTGAGCAGTTGCCAACACAACTCTTCCATGATCGAGCTGAGCAGTGCTCCGTAGGTGGTACGAAATTTCATGTCAATCATCTGCTGATTATGGACTGGGACGGTTACCCTTTTGGTTTCATTCGGTACGTCTTGATAGGGTCTTCCTATCATTACTGTTATTTTACTCCGTACTTTTGGGACTGGGTAGAGGTCACTCCATTGACTCTCTCAGGGTTTGGTTAACTACCTCGTGACTGACAAGGTCTGGGAATATCTAGCTCGACCGTGAGTGAGTGCATGAAGAAGTTCATCGTCAGTCCCAAGAATATCAAACTTACACGCTGGTGATGTGTTCAGATTATGAATTGAATACACAATATTTGATTGCACTTGTTCCTATCACACCGCACTCTTGGGTTAGTGTATCGATGTTAACAGATGTATACATCACTGCCTTTTCCTTCTCCGTCCAAACCGTGCTCAAGCAATCCCAACGTTTCAGGTAAACCTCAAACAGCTGCAGATGCGCCTCAATGAAGCCTTTGCCTTCACAACGAATTACGTCAACGCACGCTATGTCGTTAATTATTTCTCCTTGAGGGGCACAGTTGTATCGTCAGAGGATGACTCGTTAAATCTCCACAGCAGAAAATCAGGCGGTTGAGTAGATATGCGCTCTAAACGACAACAGATCTCAGACGTTTGTCGAAGAGAACATTGTAAGGGACCTCTTTGAGAAGGGATGAATGAAAAATAAGAGTCCTGGTGTGCACGGCGTGAGGGACCCTGTCCTCCATATTGAAGAATCTATCAGAGATTACTTTTCTGTCCTTGAAGCTTGGTTGCTTGGTACATTAACAGTAGAACTAGTGCTTGTCATGACGTACCAGCGAGATATGTAACCCATCAAAACCTTTGACCGACTAGGAGTAACGGAGTTAATCGGGAAAACTGATATGAATATCAGATTACAATCCAGACCCTAACGATTTCAAAGAACTCCAAATATCCTTCGTGAGCCTTTTTGCCTGCCACGCCTTACGTGTACCTTCATCTGATTAACCAACCAGCGGACTACTACGACCGTATAGTTCATAAAGAAGCTTGAGCATCATATTTGGGAGATTGACAAGAACCTGCTGGGTTAGAAAACTACTCCTCAGCATGCATGGCGACTCCGACGTACAATGCACAAGTTGGTAGCACTCGTGGGGTGCCGTAGTAATTCGCCCTCTCAGATAGTGAGGGTTCAGACTGGAACAGACCCAGCTAGCGTTCAATGAGCTTCGTGTAATCAAGGCCATTCCTATCCGTTGGGTAGACACAAGGAACAAGAGGATCACAAGTTCAAGTACTGCATCAGCCTTTCCAGATAAAAAGTGATTGATTTGTTCCTATGAATGAATTTCAATTTAAAATATCGACCGAGTACATTGTTTAACCCTTCTGAGGCTTCGGGCCTCTCTTCGATTTCTTGCCACCAGAAATCCCTCCTTTGGCTCCCCCTTTACCCCCCTTGCCCTTTCCTGCAGGTGCCTTAGAACCTCCCTTCTTCCCAGCCTTGCCACTTCCTCGAGCTCTCTGATCTTTTTTCATCCTCCTATCAACTACCACTCGTCCTGCACCACCCTTCGATCCCACCCCCTTCTTGGCTACAACTATTTCTCGCTTTGGCTTCTTAGCCACGGCATTTGCCTTGTTGTACAACCTCTCCATCATCTTCTTCTTTGAGGTTGAGTTGATGTCTTCTTGGTCTGCAATGGCTGTGGCCTTCTGCCTCACTTGCTCCATCTTCTTCACCACTCTACGCTTCTTCCTGGCTTTGGCTTCTGCTACCTTCTTCACGGGCCTAGCATTGATGGCTTTGAATTGGGCTTTGAATGCTTCAATGTCCTCCTTGGTGACGGGCTTCTGAACCACAGAATGTTTTTTCTCGTCATCGGCAAACCATCGAGGTAAATTGTCATCGTCAAAGGTATACCGATTGTAAGCTTCGTCGAGGATGGATTCCCGACTCTTCTTCGTCAGCATTTTCTTGGCGTAGGCAAGAGTTTCAGCTTTCGCGTTGTCGTCGAGGTCTGAGTCGTCATCCGAAGAAGAATCACTAGAACCACTTGCTTCCACTGGAACCACCTCAAAGTCGTTATCCTTATCATCGTCTGCTGCCAGTCTGGGCTCATCATCTTCCTCGGCTACCCCATTTGTACTCTTCACAACCCCGTTAGTCTCCTCTCTCTTACGTTTCTTCTCGGTCGTACTCACGCCATTGTCATCTTCAGGCTCCTTGAAAGTACTGAAGATATCTTGACTGAACCACTGCTGGGATAGTTGCTCCTTGGATGGCTTCGCCTTTTCAACAAGGGGCACTAATAAAGGATTGCCATCCTCATCCTCCTCTGTGACCTTCCGACCTTTGCGAACCACAGTTTCTGGTTCCTCACCTTCCTGAGATTCAAGAAAAAAATTGTATTCGAAACTATCAATCGCCTTCCTTGTCTACATAACCCAGATATTACTTCCTTCAGTGGCAGAACTAGCACAATCTTCTATCCAGAAAATTTGGATCGCAACATGCGCTCAGACTTATGAACTTCAGTTCGTTAACAAGCCATTGTGGCTCCATCCTTCAATAACTAGACTTCAGATTTTGCAGTCAGCAAAGCAGCTTCATCGGGAGGTAGAAGGGGCACAAGGAAGAATGAAACGAACCTCCCACAAATCGGCGTCCTGATCATCATTATTTAGCCTGGCTCGCCTCCTTCGTTTAGAGCTCCCGTCTGTGTCCTTCACGTACCGTTCATAGGCTTGCTCTAGAGCCTTATCTAACTCAGCATCATACCTGGAGGTAGCCCAATAAGGAGACGAAGTTCGGAATCAGGTCAAAAATCGCCTTTAAGCAAGTCATCATTGACAAAAGAATGTAGTCTCTACGGCTGGGTGCCTACCTTGACCTCTCTTCCTCACTATCCAAATCACTATCATCTTCTTTGGAGGGGACGTTGTTGAGCATGTCCTCATCGTCACTCATGTATACATCTGAGTTGTCTTCGCCTGATGAGCCAGCACCTTCGACGCGAGCCAAATCCTTCTTGGCCTGAAATGACCAGCGGCTGAAGGTCAAATTCACGGACAAGCTTGAGGAACAGCCATGGTACGATCTTACCAAGATGTCGCCCACAAGTGGCTTAAAACATTCTAATATGACTGGATTGAATCTCAGAAGCCCCACTGATTGCACTGGAATGAGAGCACTACAGGAATAGGCGATAGGAAGATTCGGAAGTCGACTGAAAACATCAGCGGTTTAGTTTACCTTGATGACAGATAAGGCAAACAAATCCTCATCCCCGTACATATCCTTGTCCTCCATAACATCGACCTGCATGCCTGTGGCGGTACGAGCTTTCAACTGGCACCAATCAAAGCACACACAAACATAGTAAACAACAATTAGTGAGGTTCTCACCGACTGAATTCCGTCTGCTACATCGATCGGACAAACCGAATTCATCATTTTTTTAAACTATTCTACCCGTATAATGGTCCAGATAATCAAGCAAGTTGAAGAGGCAGCTCTACCGTTCAGGATGTGATGCTGATAACAGACCTTTGCTTTTTTCTTCGCAGCCAACTTTTTCGCTCTCTTCTTATTGGCTTCCATACGTTCTTTGAGCTCCTCCATCTCAGCCAGCAGCTTTTGGTCTTCATCCACTTTCGGTGCTGTATCCTCTTCCTCGGGTTTGGTTTTCTCTCCATCTTCGCCTTGCACTTTGATGGCATCACGGAGTTTCAAGCGCCACCTGATTTTCAGATGAACACAACACTCTAAGTACGTGCAGGGGATGTCGATCTGCATCAGCCTCTTCGACGGCTATTAGAAACAAGGGTTGAGTAAAGGTTTTAACTTACTTCAAAAGAAGCTTAAAGTCCTGCTTTCCAATAACACGAAGATCCTCACACAACGTTTTGACCTGCACGACAGGAGAAGCGACGAAGCGTTAGAATGATATCTAAACAGGTTTCTTAACCACTCTCAATACCTTGGAACATTGCAACATGGAGACTACTTATCTTTAACATTGTATGACTCAAACTCTCCTAATCATTAGCAATCGCTATTGAGTGCAAAGCTCTGCGGTTGACGCACATGTCATGTAAGATGTAAAGCTTTTAGGGCGTTTGATAATTGGCATCAGCGGAAAAACTTCAGCAACGACGTTCTATCGCGCCAGAGGTAGTGTGTGACAATTACGTTCGAAAGGATATCCAAAAGAAAAGCCGAAGGTAAATTTCTCACGATTTCTTCACTGATATTTTGAAGTTGGAGGGAAGTCTCAACAAACAATATGTGAGGACTTACATACCTCTTCTGTGGTGAGAGGATGTTCATTGATGGATTTGTCGTCTGGGCTTGTAAACGATATGGATGTGATGGTTCCCAACAGCTCCAAAGGCTTCTCGGTCCAAACAAAGTCATGAACAGGGACCTCCTTCCGCAAGGTTGTGACTCCCTCCTCGTAACTGCAGAACCACATTGGCTCAACGCATTCAGAAGCGCGTACAAGTGTCCCTCCTCAGAAGCAACGACAACGTGACCGAGTTACACTGGCACGAGTAGCTTTAAAAAGACAGCGGAGGTCGAACGATCGACCTTGAACGAAAAGAATAACAACAACGAAAGGACTCTCTGTATAAATGAGTCTGAAGTTATTTGTGAAGGCCAACACTCACCCCTCACGATGTCGCTTTTGCTTAGAAGCCCTCAGAACATCAATTACCTGAAATCAGAAGTCAAAACGACAATTCAATATCTGTACGGAAGTCCAGCAAATTTATCCGTTTCGGGCATCGTCCTTCCCTCGCGACATGAGACGGAATGTATGAAGAATCTACTAAGAGCATGCATATTCCCGTGGAGGGTTCCAGGGGGAACATATTCAATTAGAGAGCTCTTCGCAGCTATCTGACAAGCAAATAGAGTTTCTGCTTTCAATGAGCAGCATATTCCCGTGGTGGGTTCCAGGGAGAACATATATGACTAGAGAGCTCTTCACAGCTATCTGACGAGAAAATAAAGCTTCTGCCCAAAGTGAGCAGGAATCGTACCTTTGACGGCTCCTCCACTCCTTGGAACAAGTGACGATGATCCAAGAGACGTGGATCGATTTTGGCAGGAGCCTTATACTTCAAACCAACTACGTAAATTTCCGCAGAAGTTGCACGACTGGCAACTGGCTTGGTAACCTCCACCTTCTCAAAAAGCTGTCGTCACGAATCCAACCGAATGTAAGAATGTGAAGGTATTAGAGAAAGTGCTGCTCTGGGTCGACTACCCGACGCCTTTTCAATAAATGAGCTAATTGTAGAGATCAGTCGAATTATAGACTAAACTAATTCAGGGTTTAAGGTCTAAGAGTTGAGGTTTGGGGCCTGAGCGCCAAGTACCAGTTGTCGCTCAGGTAAGGTTTACTAGCAATGGAACAGAAACAGATCGAGCCGCCATACGGACGAGCAAAGACAATTTTCTAAGAAAGAGCATTTTTACAAGTTAAAAGAGCAACCAACCTGCTTGAAGGCATAGAGCAGAGCAGTGTAATCCTGAGAACGAAAGACCTGCAAAAGAAAATTGAACCTCGAATCAGTCAGCAGAGTAATACAGATCAGTCAATGCAATGATACCTTCGTCGTCGGTCGCTATCGAGACCATTTCTTCATACAAGTAATTCTGGCTCATCTTTGGACAGGAGAAATCGAAAACTTGCAGAAATAAATTTCATCAACCAAGGAAACAAATTCGCACCTTGCTGACAAAAGTTCCTCCGGGTGCCAGAAATTCTGTGGCAAGCTTCAACGAATCTAGAACCAGCGCCGACTGATACAGAGCAAAGTGAACCGAGAGTGAGTCACATGTGAAAGTACATGCAGAATTCCCACCAGCAGGCATCAGGTGACAGATTGGGTGTCTCATGAATCCTAGAAAAAGAAGAACCAGAGCTCGATAAACTTTCGATTTACTTTAATTACATAATTCGTTTCCATTCTCAAGGTAAGAGAGGAGTCAGCGGCAAGAGTAGAATTCCAAACCTGCGAAGTTGCTTCACTGGTCCAGGCTCCTCCCACATTGGGCGAACCATCGTGAAGCACGACCTGAATGACATTGTGCCCCTGCTCTTTGAGCAGCTTTTTGATGGCAGCTCTGCACTGCGAGGTGGTAATATCCTGCACAAGGGTATGGGCACCTCGAATTGCCCTGATGGGCACCAAATCCACTCCCACAATCAAACTCCCCACGGGCATATGCTTCGCAGCCACCTGCATCCATCCTCCAGGCGCAGCACACAAATCCAGCACCGAATTCGCACTGGACAGAAAATGATACTTGCGATCGAGCTGCACGAGCTTGAACGCCGCTCGCGACCTGAATCCCTGCTCTTTGGCCAAATAATAAAACCGATCCAACCTTCCCTTTCCCGTCGTCTTCGTCTTATGCTTCCCCATCGTGCCCGACCTCCTCCAACCCTTCAAAACCAAATTCCTCCTCCCCTTCCACCTTCCTTCGCCTCTTCCACCCGCACCACTCCAATCTCCTAATCCCTTCTTCCAATCCTTCAACCTTCAACCTGCCTGCCTCCCTGCCTGCCCGAATCCCAAACCTCCCTAAAACCTTGCACCCGTTCCCAAATCCCTCAGCACCTCCTTCGTTTCTTCTTGCAACAATCTCTACCGACGACGACGAGAGGAAAGGAGAAGGAGCAGGAGGAGGAGGAGGAGGAGGCGGCCGCATGGACGACCACAAAGCCCTTCTTCGTTAAACCCCCAAAACCCCTTCCTCCATCGCTCTCCCTTTCCTCGTCCTCCTCTACCGCCCGGAAACCCCCACGAGCCCTGCTTCCGGCCCTCGGACCCCTGCGCCCTCCCGGGGAATCGGAGAACCCTAACGCCGGGGGTTCAGGGACGAGGACCAACGTGGTGGGGCCCGGGGCTAAGGTGGACCCCACCTCCCAAGCACTCAGTGCCCCACCCCCCCCACGGCAGAGCTGTCAGTGCTTCAGCGCCAAGTAAGCCGGCAAACAAGCTTACTGTCCGACTATTAGTACCCCCCCCCGCAACACCTGGGAAACCAGGGGCGGCGGAAGGGGGAGGGGGAGGGCGGGGGGTTAAGGCGATGGGGAGCGATCCGGCTCGAGGAGGTGGAGGAATTGAGTGGCGCGCGTGGGAGAGATTGAGAAGAATCGCAACGAATTTCTGTTGCGATTTTCAGACGAGAGAGGCGGATTTGGTCGTCAATTGAGGAAGAGGAGGAGGAGGAGGGATTTGAAGTGATGCGCATGATGATGATGCAGCTTCGGGAGTTGGGATTGCATGGTGGTGGTGGTGGTGGCGGCTGTCGGGGGAATTTGGGGAGCCGGAGGTCGTCGTCGTCGTCGTCGTCTGTGGTGGCGATGGGGGAGTGTGCGGCGCTGGGGTCGGGGCGAGATGTGACATTGCTCGACGCAAGCTCGTCGGCGGATCGCTCCTCTTCCGGCTCGGCCGCAGCTCGAAGCTCTGTGGCCACCAGTCGATTCTCGGCGGCAGTCGATCGTTGCCGTTGTTGCGACTGGAGCCTCGGATTCGACGGATCGACAGAAATGTAGCGGCGGATGAGTGCCTGATGACTGCCAGAATCGATTGCTTCAATCGATTCCACCGATCTGCGGTTAGAGACGACGACGAGGAAGAAATCGGTGCCCCCGATTGATGCCCTCCACGGGCTCGTCGTGATGTGAGCTCTCCCCACTCCGGCCGCGAAGAATCGCCCCTGACGATTTGTGGCACTGCGAATTGCGAATCGATCCGAAAGCGGCAGCGATCGGATTACGAGGCTATGGAGTGAATGCGGTCGAGTCTGCAGGGTCGGGGCTGCGCCGGACGAGGGTTCGGGAGCTGATGGTGGCAATGGGTCGAGGGGAGGGGAGGGCGGCGCTTGCGATCTTTCTTTCTTCCGACCTTGGAGTCGAGCGGGGCGGAGGGCGGATGGAGAGCGAGAGCGAGGCGAGCAGCTCGCAATGTGCGGGAATTGCTGCAGCGTGCGGGGAGCCGATGTCGTGGCAGGACGGAGATTCAGTGCCCCACGGATTCCTGCGGTCGATGATCATCGCACTTCTCTCTCAGCCAGCGCCGACGTGCTTTCTTGACGACTGAATCGAAAGGCGCTCTGATCGACTGACGACTGAACTGAATCCATGTCTCGTCAGTCGCCTCTCGCTGCTGCTCAAATCAGGTACTTCTCGACCCAGAGCTTCTGTCAGACAATCAATCAATCAACCAGATGCAATCAATCAATCAGGTGCCAATGCTCGATTGTGATTTGCATTCTTCTTCTTCATAGCCCGGAACGAGTGAGTCCCAATTTAGACACATTCGTCATCTGATTCCTGCCCTAAGACTCTGTTCAGGTTCGCATCTCTTAAGGAGATGAATCCAGCACGAGGTTTCTCATCAGATCGTCGGATCTGATTCCAGGCATCTCTCTCGTCCCTAGAGCACACACATAAGAGCAGTGCAGGAGGGCTTCCACATCCTCGAGGTACTGATTTTGGTCCATTGTCAGCGTTTTCAGTAATGTCGTAGAGTCTCTGAAGCCCATTCCGTCTTTGAAGAGTCGAGCCCTCTGAAGGTCCAGCTGATATGAGCTTTCTTTGCTTTGGACTCTCCTCAAGATTAGAATTACTACACATGAGCGAGGATATGGAGGTCTGGAGGAAAATGTCGTTGACTGATTACGGTAGAAAAGACCATTACAAGTCTGGTTTGGCTGGCTGTTGGAATCAAGGGTGCCAAATTCATTCATGCTATGAAAGAATTATCGAGCTTGGGGCAGTGCATGTTCTCCGAAGAAGTTTGGATTTTGTATTGATGCTAGAGTTGCCATCAGCTTGCATTGATTGAAATTGATTGATCGGGCGTGTTCATGCATGCCCCACAAACACAGCAGTCAGGGGAAGCATCGACGTCCTATAGTATAACAGAAGAAAATCCCAGCGCCAGCAGCAGCGAATCTTAGGCCTGGGAAGATGGAGCCAACCCAAGCGTCGATCGGAAACTTTCCTGCGGACGTGACCTCCAAAGAGCTGGCGGAGTTTTTGGAGATGAAAGTCGGGTACGTGCTCAAGTGCAGGGTGAAGAATGTGGCCGGCACCGAGGTCCCGCCCCATGCATTCGTCCACTTCGAGTCGGCAGCCGTGGCGAATGAAGCTTGCAAAAGAGCAAGTCGGAAGCGTCTGGTATTCAGGGGGTTGCCTCTGATCGCCCAAATGGAAGACAGATTGGGCAGGAGAGGATTCAATCCTCTGAAGAACCCAGCGAACATCCACCTGGTGAACGTGAAGCTAGGCATGGGTTCTCTCGTGAAACCGAGGCTCATGCTCGTCAGCTGGGAAGGACCTCCGCAAGGACTCACCTTGCGCATCGAGCCTGATGTTAAAAGAATGCGCTTCTTCTTCAGTGCGAATCTCGAACTCAATCGAGGTAAGAGTCAAGCATGCGATGTGATGCTGAATTTAGAGTTAGGACGGGTGAAAGTTGTAAGAGAGATCAAGTCCGAGGCTGCAGCTTCAGACTGTGATCTCGAGCTTCTGATCCAGCTCTGGTCACCGCCTTCCATCTTCTACCGCACAGCAGAGGATGATGTTTACGAGTACTGTCATGGTTCAGCTCAGCTCACAGACGACGAAGATCCATGGACACGCTCTGTGGATGTGATAACTCCGGCCAAAAGCGTAGGCAGATGTCTCGATTACCGAATCAGAGTGCGGGCCCGTCAGTGCACAGCCGTGAAGAAGGCACTGGCTTACTTTCAGAGCCTCGGACTCTTGGAGAAGCCTTGCTCACTGTCTGTTTCTGATGCGGAGCGCGAAGGTCCAAAGCCGAATCACTACTTTCTCAGTGTTCCAATTCAGAAGGGCTTCAGTATTCCTTTCAGTCTGATGTTCCTGGTGAACGGGCTAGTGCACCAGAATGTTGTGCACGAGACGGCACTGAGCCCTGAGTTCTTCCGCCTCTTGCAACCTGCAGTCACGCCCGAGCACGTCACAACTCATGCTCTTCGTCTCATGCTCACCTCGTCCCAAGGGAAGGTGTTCGATCCCACCAGGCAGCTGAAGGCCATCATCAATCGGGCACCGTCTGTGCTGCTCCGATCCATGGCCGGTTCCAATGTGCTGGTCCGTAGGCTGATCATCACCCCGACTAGAGTTCTCTGCCTGCCTCCTGAGATCGAATGCTCCAATCGAGTTCTGAGACAGTTCAGTGCAATCTCGGACCGGTTCATGCGAGTCACTTTTGTGGACGAGAATTTCGATAGCATTACCCCCTCGGACTTTTCTGTACAGACCGCCCCGATCGTGCGTACATTGACCAAGACGCAGGGGAGGCGATCAGCCCTCTTCTATAGAGTTAAAAGTTTCATGGCCCACGGATTTTCTCTGTGTGGGCGACAGTACATGTTCCTGGCTTTTTCAGCCAGCCAGCTGAGGGACAACTCTGCTTGGTTCTTTGCCGGGACTCCGAGATTGGGGGTCGATCATATCCGCGGCTGGATGGGCTCCTTCCCTCGAGGTAATGTCGCCAAGTTTGCGGCACGCATGGGCCTGTGTTTCTCCGCCACCTTCAGCACCGAGATAGTACCCAGGGAGCAGACTGTCACCATAGACGACGTGATGGCGAATGGCTACACATTTTCTGACGGATGTGGGAAAATCAGTCCCTCGTTTGCTCCCGAAGTTGCCCGCTTGTTGAACTTGGAGGAGCACCCTCCATGTGCCTACCAGATTCGCTATGGTGGCCACAAGGGCGTGCTCGGAGTGTGGCCCATAGAAGAAGGCCCCAAGTACAAGCTCGCACTCCGGGGCAGTATGAGGAAGTTCGACTCCCAGCATTGTCAATTGGAGATTGTGGCCTGGGCCAAGTTCATTCCGAGCTATTTGAATCGACAGATCATCACTCTGCTGTCGACCCTGAATGTACAGGACAGTGTGTTCATCAATCTGCAGGACACCATGGTCGACGATCTGAACCGCATGATAAATGACCGAGAACTGGCCTACTCTGTGCTCATGAACACGTGCCCCGGGGAGCTCTACAGCACCCCTTTGAGAATGCTGTGCGCAGGATTTCGGCCACAGGACGAGATGCACCTCAGATCGATGCTGGTTGCGACCAGGGCAGCCCAGATCGATCGACTGGTACAGAAGACCAACATCTTTGTCTCCGATGGCAGACTGCTCATGGGAGTTATGGACGAAACAGGCACTCTGGAATACGGTCAGTGCTTCATTCGGGCCTCCAGTCCACCAAGACTAGACATTCGAGGCATATATCGACAATCGAGCTCGGTAGTGACAGGGAGAATCATCATGACCAAGAACCCGTGCTTGCATCCGGGCGACATCCGGGTTCTGCAGGCTGTCGATGTGCCTGCCCTTCATCACATGGTGGACTGCCTGGTCTTTCCGCAGAAGGGGCCCAGGCCTCACTCCAACGAAGCCTCCGGCAGTGACTTGGATGGAGACGTCTACTTCGTCACCTGGGACCAAAGGCTCATCCCACCGAGTGGCGTGAGCAGCGAGCCCATGAATCACAAATGCTCACCCCAAACCATCGTCCAGAGCATCCCACAAGATGTTAGGATCCAGGTAAGCACGAGAACTCGTCTAACTCCAGCAATTCGGTAGATCCACGAGATCCTAAACCTGTTGCGTCACTGGTTCCTTCAGCTCACAGTTTCAAAGTGTAGAGGGAAGTGCCACGAGACGAAATTCTCTGGGCATTCCACATCCAGCTCAAGTTCAATGAATTCCTCGATTCGAGTGCTCAAACTCCATTGTTGCAGCGTTAGCATCGGATCAGCAAACCTCGTGTGGAAAGTGAATGTGAAGCCACTGATGTTTGTCTTATGTTACTCTCTTCTGTCTGGATGCAGGAAGTGATTGATTTCTTTGTGAAGTATATGCTGAACGACAAGCTGGGGAGGATCAGCAATGCGCAGGTGGTGCATGCGGACAGAAGCGATCTCGGGGCATTGGATGAGAAATGCTTGATTCTGGCCGAGCTGGCGGTCACAGCAGTGGACTATCCGAAGACCGGAAAGCCGGCAGAGATGCCTCCGGAGCTGGCCCCCAAAGAGTATCCTGATTTCCTGGGCAAGCCTGCTGCAGAAAGCTACAAATCGCAGAAGGTTCTCGGAATTTTGTACAGGAAGGTGGTGAACATTCTGCCGAAGCTCGATGCTGTGGACCCTCTGCTGCTGCGGGCCAGCACCGATCAGTCTCAGGCAATCCCCGATCCCAACTACGACACGGATCTCGAGATCAGTGGCTTCGAGGCTTATCTGGACGAGGCGTGGAGTTGCAAGCAGCATTACGATCAGAAGCTGCGGGTCATCATGAGCCAGTTCGGGATCTCCGATGAGGGCCAGGTTGCCACTGGCCGAGTGGTTCTAGGCCGCAGGCAGGGAGTAAGGGCGAACGACGTGAGAGACAAGCTCAAGCTGGAATATCTAGCACTCCAGAAAGAGTTTCGCACTGTGTTCCAGAACGACCCGTCTCTGAGTCACAAAGATCAGGATCAGGATCAGACTCCCGGTGAATTGGCCCTAATCCAGCGACGTCTTCTCGAGGCCAAAGCATCTGCCTGGTACCATGTAACATATCACCCCAAATGGTACCACAAGGCCAAACAATTGTTAATTGAAACCCTCGATGACACCCAACTCACCAAGAGGAGCAATCTGCTCAGCTTCCCTTGGGTCGCAGTGGAGCAGCTCGTGGCCATCAAGAGCCGGAGAATCAAGAGCCGGAGAGCCCGAGAGTAGGATGTAAATACTTACAGTAGTTGCCATGGGCTCCAAACAATGAAGCCCCTGGATTTTAAGCATTGAGTTCATGTACGAGAATTTTGCAGAGTGCTATACAATCCCGGAAAGCGTTGGGATCTGGAGAGAAGAGAAGTTACCTCGATTCGAGTCTGTCAAAAAAGTGGTCAGGAGCAGAATCAGAGCCATGCGGTACTTGTCGCTGTTGTCTTCCCAATCACGAAACGTGAAGGAAGAGGTTGTTTTTGTGTCTCGTGTGGGCCCTTTGCGCCCATGAAATTGAAGTTTGCGCGTTCTGGTAACACGGAGGGGTCTGTCATTGTCACGCGTCATGGTCACTTTTGCTGTGCACAGAGAGAGAGAACTTGTGCTCGAAGCTTACTTCGTAGGACTCACGACCTGCTAAACATAAAGCACTTGCTGATTACGTCACGATGCAATTGTGTCAATGCAAGCCGAGTGGGTACGGAGACTGCCCTCTTCCCTCTTGCACATCGTAGGCCGGAGACTCGATCGGACCTTGCGCTTTTCCTTCCTACCCCGATGGAGCAATCTCGTGGAGAATTGTGGAAAATTCCAAATTATCCACAATTCTCCACGAGATTTAGGGTTTAGTGTGGGATCGATGGGAATTATTAATTCCCTGTCAGCAAGCGAGTGGACGACGAAGTGCATGTCAGTCGAGGGAATTCAGTTTCTCGCACTTTTGCAGCCGACTCATTGCTAATTGGACCAAACGAAAATTTAATACATCGAATCCACGGAGTACGGAGCCACTGCTGGAACCAAAAGTCATGCATGCACCGATCTCTTGCACTCAGTATGACGAGCAGCTTCCGAGAAAAGTGGACACAGACGACAGACAGCACAATGATGTCGAGGTGTCGAGTACAGATGTGCAGGTCGAGGCTGAACTTCGGTGCTCTCGATGATGATCATCGTCCATGGTTGCCATCGATCAGTCGTCGTTCCTCGAGACGTACGAGCACGAGAAACAAATCGTTTCACGACGACTCAACGTCTCGCTGGAATTGTCGTGCCGGGCAGCGAAGACGCGTGCCTCAAGTACTCGCACCGCCCACCTCGCCTGCCCAGATCGATCGTGGAGATCGGCCACTGACGATCGAGTGATGTTGCCATCAGTCGGCCTCATGCCAATAATTGAGGTCCATTCGAACAGAAGTGACGGTTTCTCTCGATAATTTCAGTTTTCTATGGAATCTCAAGTATAATGCCATACATAGAATAGCTGAATATGCCTAGATTTTGGTTTTCTATTTTGGTTGACTCTATGTTTTTAATTATGTATGTACAGTCATGGTTATATCAGTGTGTACTCTAAATTAGTTCAGCTTAATCGCATAAAAAAGCTCATTTAGGCAGACAGGGAGGGGTGAGAGGTAGAGAGTTGAAGTCACTATCCCGCGAGGCTGAGAGAAAATTTAAATTATAAACTTTGGATAGCGACTTTAGCTATGAAACTGACGTGCTAACATGACGAGAGATCGTACGGCGTTATGAGATATTCAAATTGCAAACGTTTAGATTGTGGACAAGGAAGTCAAAAGAAGTGTAAACTTTGATTAAAGCTAGAGAGGGGCCGGGCTGCAGAATTGCAGACGAGTGGATTGTAAACAAGGAAAGCCAAAGAAGTGTCAACTTTCAATTACCTAACCGTTAGGCAGGACTTTGACGTCGGCGCCACTCGCGCGGCGAGTGTAATATAAACAATGTCACACAACGCATGCTACTGTGTTACGTTTCGTGATAGAAAATAAAATATCTATGTAAAGATTGAAGATAGCTTGCAGAAACACGGTATGCCTATCCATGCTATGCCATTATTAAACAATTGCAATTTACACTTTTTGGAGATCTCTCGAACTCCAATTTTGAATCAATTACATTCTAGATGTTCGGTTTAACTGCTAGAATGAACCTAAATTTAAAGAATTTAGAAACCTCGGTATACAGTAACCTGAATAACCATATTGAAATTATGTAATATAATCATATGGTATTAAATTATATATTGATGTAATGACAACACACACAAAAATGTAATAAGAATGTGATATATTTTTTAACATTTTATTTTGTAAGATTTATATTTTTAGAAAAAAATTATCATATAATTTTTCTATTATTATGTATATTTCATACCTTTTTTAATAGAGATTTTCATATGCATGTTTCTATAAAATCACAATTTAAATTAAGATTAATTTAAGGAAATTCAAATTTATGTAATACATGTATAATAAACCTATAACTTGACAGTAAATTTTGGAAATAAAAAAATGAATTCAAACAAATTTTCCTCCCATAAATCCAAAAATAAAATATTTAATTGTATGGAACACATCTTACACTAAATTGCTTGATTGGTTTTACCCGAAGTTTCGTTTTATCGGGTAGTTTCAGAAGTTTGCGACGTTACAACGTCGCAAACTTCTGAAAGATATTCTTTAGTGAACTTGGGGTATGGCAAATCTGAGAATGAGAACTGTGACAAACATTGTTATAAGTGCACAAACCTTTTGGCTTTTGAGATGTCGAAAATTACATTCGGTGAGCATCATAGGATCTGTGGAAGAAATTCCTATGGAGAGAAGCCCAGGACTTGTAAATTCAAATGTCCGATAATTTTACAAATTTTGGTGCAATGGGTAAATCTCGGACTAAGAAATGTCCAATAGCACTCAATGTAAATTTGAGAGACTCAATGAGGACGACGAGGATAAGCTAGCTGTCACAGTCCATTACCTGCACGTATGTTAATACTACAATATGCGTGAGGTGTACCTTCGGAGTGTCCCATCAAACTGAAAAACTTAAAGGGTCTCGATAAACAATTCCTTCCTGCCTGCACTTTCCATTCTATACTCCAATTTCAGAGAAGAAAAACCTTTTGCGTGGGCGAAATGTAACTGAAACTAAAAGAGGCCTATGTGGTCTAGACTTGTCACGAGCGTGTACAATCTGTCTGTATGTGAAGCATGCTCAGAGATCAGACATGCAAGAAAAGAATGACCTGATCACCCACAAATTGTCCCCGCGTGAGGTAGACGGCTCAGAGAGAGAGATGGACGGTTGCTAAACTAAACGAGCCCTCTCCTCGATCCGCAAGCCCCGTTCATTCGAAGAAAACTGAACTTTCCGTCGCAGTGTCACGACTGAAGTGCATGTGCTTGTTGGGCATGAGACTTGTAGCGCGGTGTTAAGCAATTCAGTTGCAGGTATAATTCAGGTGCAGATTCAGGTGTAAATAACTCTCCAAAATTGAGATCTTTATTTTGGAAAGCTTGGTTTAACAAGATATATCAATCTATTCCAGAAAATCCATTCGAAGGATTGCCAAGTAACCGGATGAGGAAACACGGAGGCTGCTATGCAGTAGGACCGACGGGACCAAGGTGGCAACGCTGGGCAGGCACGGTGGTCAAGGTCAACCGGAGCTTGCCGGTAATGTTTCTATAAAGAGGAAGAGTGTTCACCGTCGGACCGAGTCAATTTCATCGATCGGGAAACATCTCTGCATCGAAATCTCACACGCTTCTCGACCACTTGCGATCCGCTCGTGATTCCATGGATTCTCGGCCGTAGCAGATCATATCGACTGCCTTTTTCCCTCTGCTTTGCGGCTTTCGCTCGTGCGGACGTGGGGTCCCTTCTCGAAAGTAAGTACTGTACTGGCGGAGACACATTGAATACTGCATTCGGCTTCAAGATCGCAGATTCACTTTTTATGGAATCCGGATGTTCATTGTGACGTTGCTCTCAATTCGGAAGAGTGTGCTCTGGCTGCGTTGCCGTTTCGGTTCGAGATGATGAAGGAGGATGTTGTTAATGGGATTAGGCCAGACCTCATTAAAAGTGGCATTTTAGTAAAAAATGCCACCTTTGCCACAATTGAAATTTGGGCGGATGCCACAATTAAGTTTTTTTTGTCCGACTCTTTGGTAGCAATTGAATTTTACGGCAAAAACTTTCAAGGGTTCGCAAGCATTGCCTAAAGCTTACGGAGTGCTCGGCTCACAACGGATGAATGTTATTATCCCAAGCAAGCAATAGATCGCATTGCAGTCTGTAAGTGATTGGAAAGAAAATCCTTGTATTTGTGTTTGAGTCGATTGTGGGCAGATATCAAAATAATGCATTATCACTTGATGGATGTAATTTTCGAAAGAAAAAATACACCTTGAAAGTTTTCTAAACTCCTAATGTAAGAATATTTTGGTCGTGAAACCAAATTTTTCTCAAGTACTAGGATGGAAGACAGGTGATGTTACTCATTTTCAACTAAGGGTTTGAGGAGTACTACAATTTATGTCTAGTGGATTTTGGAATTTGGCACTATTCAGTTGAAGTCTAATATCCTCATGGTCAGTATCAAGAACCTTAAACTCATTTCTTTTCAAAGTACTAGCTCTCTGCGCTTTGGGTATACTCACGGTGAATAATCATGCGACTGGTTAATGGACTTCTCTAAATTCTTGTTAACTTTTGATGGCTATAGCTGTCCTTTCAATATAACATGAGGGAGAAACATAAATTAGCCACAACGTATAAACAACGCTGCCTGCATATCTCCTGACATAATTTCAATCTCTTATGGTTTCAAGACTGCCACAGAAGTTTTTCAATACAAATGCCACTTTAAAGAAATTTTGGGTGCCACAATTAGGTAAAAGGTGGCAAAATTGACAAATGCCACTTTTTTAATGAGGTCTGGATCAGGCCCTAATCCCTAAGGACAGTCTTTGAAAAGCCTGCCCTATTCTCGAATCCTCTACAGAACATCGGCGTTGATTGAAGAAGACGGATTGAATATGAAACTTCATTAGGGCGAATCGGGAGAGATTTTATTATTGGAGGATTTTTGGTCGATCAGTGGAGTATGCTTAGGATTACAGAATGCGCCTATGTGCGACTAGTTGATCAAAATTTTACTACCTCGACGCAAGATGAAGTACCGGACACAACATCGTGAAAAAGAGTGATCTTCGAGGAATTGGATTTGCTGGACGAGGGGTTGAACGCCATGGCGAGGATGGAATAAATGGTGGAAGAATTGTTGTTGTCTTACTGCACGCAGAGGAGAAGAAGCAAGGAAGCAAGAGTAAGAGAGAAATCAGGTTTCACTCGAGAAGAGTACAAACAATTGAAATGATTTTACGCCAAGCCTCGATGAATTGTCAAATGGTTGAAGCAGATATTGGATCGATCCAAATATTGGAGCAAAAAGGAAAAGAATTGATGGTTTGAAACGCAAAATAATCACACCGAATACAAACTCTCACACACACCGTACAAAGAGGTATTTGTTCCAACTTGTTGAGTTTATGTCCAACGTAACACAATAGTGTTTAGTGAAACCTCCTATTGTGTTACTTAGATATAATACCAGCTCTCTTATATATAGTGGAAAATTGACTTGTAAATACTAACCAAGGTTAGATGAACAAGAGTTAAATCCCAAGAAAAATCTATATATATGAATTAAGGCATTGAAGTTGTATGAAATCTTGTTGTCTCTCCATCCAAGACATGGAAAGCGTGAATAGCATGTGCTCTTCAACTACTGTACCTCTAATCTTCTCAAATCAAAATGTGGTTCATAACTGTATACAGTTAGCACCATTTAGTTTATTATTTTTAATACCATTCACAACGTAATTCATGTGATAATATGAATACATTGAAGACAATTCTCCCATCGAAGAAAATCGTAGACGCCCATATGTGTTGTCAGGTTGAAGTTGCTATGGCTCATGTTTTTATTTCTGATTGGACTTCAGAGACAATTGTCAAAACCATATAATGGAGTTGCGGACATTAATGTTACAACTGATATTTGTATTCGTGGTGTTGACGACCACTACTACCACTCATAAGTATTGGATAGTGGATACACGTCAAATTTGGAGATTTATTGCACGACTTTGATGGAGAAGATGCTAAACTTTTTCATGATGACTGTCGTACTGATGAATTTTATCGCTTTCTTATTCATTTCTACCGGTGTTGCGTACATCTAATATGGAAAGAATAATGATTTTGATGGTACACTGAGACGTGTATGTATGGTCTAGTGTTCGGAAAAAATTTGCAGAGTACTTGTAGTTGCAGACTTGTGATACATTTTAGAAGACGATAAATTAGTTACTTCATCTTTCCTCCCAGGTTTCATTCCATGAGTTTTGAATTGTTCTTTGGTGGAGGTGATGTGTCTTCACTTTGTATCTAGACTCCAATTTATAGAAGAGTATGCAGATGACCATTCCGATCGACACCAGTACTCCAAATATTGTCAGGCAAGTACACAAACTGCGAACAGAGATAAGCTTAATATCGACCCTGCTTGTTCTCCACATTCATACACAATATAACCTCAACTGCAGATGAAAACCAGACCTTTGGTTGTAGTGTGACCACATCACCTTCATATGTAAATGACGGACTTACAATTTTCTATGACTGAGCTAATTTATTGACTACAGAACAAAGACCTTCATATACAGCCAAACCAACCTCCTTCGTGTAGAATCGGTAGCTATGACCTCACCTCCAGTATGAGTGACAGTAACATCTCCAGGTTTGTGTAACATTGCTTTCGTGCAGATTTACCAGATCCTGTCACCAGACTGCTTATTTTCGCATGTCCACATAGATTGCGGCGAACAGGATAAGACACTTCCACTTGCGTTTGGAGACAAAGTACAATTCAATCTCGCATACATATTCGAAGTTCAGCAAACCATAATGGCGTTGAGTCCACTATTCACAGACCAGGTCTCCACAAGACCAAAAAGTCATCCCAAATTTATTTTGGGATGATATATAACCAACCAATACATTTCCTCCTTTTTGGACAACTCATTGGTCAAGTTGTTGAGGAATCTGATCCGCTCGTGATACCATTCAGTAGTGTGACAGTCGACTTCCCCAAAGACTCTCAACAGCCAAACTTCCCACTTTTGGACCGAGCCGCTCAGATGCTAGAGAGTCACGAAAATGAAATCAATCGACAGACTAAAGAGTACGTGAGTAGAAATCCGCAAGTTACCAACTGAACCAGACCACCGACAAAGCCAATGAGAGTTTACGCCGAGTCCGGCGCAATTGTCATTCCCAAAAGCAAGCACTTCAATGCAAAGGTGCACATGAGTGACATCAGGTACAATCAGTCTACCTCCATCTTAAGTGTCCACTCATCAAACACACGCACTCCCGAGTTCGTCCACGTCTTCGTTCTTATGATCATTTCCATCTATTACAACCCAAGTGATGACCAAGATCTAACAAGGTTTCATTATGACACGGAACCAAAGTTAACTATCTTCAAAACTATATAGGATTCAAAAAGCCCAACAGTTCACAGCTTCGTCTTCCATCGCATTTCTGGAAAGAATTCTAGCTCCACCCTTTCAGAACCAAGCAATCGCACATCACAAGCGGCTTAAGTCAAGTTCAGCGACGTTTCAGACATAAGTAGGAACCGCAAGGGGTGAAATTATCAGTGCGCAGCGATTGACAATATAGCTGGAGACGAGACGCATTCAGATGGTTGCCAAGGCCTTGGCTAGAGCAGAATCCCCAACCCTTGCCCGGAGGCAAACACTGTAACACAAAAACTCAATATGAGTTTCAAAGGTACAAAACTGACGGCCGGAAAACTGTCTCCAGGTATTCCAACGTTAGAGAATCCAACCAGCACACCTTCAATTCTGTACACACTTGAAATAGGCGGAGAAAATTTCGGTCAAAACCCTCCAATTCAGCGACAAAGCTGGAGGACAAATAGATGTACAGGAAGGGCCTATTTTACAGACCAGGTATCAAATCTAAAAAAATTCATTCTACGAGCTCTAGTTATCTAAATATGAGTAAACAGAGCAAGACAGCAGACTACATCTACCTCACGTGAGCGAATTACATACTACATTCAACTGGAGCTGCAAACTCCTAGTACTTTTCATCTCATTCTAAGCCAGAAATGATTAAAAATTTGTGTGGACTGATCTTCTAACAGTTTTCTAAGATGAAGCAATCCTGTCGAAGCAAAATATTCTCAGCTTACCATTGATGAAAAGCTTTGGTGTGCTTTTCCTGCTAACTGTGATTGTACAGGAACAGGGACTTTGTCCACTCGAGCACGTAAACCACTTTAAGTAGTAAAAGGTCATCGACCAACGTTTCATCAGCGAATTGCACGCATTTTAGATTTCACTCACAGTATTCGTAGATAGTCATCAGCGGACTATGTTCACATGCTCCAAAAAAGCCATCGTCTCGTTTTGCGAAGTCGCAGTGTTCGTGTAAAAGCGCGATGGCGGTGCCGTTTGCTCCAGATATATACACCCAACAGATATGCGAGGGAGCACATCGGTGACATGGCATGGTTTTTATCATACAGTCTCTACGGAACTAACTAGCTATTCAGATTGAAAAGGTCATTCAAGAACACGGACAATCCCAATGCAAGGGCCAGACGCAGAGTGAGGAACGCTGCGTAGAGTGCCAGGAGACCAATCCCAAAGCCTTTCGTGGGCTGCATTCTGCGTGATGGTAAAATGATGAAAGCCCAAACTAGTCCAGCAACCAAGAAGGCCAGGGTGAAGAAAATGCTCGGATCTTGGGGTATGACGAACTTATCAGGATAACTCTTCCAGCTTGCAAGCACAAGAGATAAGCCGATCCCCATCAGAGTGTTAAACATTGGTCCGGCATAGCAACCAGAAAACGCAATTTGGACACCATCGCCTCCGTGGACAACCAGAGCAAGATTAGACATGAGATCTCCGATAGAATTACCCCAGGCCAACACCGTCAGTCCCAGAATAGCAGCGTCGATCTCCAGGACCACTCCGAGGGCGACGAGGGCCCCCACAAGCTCGTTGGCGATGATGTAGAACCACACGATGCTCATGATGAATCCACCCAGGGCCCATGGAAACAAGTATCTCCTGGGAGGATGTTCTCTCACAGTGGTGAAAAAAGCTAGCCCACCCAGGACCAGACCGATTCCACCAGCCACGACATACTCTATCCAAGCACTGCCGAATGGTCCACTGTCCTTGCCGTCCCAAACCATAGCCAGTAGAGAAGGAGCAAGAGCAGCACTGGAAACGGCATAAAACTTTGACCAGCGCGCTTCTTCCACCAGTGGAGTCGTCAAGCGCCGTGGTAAAGTGAGTGGCCACTCGATGATATACGAGCACAGTCCTTGAGCGCTATACCACTTCACATCTCGAGCTACTTGAGCCTCGTGATTGCCCCACAGAGTCCGCTCTCCACCCGCGTCTGCCCTGTCCAGTTCCTCTTGAAGGTTGCTCGTCGTGGAGTAGATAGCAACGTGCGGTGCCCACGCCCACTGTGGCAAAGTCGTCTCCACTGCAGAGGAAAAACCCCTCCGGGTGTCAAACAACTCCGTATATGGGCCCCCAGGGCCACCAAATCCCGATTCATCATCACTCAGGGAGGAAGGTTGACCTTCAAACAGCAGGGCCAAACTGTCTGTTACTACCATGTCTACTATGAGCAACAATATCCTATCCTCAACACTCCTCTCTAAGTTGGTCACCCGTTCACATCTATACTAACTGACAGTTTCCGTAAAAGAAAAATCTTATCTCAGATGACTGGATTCAAGGTTCAAGCATCTTAAAGTGAAAACCATATGGATGGAGGGACCGAACAACTGAAGCCATGACCAACATTCACAAACAAAACGAACAAAACAGAATGGGTGCCGTGAATGTCAAGGAATGGGTACCTTGAAGAAGCGGCTGAAGAGGTTGCCAGTTACCAAGCGGTTGCCAGTTAGCAAGCTTGTGACGATGAGACTTGAGAAACTCCACAGCTGCAACAGTGACCGCATAAGCTCCGTAGATAGATATGTACCCAATGGCTCCCCAGAAATGGATCTCGCCATTGAACAAAATCGTGGTCAGCACGGCGAGAGTGAACAGGAAGAATCCAATGTCACGCAGAAAGCAACGCCGATCAAGGTGAACCGGAGCATTCGAAGCAGCCACCACCAGACTGGCGGATCCAGCGACCACAGAAGTCACAAATGTCGCTCCTCCCAGCACCGAGTTCAGCCCAACTTGGCCCTGTCCAGCTCCCACAAACGCGGCGATACTGGCAAACACATCAGGAGCTCCATTGCCCAAAGGCAAAAGGGTGACCCCCGCGACGGTGGGTGGCAAATGAAGAAGTGCCGAGAGCTTCTCTATGGAACAGCAGAAGAAATCCGCAGCTTGATTTCCCAGCATGTAAAATAGGATCACTAACCAGATGGCCAGGGCGATGTAAGCTGGCACCACGGCATCCTTAAACGTACAGAAGAAAAACTGAGTGTACTCAATTAGGGTTCCAGACTTGCACTGAGGTATGGACTTCACGTACGAGCAGGAATCAGGGTAGCCCAAATGCTCCCTCACATTCTCGCAAGGAGTGCGCTGAGGAGTAAGCTCCAGGTCCGACTCCGAAGCAACTCCAATACTTTCATTTCGACTAGATATTTGTGCAACCTGTCCCCCATTGACTGAAACGGAAGACGATGCTTCTGTAGAGCCGACCTCTACACCATTATCGTCTCCACTTGTGGTGAGTAGATTCCTGAAATTTGTCAGCCGCTTCGACTGATCGTAACCTTGAAGCGCTTCAGCTCCGTCAACCCCCGCAGAATAACCCTTGGTAAGCAAACTGCGCCGCAGATGCCCAGGCCTCTCTTCGGCCGTGAAAGCTCCGGCTGGGCGATGGTCCTGGGGTCTAACGAGAACGAAGAATATAATGAAGGAGGCGAGAACAAACGCAGGACGAATTTTCCGGACCCAGAGATTCCTCATCTTCTGGTAAAATCTTACTCCGGCAACAGAAACCAGAACCAACACAACTATCTCCGTATACTAGACGAGACCTGACACTTCATAATTGACGAAGCAGTGTCTTCGTGCATTTTCCTCTCCACGACCTCCACCGCCACGACCACCACTCGAATTCGGAACGTGAAGCCGTGCGTCCACCGGACTACGCGACAACAGCGCACCTCCCTCGCGATATGATCGAGCTATGATCGGGGAATATATCAAACTACGGATCACACCAAACCATATACCAATCCTCCAAACGATTCGCACCGATTGGCGTCGAATCTCGCAAGCACACACACACACACACAACAACCGCAAGTACCGACCCTCCTCCCTCCCTCCCTTCCTCCGTCCGGTCGACGGTCCTCCTCCTGACAGAGCCACCTCCGCCCTTTGCCTCTTTCCCTGCCTGACCTCCTGAAGGACCAGCTCCACCACGGAGTCTGCACACGGCTCCTCGAATTATTTTATACTAGTAATAAGGTCACGATTGATGGTGACGAAACTCCTGCAGTCGGGCCAAAATACTCTCTGATGAGCCCGAATGAAACTCTCGGCACGCCAGCTTTCCGGTACATGGAACCCACCCTCACTTTTTGGCAGCAGAAAAGTGGAAACTCATCCTCTTGATTCCCACGTCACAGAGTCCACCACCTTTCCACGGTCGTCGTCCCCGAGCCCTCCACAGCTCGTCTTCCTCCCTCCCTCCCTCCCTCTCCTCCCCCGATGTTTTTTCCCCACCTTTGGCGACCCTCCGTCTCTTCCTGTCCTCCCTCGTCGCTAGCAAACCTGTCAGACAGCGGAGAGATCAGCGATACGTCTCGGGGACTACGGGCCTAGAAATGGAGCCGAGAGGCGAAGGCCGAAGGAAGGGATTCGGAACCGAATCGTTGAGTGGCTGGCCTAATAACTGACACTCGCTCGCTGCTGGCTCGCTCACTCACTCGCGCACTCTAACACTCTTGAAGCTTTTCCCAACTGCGCGCAGAAGAAAAGACCGAGAAAGTGCGGAGGCCGGATTATAAGCGCTCGAGGGAAGCAGGCGCAGGCGTTGACACCCGGCAGCGAGAGAGGGCGAGAGAGGACAAGAAGCCGAAAGCGACACCCGTCAAAGAGGGCGAGGGGCGACAGGCGACAAGGAGGAGCCGCAGCTCCCTCCGATCGAGCTCCTCCGCGTAAGCGCGAGCGAGCCCACAGCGTCCACACGCACGCACCGGGCATCAACAACACCACCGATCCAATCCCACCACCATCGCTCTGGCGCCCTCGCATTCGACGACGACCCCCATCGAGTGGAACCGGTTCTCCATGACCAATTCCAGCCTCCGCTCCGCGTTCTTAACCTCGCAGCACCGCGTCGTGTCGCTCTGGCCTCTCTCTCTCTCTGCTGCGCTTCTTGCCCTTGCCCTTCCGTCGCAGCGAGCGATGTCCTGCGCCTCTCACGCCCCGACTCGCCCCCATTGACCCTGCAGCCATCGACGCCCTCATCACCCCAAAAGCGCACTCACTTCCCAATTCCGCGGACCCGCGATCGCATTTCGTCAATTTCACTCCTCCGCATTAATTCCCACATTAATTCTTCCTTCACGTCCACGCCGATGCCGCCCGGAGATCGTCCCTGCCCTCAATCCCTCAATCCCTCAATCCCTCCGACCGATCTCGATTCAGTCAGTCGCTGGCCTCGACGCGAGCCCCCGGAATATTCCCGGCAGCCATCGCCAGCCTCCTCCTCTTCCCTCGCTTGTCCCTTTCCTCGGCTCGGCCGAACGGAAAGGGGCTGAGCCCCTCGTTGGCTCGAGCCGCGAATCTTCGGGGCGTGGGGCGGAAAGGGACGCTGAAACCGAGCGCATTCGAACTCCGGCCGAGCCGTTGACGTCTTGCCATTGGGCGAGGCCATCCACTAGCCAACCATCCATCCATCTATCGGGCCATCCATCAGCCATGCATGGTCGAATTTTAGGCTATCTATAACAGGGGCCCTAAATGTTTGGGGGTGGGCGGATTTACGTCGAGATGGGAATAAAATATTATTATTATCCGAGCGATGTCCAGCTCGGAGTTGCATGGCGCTCTTTGTTGGTGCTGCGGTCTTCTGCCGCTTCCACCTGGCGCGCCAGCAAGGGCGCACCTGGCGATGCCTGCGCGGCCCACTCGTCTACGTGTTCGCTGCCTACCTCCCCTTACCCTTCCCCGTCAGCGCGTCCAGAGCAACAGAGGCGCGGGACGATCCAGGTGACAAAGTGTGGAACTTGGAGACAAGACCTCTCCGACCCCGCGGACAAGAAGTGCCAAAACTTGATGGGGAAGCCCCCCTCCGGACCGACATGTCGGCAGACTTATGAGAGCCCGATATTGAGACTCCTCGTCGAGAACAGTCTGAGAAATTAATTATTAGGCGGAATAGAATCGAGAAACGGGGGATCATTGCATAATCTCATGCTTTTAGAAGCCCATCGGATGTATGAGCTACGAAAATATATAGAATGTAACTTGATGGTAAAGTCATAAAAGGACAAACGAAATTCCACTTCAGGTTAGTGTTTAAGGTCAATCATTGTACAACTATATAATTGTATCCATGCTTTGTGTACGATAGGTCTATTTATCCATCAAATATCCTCCATGCAAGAATGTCATAATATCACCTTGTGAAAGTCGATGAATACATGTTTTCCACGCTTGGCTTACAAAAAGATTAGTACTGATCTAGTGAAAGGATATTTTGACCTGGATATTCTTCCTTTCTTGAAAAAATAAACAGCTAGATCCACGGATTGAAATAATCTTTTGTGAGGTTTAAACCGTGAATTTCCCACTGTTGCCGGGGCCATCAGATGTTGAAGAATAAGAAAATTCAACTCATGTTTGGCAGGAATAACACTAGATATCGCCCTTTATGCTCGGAAAAATTATTCACCTAGGCTTTCCTGTATATATTTCGGCATGGCATGTTAAAAAAATTACGGCTGGAATGATTCATCATATGACAACGCTCTATCCATTCGAAGACTGAGCTTCGAGGAAAGGCCGAAGAGAAAGGCTCGACACTATCTTGGCCTCACGGAGGGCACTGTCCTCTCCAGGACTGACCAGTAAGCATCAAACCAAAACATGTGTAACAAACTTGTGTGCAGGAAACGAGCAACAAATTTTTTCAAGCCATGCAATGGATCCAGCACGAGCGTCTTTGCCTGCATGATCTCCAGAGCACTGCAATGGAGGTTTCATGGAAATGAGACAGGGTCTATGCCGTAATGTAGGAAATGTACCTGTAGATGCTTTGACCTTTCATTCTGGCCTCGCATTGTCCTTGTGAATAAAGACATGAACTGCACTTTGGAAACGAGCAACTCAATGTCAACTTTACATTCTGCTCTATTGTAGTAATCATATTCTCTTATTTAGGCATGGATGTTTGGTTTTCCTAAATAGCCTACCTAATTAATATATTCTTCATTGAACGACACTGCGTTCCCATAATGCGTAATCGAGCTCTAGAAATGTCGACACTTCGGCAACTGTACTACTTTGGTATGATGAACGGGACCTTTAAAATTGGGCCCAACTTAGGATATAAGGTGGTACCTCCACAGACTCACCAATTCTCTCCATTTTCTCTACGTGGGTTTGGGCTGGGCCACTTAATTAAGAATGAGGGAAAGAGGTCGCATCTTAGACTCACATAAATGAACACAAATGGCGAGCTTAGAGTCATGAAATGGCCCTTGAGTTTCGAGTGGGATCTTTGAATGAGTCACGTTTATAAACCGTAAGTGGTATAGTTTGTAGACTCGGGGCCAAAGGAGTCCCAAATATAGGGCTGGCTATTTTGGGCATTGTGCTATAGACATCGTGATTTGCTTACCTTTGTCCCTCTACTGTATTTCTCTCCTCCTTCAGTTGCTCTTTCCTCTTCACTCAAGCCGCTTGCACATCTTCCCAACCCATATCATTCTTGGGAGACCACATTTCAGTCAGTTGAGAAGGAAATGCGGGGCCAAGTGAATGAAAAGCTTAACGGGAGGTACTCATTTACTTGTAGGAATGAAAGGATATTGTGTCTTATAAAGATTATCGAACAATATTTTTTATATTGTTCGATTAATATGATAGCAGTAATTAATTTCTAAATTCATGTGAGCCCATTGTAAGATTTATAAGAGGTACATTCAATACATTTTGTGGGGTCATGAAGTTGAATATGCTCAAATATATATTTCTGTGGGCTCTAAGTATTGGAAGTCCACAGTCAAATTCCATGCGATCATGATGATGCTGAACTCAAAAAATAATAACATCTTGAAACATGAACTATGTTATTTATGTTGGACTCAATTATTTACATATATGCCTAAATTCATTTGTATGTGATCAGCATTGAGTGGTGTTCCATGATATAACGACTTTAAAAAAATTTACTACAAGTAATAGGTATGTATGAAAGAATCTAAATGTAATTACATGCATATAAAGCATTTAAATGACGTAACTTGGATTCACACATGCCATCAACAATCACTCAACGATTGCAAATATTTGTCACATTGCATAATACGCTGAAAATATAATTTCGTAGATAATATATATAATATAAATATTTATTATCATGAAAACTACAAAATTAATAAATAGAAAAATAGAAAACCAGATTAATCAAAATAATAAGATCAATAGTGTAATAATAAAATAAAATTTTAAAAGTTCCACCAATCTCAATATCTTCGAATTTAGATGATTTATAGTGATAAACTCAGATGTATGCATACAAATTACAAGATTTGATAAAATCAGAGAGTTAATGTAAATCAAAATAAATAAATTTCATAATAAATTGCTTGTATCACAGCAGTAAATATATATACAACATGTGAAATAATTAACTGATTTTCTATGTTATTGCTCATATTCGCGTAAAAAAAACATGACTAATGAACATTGATTAATCTATAATGTTGTTATAAAATTTCATTTCAAATAAATAAATATTTTTTCTTTTTTCCAATATCCAAAAAGCTTAACTATAAACACAAGTTTAAAGTCAATAAAATATCATGCCATAATAATGTTCGATTTATCTAAATTTCACTCATTGAAAGCTATAAAAATTTACAATAAATTTTGGTAAATAAAAAATGAATTTTTTTTTAATAATTAGATGGCGCAGTGCAGGTAAATTATTATTATTTATACATGTAATATAATGACACAATCACTAAATAATTCAGAAATATACAGATACAAATAATTTAATCAAGTAAATAATCATTATATCTAAATCATACGATAATTGATAGAAATTAAAATTTTAACATATTAAAAAAATTCGTACATAATAAATTTTTATTTATTTATCAAATTTTTTTATTTTAATATTTATGGAAAATGTTTCAAAATGGATGTGTATTTTATAAAAAATATATAAGGGAATTCAAAATTTCATTAATTTTTTATCCAGATATATTTATCATTATAATTTTTAAGGATAAATATTTATAGATTAGAGTTCACATATATTAGTGTAAATTTTACAGTTTAATTCTTAATAGAAGTTAAAAAATGATATGTAATGAATCTTTTGCTTAATAGTAAGAAAAATCGTAAGATTTTCAAATAATTCAAACCAATTAATAATATCACGGAACTCAAAAGGTTTTTCAAGAGAATTTTGGTAAGAAGCCTAAAAAATTATTTTATTCAAAGTGAATTGGATATTATATATTAAATCAAAGAATTGAATTATCTTAAATCACAAATATCATAATTAATCTTTCAGAATTATTTACCATAATGTTCAATTGGAAAGACATTTGAAATGGAGGTATGTAAAATATAAATGTTGAACATATTACAAACAAACAATTAAGTATAGTAATCAAGTAAAATGATCACAAGCTTTATTTAAAATGAAAAAATACTAATTTTTTTTATTAAACGGATGTTAAAATACATTAGCCAATATTATAAATATTCATCTATTCAATTGAATAAATACCAACCAATGCAAATGATACAATTTTTTTGTAAAGTTAAAGCTTCAAATTATATACCATAATTTCAAATCAAAGTTTTTTTTTCTATTATACAATAGATTATATTTAAATAAATTTTTCAATTGATATTAAGAAAATTAAATAGACATATAATTTCTTCAAATTCATTCATTATTCATAACAATATTTAATAACTTACATTGCCAATCATTTCTTGAATGTTAGAAAAAAATGATTTCAAAATTGTTGACATTATTGAATATCATCGAATTCAAAATCAACTCAAAACATATAATCATCATCATTATAAATATTATCTATCATTGCTATGGTTATGGATTGAATTGTGACAAGATAAGTAATAAACAAGACGGAGAAGTAAATGAACTTCTATGCCATTTGATTCAATTTTCTATAAACTTCAGATTTTAGTTTGTAATCTTTACAACACTACCGTGCTGAAAATAATAAATATAGTTTAATATATAAAATATAATTTTTTTTTCAATTTTCAATAAGGACTTATAGAGTCAAAATAAATTTCAAAAAGAAGAATTGTAAGTTTTAAGATAATTTTTTATAGTTTGTAAAATTTTTGTTAGAAAAAAATACTATTTGAAAAAAAATTTTATTTCAAAAAAAAAAAATTTCTTAACAATTTTTTAGGGTATACTTTAGATACTGTCAATATGTTAGTTTTGTTTGATGACAGTAATGGATAAATGAATCATCATCGAAAAGCTCCTGATTGTTTACGTGGCTGATTTGTGAAAAGTGGACGTCAGTATGATCGGTGGTGAACCTAGACATGAAAATAAAATGTATAGCTTCAATGAGTACTTACAAATATGTGTCAAAGAAATATTGAATGCAAATTCTGCTCGGAAGTAGGAAATAAAATTATCACCACAAGTTCACATTTGGCATCAGAATCTAGACTGCAGGGCCACAGTTGTGCTGACTGCTAGCACTTGTTCATTCTCCCCTAACTGCTAGCGTGGCCACTATTTAATAAATTATTTGGCTGCAAAGTGAACCGCCAACTGCCACCCACCAATGGTTGAGTTCCAAACCGCCCACTTCTCGACAGAATTTTTTAAAAAAAGTCGGGCAAGAAAACTTGGAACATCTCGAGTCTTCAGCGGGACCGTGAATTCCAGTTTGTTTATTTTCTGGGGTCCTCTCTTCAATTCAAGGGTCATGTAACACGTGAGTCTTTGGGGCAGCGGTCCTGAGTAGATGTCTATTGTTCACGTTGGGAAAGAATTTCATCTGACAGTCTTTCAGCACGCAGAGACGTTGAGGTCGAATTTTTGTCAGCGCAAGAAGAAGAGGCTGTTGCTTGCGGATCAGAAAATTACAGAAAATCATCGTTATTTATTTATTTGTATTCGTGGACTCGACCTGGAAAATGATTGTGTAGCTCATCTCCTGCCCGCCACACATCACGGGCAGATGTGAGGCGGGCACGTGGATGGCTTGTGCTGAGGTGGCAGCTTCTCATAAGAAGCAAAGCGCCACTAAAATTTAATTATTTAATAATAATTCTCAGAAGAAGATCTGGTGGGATGTCGAGAAACTGCACTGCTCTTGCTGCTTGCACTTTCCATTTGTCGTCTATGGCACAGCCTGAAGGTGCGACAAGCTTGCAACGTGAATCTACTTCTCCCGATCTGGAAGCAGGTTTGGAGCTCGAGGATTTTTGGATGTTCTCTGTGAATCTCGAACAGGCTCCTGATAACTACCAACTGCATGAACTCGTCCTCATCCACCAATCATGCAACTGTCTGCAACTTTGTATGCGCCAGGATGCAGACGAGGCCGACGTGATTTCTCCTTGCCACTTTCATCTGAACTCTCCTCATGATTTCTTAATGGATTTAAAGATGCCGGTGCATGCATCTGAGCTTCGACTGACTCGATCAGATGAGGATGATGAATGAGAGAGTTCTGCTTTACGTTAAGTAGATCAGCGATCTCTCGGCATTCGCTGTATTTAATTTACAGGACATCATGACATAATAATTAAAATGGGGGGAGAGAATGGGAGAGACTCTTACGGGAGTTGAAAAGGAGGAGGCTTCTTCTGATTTCTCATCTTTTCCTGCCAGTTTTATTCTTCTCATGAGGACCTTCGAACTTCATTTATAACGTGAAGAGGGCTCGTCGTCTCGGCCCAGAACACGCTTCCCTACCTTTGAATTTGACAGGTGACGTGATCAGGTGAAATCGAGTTGTGCAGTAGTTCTGATTCTTCATATATTCTGTAAAATCAAATAAAATTAGAAACAGCAGATAAAATAAACAGCGGGGATGGAATGCCACACATATCCAAAAAGGTTTTGCCCATATCCAAAAAGGTACTGAGAATGCCTGGGATAATATCAGTGATATGTAATGAATAGGATTTTACTTTGACTCAAGGGGAAAGTGACACTCACTCGCGGTACTAATAATAATGAAGAAGAAAAATACTAGCACTATATTTAAGGAGTTTTCTGGTAAGGTCAACATTGCATAAAGCTTGAAAAGGAAGAGTCTTCCTTTCTGAAATGTGTCCACAAAAGACAATAGAATGTCATTATGTTCTGTGAAGTAACAACAAGGTGAACTGAAAGTTCATTCGTAAAGTCAATGATTACCGATTAAATTCTTGTTCGGAATCAAATGGCATGTATATCATCTGATTCAAAGGAGAAGAGTAATCTATTGCCCCACTTTAATCAGAAAAGCCTAAAGACCATAACAGTTGCAACCTTGGGCTCACCATATTCTTTTGAGTGTATGAGAGGTTGTGAAATCACGGTCAATGATTGAGACATCACTAAAGTGAAGAGGACTCTTGCCAAAAATGTTCCAAGTTGACCGATGGTCAATAGGTAGTTGTGTGCAGTTGTACAATGATCTCATGTGCCGAGCATCTGTTTAATTCTGGTTTTAATAGTAGAAGGCGTTCGAAATATGGACAACCTTTGAGATTCCTTTTGTATGAATGTATGAGCATGCTTGACCATGAAGGTGCCAGTGTGGATATTCGGTTCAGTAGTTCTCATGCAAGAGCTAAGAGGAGTAATATCTTATGGTACGTATCAGAGCAGGATCTTGGATTCACTCTGGAAAAGTGAGCATCTAGTAATATAGCTAAAATATTACGTGATGAAACTTGGGTTCAATGTATGAAATTAGACTAATTTCGTATTAAAATTGAGAAATTAAAAGTGAGACTTTAAAATATCAGATTATATATATATATATATATATTCAAATAGCTCAATAAATATAGCTTTGGAAATGAATCATGATGAAATTTGGGTTCAATTTATTGAAAAAATAATAATTTCGTTTAAAAATTGAGGTCTTAGAAGTATCCAGTTAATTTAAGTGAAAAATAAAATTTTATTTCATTTTCCAAATATATTAATATATATTACTTTGGAGGTGAACATAAAACATAAAAATTATCTAAATAACATTGAGGTTCCTCCATTGAAAACTCTGGACCACTGTCGCGATAACACGCGCGAGTCCGTACCTCAATGTATGTAACGTTCGTACACGCTTCGAATCATCGGCCAGTGCAGGACACAAGGAGAAGTCTCCAACCACGTCGGACGAGTTACGTCGTAGGTCGAGCGTGGTGCCACAGCTACGCAGTGGATGCCGAGGTGGGTGGCCGCGGAGGACGAGGAAGAGTGAGGAGCAAGAAAGGCTGGAGCCATTGCCTCGTCCCACGCTCCGACACTCTCGTCGATTCTGCCGCAGCTCACTTTGCGCGACGATTTAAGCTCGTGCTCGTGATTCTTTCAGGTTTTCGTGGACGCTTGTAAGTGCACTTTCTTCTCTCCTCTCCTCTCCTCTTCTTTTCTCTTCGCTTGTGTCTTCGCCACGAACAGCTCGGGATTGGCTCTGCTAGTGGCTCGAGTGGAATTCAGCTCTTTCCTTGATTAGCAGCAAAGCAAATGAATTTTCAATTGACTGCAGCTCCGCATTGTTTGAGGTGAATTGCTCGATTGGATCTTGCAATTGAACATTCATTTGCCTTGCGTGAAATTGAGTTTGCTCTCCAGAAGAGTTTCGAAGAATCTTCCGAGTTCGGCCCTGGAATTCTCTTTCTGTCCGTGAACCTGAATTTGCCATCTCCTATGTTGCAGATTTTTTCAATGAAGCCATTTTAAGTTATATATGCCTTTACTTCTGCCTTAGCTGGTACTCTTCAGTCTTGTGGTGTCGAGTTGGATACAGCTCTGGCTTAATTCTTCCTCAACAAGGGCGGGCTAGCAAAATTCTAGCTGAGGCTATTGTCTGTAATTAGGTCATATGCCTTAATCCCGACGAATGAATTATCATCGTTCGGAGAATCTCTGGTTCGTAACAGTTTGTTGAAGGACTGGAATCAAGGATTTTTTCGATTCGTAGCAGGTTTTTCACAGATGAATTTCGTATTTTCAAAAAATATGGAGACACCACTTTTTGGCTTCAAACTTCACTCCCTGAATTGACTTGAGTAGGGGTTGGCACGTTGTGTAATTTTTTTTCATTTCCTTTTGAATTGGCGTGGGACACAACTGTTCACAAACGGGTCACAACTGTTCAGGCACTGTAATGCGCTACTTTTGCTTCACAAATTTGGAACGTTCTTAGTGCTGCCTGAGTTATCTTCCGCGGTGATGGCCAAAGAAAGCGACGCAAGAGACAACAATCAAATATCAGAATTTTCTCATGCTTGAAAGAGGACGTGTTTTAAGAGAACTATTTGGGAAGATAAAAGACACAACACAACAGCAGAATTCAAATTTATTTTTCCGGAAATGTCCATGTTGACGACTGATTGTATCCGTTAGCAATGTAGCCACAGTGAAGATCGATAGATAAGTTGTATGGTTGTAAAAGTTTAGCTGTTCATAGGAAAAGTTTCTTGGTCGAAATAAGCGTCGTATCATAGCTGTTTGTTGTCTGTGTTGGCAGGAAAGAACTTTTCGAGGCACATGGTCAACATTCATCTTCTTAAGGGCCACTCTCTCCGGTCTATTCTATCGCTGAGCAAGATGGCATTTAGTCGGACGTCGAGAGAGATATGATGACACCCCTTGCGGTGTAAGTGATGAAAGGCTTAGGTGAGAAATTTTTCGTATTATTGAATCACTTCTGTGAAATGTGAACCTTCATAAAATGCAGAAGCTCTCTTACTTCGTTCTTTTTCTTATTATCAGACTGTGACGTACTTCGACAATGGAAGGAATTACCCACGTGAAACCGATTCAGTACCTGCAAACTTGGCGGCCATGGATGAGTGAGTTTTACTCTTGACCATTTTGATTCAACACAAATGATACATGTCTGCCGTTTGCCAAAGTGTACTCTCTTCAAGTACATGTTTGAAAACATACGTGTTCTCATTAGCCCAGTTCCGTCTCTAGGTCTTTATGGCACAAGAATACGGCCTGTGGCTCCTGTGGGCAGCCTGAGTAGAGGAGGTGTTCATGATCCCTCTCTTTTGCATCGTACTCTTCCCGACGAACTTCTGCACGAGGTAAGTAAGTCATGCGTTTGTAACACAACACACCCCGCAAGTATTTGATCAAAGACAAGTTTTGCACTTAATGCTAGTGGAGGCTGTAACTTCTCATCGAGGTTCATTTGCTCACAGTACTCTGATGACATGGCGGTCTTTATGACATTCATATCAGAAAGACCGACATAAGGTGGAAAAAACTTTTGAAAATAAAGAAAGTTATATTGTCTATACCCATAACATTTTCTGGTCTTTACTCTGCCGGTTTGCTCCTGTTTGTACTGCAGGTATTCAGCCGAGCTGCACCCTACGCTTTGGGAAGTGGTGCATGTGTTTGTCGCAAATGGCGGCTTGCTATACGCCATCCAGCTCTTTGGCGGGGAGCCTGTTTGAAAGCTTGGCAGGTATGTTTTCTGGGCACTTTTGAGTTCAGTGCTGCTTGACTCCTTATTCGTCTACCTTGAGTGAAGTGAGTTGTCAGAAACAGGATATGTGCTATTGGGATCATGTCTGACAACGCGTTCCAAATGAACAGATTTTTGGGGTACAAGAGAACGAACGAATCGTCAAGAAGTCCTACGGAGGTTCCTGGAGAAGGATGTGGATAGAACGTCCTAGGCTCCGATTTGATGGCAAGTAACAGCTAGTCGTAGTGATCTTGTCTATTTGAGTGAGGGCTACTCGAAACTGAAGCCGTTAGAGACCCTTCTGTAAATACATATGGCTTGCTGCAGACCATTTGCGACATCGGTTGGAGGTTGGAATCGATGTAGGCAATGTCCTGCATTGTTTGTAGAAGCATAAATCTATTCATGTGTTTGGATTGCCTGATTTCTAGTATCAACGTTGTGCACGCATATAGCACTCGTCGCAGAGACTTTTAGACGAGCTGGTAACTATTGCTAATATATGGATGGTTGCTGCAGGTATTTACGTGTCTCGAAATACTTACATCCGTGCAGGCATCACTGAGTATAAAATCACCAATCCCGAGCGTCTGGTAGGTCGATTCTCGTAAATGATTTTGTCGCAAAACTTTTTCAAATTGCACGTTGATGGCATGAAATATTTTACTGAGGCGATCTTGCTGATGTTGTTCAGATGTGCTGCTACTACAGATACATTCGGTTTTATTCATATGGAAAGTTTCTGTATAAGGTATGCATCTTTGGTGCACAAGTCGAAGGGGGAACACTCATTTGGTCGTGATTATTCAATGGTCTCTCCACATTTTTATTATGGTATATTCATCATTACTTATGAACTGACACCATGGGCGAGCAATTTGTAGCTGAAGAGAAATGAATTGTTGGGCTTTGGGTATTGACAATATCTCGGCACAATTGACTACGGTTTATAGTCAACAGGCATAGCTTGACTTGGACCAGAATAAGTCTCTTACAATCTTTTGACAAACCTTTGTTCCGGACAGACAACACCCATGACCCTCAAGGAGGTAGCGAGGTACTTCCAAGGTCGTCCATCTAAAGCAGACCCTGTCTTTGGCGGACGCTACACAATTGCAGGCAATCAGGTCTGTTTCATCCTGTTGGCAAAATTGAAATATACGACGTTTTTTCCCTTCCAAGTAAATAACAATTGAATCATTGTTTTGCTCTTTCTTCTGTTAACGAGTTCTCTCAGGATTTTTATTAAACAGCAACATTCTCTCATGTCATATTCGAATGGCACCATCCAGTGGAGGATCTCAGCAAAGAACTTGTTGAGTACTCCTGGAGTTTTGTATCTTTGCATGTCCTACATGCAGGATTCTTCTATGCTGTTAGCAAAACTTTTTATGAAATTCGGTCAGAATACTTGATTGAAATCTATCATGTGGCAGGTTGATGCTGCAATTCTGTACCCAGGAGAGAAACCTACGGTCTTGAGAATTCGCCTAAGGTCAGTATCGGACTACACTAAAAACACGCCACATTGTTAGATGTCAGTTGGTTTTGCCGATTCATGGAGTGAGGGCATGTGAATTTAGTGGCACCTCAAGTGTGGGTGATTCTGATTCTTGTCACGAACAGACTTCGAGGAAAATACCCTGGTGTCAACAATCTACTGGACCTTGAGTCATTGATCACAAGCGGAGTTGGTGAAAATGTACATATGGACGATGATGATGATGTCATGGATGAAGTTGAAGGGTGGGAAGAAGAGGAATCACATGATCCAGATATTCCAGCTGTAAGACATAAGAGGGGATGTGCAACTTTTGTCTTTGTGCCTTTTGAAGAGGTCAGTGTTCTGCGCTGTGTCCAAATGTTAACTCTCTGTGGTGCGCACTTCTCTCTTCAGCAGTCGATTCTGGTGTTTTATTTTGAGAGCACTTCAGCCTCATCCACTGATGTCTCGATCTCTCTTGTGCAGGTGGAAACATCAGTCTTGAACCTACCAGTAGACAGAATGGACTTTTATGTGCCTGGTTGATGTTGGCCGTACGCCATACTGTGTGAGGTATTTGGCTCTTTGCAACCAAGGGATGACTCAGCCACTGGTAGTTCGTAATTATTCTTGGTTGGATACATCTCGGAGATAGATTGAGGTTGTTGTGCTACATGTAAATTGAAGTAAGATTCGTAATAGGACGAGACTTCAACCAGATTCTGTTTTGGTCAAATATTTTCTGGCCGCTGGCCGAGAGCCAGTGTTGAACCGGTGTGTAAAGTGTCTTCAAGGCAATACATTTCAAAGTGTTGAAACACAAATTCACGAAGCCGAAACTGTTCCCCGTCTAAGCTTACTGTGGCCAAACTTGAATGTATCATGTCTGATTTTGCACATGTGAAGTACACAAATACACTTCCAGACTTCAACATACTGTTCTGGATAACAACTACGTGATGATTGCCGACAAGCATACTGTATGGTCATGACGACGTCCAGCTTTTCCATCTTGCATCCATCGACCATTGGTCTAATCACGCGAATCCACGAACAGCACATGACATCTAACCCTGTGACACGGGAAGGGCTGCCGTCATTAGCAAGCACCTTCAGTGTGCGTAGGATGTTTCCAGAAGTAAAGAATCATCAGCAGTCTTGCCAGGAGTGGCTTTGTACATGTTTCGCCTGTATCTACATGAGCTCAACTGCTGGAATGCAGCAATTTCTGTCAGAACAGTAGTTTACTGCGTTCCATTCGAATCCTTTGTAGACCGAGGGAGCCTGACGACTGCGAAGGAGCCAGTAAGTACGACCTCTTTAAGAAGATGAACCACGCTTTCCCTGTAACTTCTGTGAAGGTTCCATGCACAAGCAGCCCCGGATGCCCATACCCACAAAGGTTACCAGTCTGTTAAAGAGAGGAATCTCTATCTGTATTCAACCTGAAGGAATCAGTTGGTCAACCTTTTGCAGTCAGACCTACAGCAACACATCAAAATTGTGCACGAAGTGAGACTGGGCCCAGAGTCCTCCCGCGACTCCCTCCGAGACTTTGAGGCCGCCACCAGACCATGTTTTGGTCGGTTTCGAGGCCGAGTGGGCATGACGCAAGGTGACGCATCCACTGCTGGCAATGGAAGTGCGTGTATTTTGGTCTGCAGGTAGCTGCTTTCAGCTAACTTCCGCATTTCGAGCAACAAATCCACATCCACATGCGGTAAGCATCATCACAAGGACTCTCGCAAGTACAACGTGCCCGAACTTCCCTGGTCCTCCTTGGCGCATGCTCCCAGCTATTACTGCAAAGGTAGCTACGATGTGAATCGATGGTCATTAAAACTATTTGAACTGCTTTCCAGATTCTCGCCAAAAGCCTGAAGGTGATCCCTCGGGCATGCATGGACCGTAAGCTTCTTGCGCAGGTGCAAACCAAGTCGTATCACTTTCTGACCGAGATCCGAAAAGATGCAAATCTGTACGTCGTGTTGTCACAGATATATGTACTCCGGTGACTTGTGAGTATGGAAAGAGTTGGTGCCAAGAGTGCTCTTGCAGCAAAGGGAGGGAGGGCACAAATCTGCGATCAGGTGGCTTACAACTTGTTGGGTGTAGGGAACCTGAGCATGATGAAGAGAAAAGGTTGGGCAAGAGTGACGACATTCCAGTGCCGAACATTGACATCTTCAGGTGATTTTCTCGTCTCCCCGTTAAAGGCTACGATGACTTGGACCCTTGGCATCTGTTGTAACGCAGTCACATATGTTATAAGCCAGTTGTTTTCTCAAGACTCTGAGCAATGATGATGATACACGAGGGAGCAAAAAAGAAACAGCGTGTAAGAACATGCGGCTGTACAGTGGAGGATGCTATCTCCAGACTGTGAAGCAAGCAGCAAAGATCCCGATGATGAGAGTTGGTTTCGGAAGGAATCTCTGAGTTCTATCTCCATGTCCGTCCAACGTGCAAACCACTTCAACGCTGTAAGCTTTGACTTTCAAAACGGTCAAATGGCCTCGGAAGAACCACACACTAGTCTATAGCTGTGGTACCCAATGTACACAAGACATAGGTCAGAGAACAAGAGGGCGAAGAGAAGTATTAAGTACGAAGTCCATTGTTCCTGCACTCTCTCCTCTCTCAATCTCCTCACTCTCTCCTCTCTCTCTCTCTACAAGACGTTACACCCATCCAGATTAGTGCTTTCCAACCGCTGTACATATCGTAGTGCGTACTGTGTCAAAATTGGATAAACATGTTCCTCACTTTTGATGCTGAGAGATCCGGAAAAGATGAGTTCCAGCCTTACCAGCCGTCTTCTACTTTCACTCCTTGATAACCATCAGTTCCACCCAACCTACCTGCTAGATGTCTCATCCCTACAGTTATTGGAATCACTGTTTGTACGGCCCGTTCAGTTGATACTGTATTTTATGTTCCGCGTCTATTATAGCATTTGTTTCTGGACGCGTGAGGCAGTCAAGCGGAGACATGACATAACTACATCTGCACGTCTTAAGTTTTTATACATCCTGTAGACTCTCGCGCGCTTACTATGCTGGACAAAATATGAAGAAGTTGGTGTGAATTCTTCTGATGTGACAGAAAACTGAGTCATTGCCAGCAGAACAAATTTTCCAGGGAAATTTCACAAATGATCTTGGATTCTGAAGTTTTTGACTATACAATTTCTTACCGACTGAATCCTCACATTACTTACCAGGCAATAATTCAAATAATCCTGGACAAGTGCACCATTGCCGTGTTTATATCTTCTGACAACTTGCATAAATGATTAGCGAATACTGTAGATGGCTGAAAGCATTCTATTCCTCTCCAGACTTTATTGGGCTCACGATGACTTCCTCGCAACTCGTTACACGATCTGAGGGATGTTCAAACCACCATCCATAAGACAGGGCTACACGTTTCTGCCTGACTTTGCTGAGCTTTCTGCGCACTGGAACATCTGAAGGCAATCCTTGACATGTACAAAGTCGAGAACTGCAAAACGTCTTCATGAAATAAATACTAGTGAAGTTGATGGGGATCAATCGTAGAACATAGGCTTGATCAATTGTGTCAGTCTACTTGGCCGGTGCTGCTACACTGGCTGCAGCTAGTGCAGCTTCCGCTGGTTCCAGAAATACGTACCTGTATCATAAGTGAATAAACATCATGTTTATGATCGGAACTACTGCTCTCTCGGCCTATTATCAACAGACACTGTTTTCAAGTCAGCTAGTGTCATACTTCAGGCTGTTATATCACAGAGGCATAGAATTTTTGTTGTTGACTTGCCATTTCAGTTTACCTGTAGAGGGCAGAGGCAAGCGTTGCACCAAAGCCTGGTGCTGCCCAATATAGCAAGTGTTGAGTACCAAATGCGCCTGACACAATAGCAGGCCCGAAACTTCTTGCCGGGTTCATGGATGCACCTGTAAACGGAACCCCTACGAGATGATCCACCACAACTGCAAACCCAATGGGTATTGGTGCGATCACACCTGTTGTGTGGGAAGGGTTTCAGTGAGCAAGCCAACCATATATATGGGGAGGTTTACAAGTATCACCGGCAGAAAATTCGTCATCTTCACTCCGTAACCTTGAAGTATCACTACATCATGAAATATCTCATGAACTGCAACTTCTTAATTCGCTTCGTTGACTGCGTTGAATTATGATGTCGTTTGTTTTATAAACTTTTGCGGTCCAACCGAAACCTTCACTGGTTCGAGAAGATGCTGAAATGTTGAATCTCAAATTCGGCATTCTTAAGAACCATTGTTAAGAACGAAAGCACGACTGCTAATTAGAGTCCTTGACGCTCCAAAACAGAAGGCAGAAAATTGTACGTGAAATTCAAAGAATGATGAGCCGATTGGGAAAAAGTTCCACGATTTTTACAGCATGATTCAATTAGAATTCAACAAGATACATGACAGTCGGATAAAACGCAGCTATGTAGCTCAGTCAAACACATGTGAAGGCAACTTATGACTGAGTCCCTCCCAAGGAGAGAAGTATATACCAGGTCCCCTTCGGTCAACGGCAACACCAAATATGACGAATATGAGAACAAATGTCAAGATAAGCTCCATAAGAAAGGCTTGACTGCCGTATATGAGAGGGTTGACATCGTGTGATCCAAGCGTTCCTCTCATACTTTCTGGTGTGCACCATTTCAAAAACAATGCTCCAAAGATTCCTCCAAATATCTGTGCGTCCGTCCGTCCCCGAGTGTGGAGCGGAGAATCAGATACCGACACTCGAGAAAGCTTAGAGTTTAGAGCTTAGAGCTTAGAGCTTAGAAAAGCAATGAACCTGTTCGTATTTTCCAAAAAAGACAAAAACTAGGAGCTCTTCTCAGAGAACGAAACACGATGCCGTTTACTAAATTACAGGATAAGAAACTTCGTGACAGATCTAACTAACACACGCAATAACATACATCCTGGTAAATTTAGTAAAACTTATAACTGGTTCCTAAGTTAAAGTCGCCGCTAGTACAAGAAGAATACACTATTTCTATGTATAGAGAATTTGGACCTGAGATCCAACGTAAAGACCAGCACGCAATAGACTCTCCTTTCCAGCCACAACAAATGCCAGGGTCACAGCGGGGTTCAAGTGACCACCCGAGATAGCTCCAGTCGCACCAGCCAGAAATGTAATTGCTAGCCCGTGTGCAAGGGCTATTGCTACAAGCCTTGCTGCCGTCATCTTCGAATCTAAAATCCCTGTTTGAAGAATATGCTGTGTTCAGATGCTGCCAGTTCGAGCTCTAGTGCAAGCTGTCATAGATGCTTTGATAGAGAATTCTTCTTTTCGCTTACACTTCCAAAGCCATCTTCGTTATCAGTTAGGGCAAAAGGAATTAACTCAACTAGGTATATCACTAAACTTACGACGGGCAGAAGCAAGTAGGGTATCTGATACAAGAACAAAACATAGCACTGAGAATTTGGACGAGAATACCCCGCAAGTCCACTACATCAAGTTCACTTGGTCTAGTCGATAGAGATATTAAGGACGAACCCTCTCAAATCTCGACAGCGAAGAATCACACCCTCAGAGACAATCAAGGAGGTTGGCATGCCTGTGGCAACAACAGAACCACACCCGAGAAACACGAACAATAATGTTCCAATAAACTCGGCCCCCGCAGCTCTCCACTGCTCTTTGGATCTCAAGGTCTTGGTCTCGCCCAGCTCAACCTACAAGCTCACGCAACATCCCGTCGAATATTGAAAATTGTATTTCTCTATCCTGTGAAACTATTATGTCTCGGAAAGATCAGAAAACGTTACAAGTGAATGATACCAAAGACGTCTCGGGACGTCAGAAACTCCAACAATACTTTCAAGGATAATTGAACCTCTTGAGATGGGAATCAAGGAGTCTGCTTAATCTGGTTGTTACGTAGCTTACGCACAAAGGAATCTGCTCATTCCTCGAAGAACACAAAATTCATATCTGCTGAAGGGGCACGAAAGACAAAACTACACCATTCGTGCTCAAACTTGGCCCCCCTGAGACTCGGAAATTAGAACTGAAACTTCCAATCTCGCAGACCTAAATCACGCTAGGACCAGAGGATGGATCTATCAGAGTCATGATTGATTCATCTTCTTGTCAAAGCGGGACCCGGTTCAGCAGGATATCCTCGGCACGCATGGCAGAATTGCTCACCTTCATGAAATTGAGCATGGTGACCATTTTCACCATGGTATGCAAAGCGGGGTTAACGGGAGCTCCAGGAGCGGCATGAAGCTCCGCATGCTCCCCATGGTAAGAGGAAACATGCGAAATCGGGTCGTTGAAATCAAGCTGCGCGTACGGCTCCTTGGCAGCAGCGGTGAATCTCTGAGGAGGCTCCTGCTGGAACCGTGGAGACTCCTGCCCTCCGCGCGAAGGGAAACTCGACCCGAACGGATCGAGTTGCTGCTTCCCTCGGGGGCCCCCGACGACGCCCGCATCATTGCCCCAGCCTCGCTTCTCGCCCTCTGGCCTGCCTGCTGCTCGTTGCTGCTGCTGGCCCCCATAAGGCTCGTCCGCCTGCTTCCCTCGCTGCTGCTGCTGCTGGTACTGGTCGCTCGGCTCCTCCACCTGCTGCTTGCCCCTCTGCCCGTAGAATTGCTCCGGCCGGCCCTTCTGCCCAGCGCCTCCCTGCTGCACCCGTGGATCCATTCCTCCACCTCGTCACACGCCAACGGAGCAGACCGACCGAGCGTCTGCGAATTCCGTCCCTTCCTCACTCCGTCGCCCACCGGAGCCTCTCAGGTCCATCGCCATCCTCTGATCCCGACCCCACCCTCGACCTCGGATCCCGTCACCGGGCTCGTGCAATCAGCGCGGCGACTGCGTGCGGACCACTCGCACTCGGTAGCAGAACATTCCGCGCACCTCGTTGAGCCCGCCGCGGTACCTGGGCCGTGTCCCGTAGCGCGAGGTCGTTGGAGGAGATCACAATGGGACGGAGCGAGCGAGCGTCGGGACAGGACAAACCCTCAGTCCAGACACGGGACGGGACAAGATTCGGTGGACTGCGCCATGAGCACAGCCCCAATCGGGACAGTACTTACTGCAGTCGGAGTCGTAGTGCTCGAGGAGGATAGGCACTCACTCACGTGCAACTCGACTGTGGCGCCGCGAAGGTAAGGATCGAAGGGGCATGGACAGCGACCGCGGTCCGTCCGATGGCGGGCGTCCGATGCGTGCGAATCACTCCGTAGGAATCTCCTCGCCCATCCCTCGCCCGCCACTTGCGAATATTCCCCACCTGCGCCAAAAGGCGATCGCTCGCGAGTCGTCGCTGCCGGCGTTCGCTAAAATCCACGATACCATCATCGCGAAGCCCTTCTCAAATCGCGACGCTGCGAGAGCCCTCGTGCCGCGAGCCTCTCCTCTCCTTCGCGATCGGGGGAATATTCCCAGAGAATCCTTGCGATAAGACTTTATCCAGCACCCCAAATCCGAGAAAAATCCAGTTTCACACCATCCAGGTTCGCGTCTCGGAGGGTGGGAGATCGGGACTCCACGTAGAGGGGATCGACAGACTGGGCTTGCATCCAAGTGATGGAGAAGTGATCCATCGACTCCTGAGACTGTGTACATGATTGGACTACATGGACGAGGCCTAATCTTCATCATTTGCGAGAGTTCAGCGGATTTGGGAACAAAACAAAAGGGCATCATTTTTTAATCATCGGCATTGGAGTGCATGCAGGGGAAATCCTCATCCGTTCCGCGCTCGCATGATGCCGGATGATGATGATGATGATGATCATTCAGCTCGGCCAAAGTCGGGCTCGTCCACTTTGTCGAAAAGACTGACACCCCGTCGCCCTCGCCCTCGAATATTTCCTCCTTTTCTGCAGTTACTCCGCTTTCCGGCGCGATGTTTCCTGCTTTTCGCGATTCCTTTCCTTTCCACGCCCGATTCCTTTTGTCGGGCATTCTTCGACGCGAAGATCAGCACGCTTTCGCCACTCCGCGCATTTCCGGCACCCGCATTCTCCTCCTCCTCCTCCGCTTGCGGCTCCGGCCTCGCAGTCAACCGCGACGACGACGATGGTGCCAGAGGTGGTGGTCGTTCCGGTCGTTCACCGGTGGGGCCGTCAGGGCTGACGAATCTCAGCCACAAATCCGCCGGTGGCCCCCGGGCGGAGAGACGCCTGCCGCTGGCTACGCATGTACGGCAACCGGTTCTGACCAGTCAGTCACCCGATTCCCTCCCGCCGGGACCCTCTGTACATCGTATAAATAGACACGTACGCAGCCGTACAGAATACGGAATGAGCGAAGGCTTCCGTGGGGAAAAAGTTCTTATCCGAGAGGGCACCACTTCGAGGGAGGGAAGACGAACGAACGAACGAACGCTCATCATCATCATTTGCGAATCATCGGAAATATCTTTAGCGGGGCTCTAAAGAAGGCCATGACTATTTCGGGAGGCTTTCCATTTCGGGCGAGGCGAGGCCGGGGGCCGACGAGTCCGATACGGCTCTTGTAGAGAAGAAGCTCTCCGAGAGGGCGCTTGTACATGTCAGCAAGTTGCAGTGCTGAGTTGGATCTCATAAATATCTCGCGGTGTCATACCTGGGGGCTACCAGCTTTGTCGGAGCCTGTCTACTTTCCCCGGCAGAGCTAGTCCTAGCGAGCAGCCGCTGCTGAGTTGTCCGGATTTCTACAGTCCTCTTGTACACCTGCATCCCCTTTGTGTGCCCCCTCCTCTGTACACGTCAGCAGCCCGACACGACAGCGCCTCTCGCTCCCAACGTCCTCCTCGTCCTCGTCCTCGTCCTCCTCGTGATCTGCTCGAGCGCGAGCGAGCCATTCGTCGAAGAAGACGCTCAGACTTCCATCGGCCATGAAGCAAATCGATAGGCCCTGAATCTCTCGCTCGCTCCTTCTATTTCGCCTCCTTCGCGTCGAGATTTGCCATCTCCATTAATCCACTAATCCATGAAACCTCATGATGGATGACGGACGAGAAAAGAAAAGCCTGCCTGAGAAAACCTAATTCGAGGAAGCTCACAGGAGGAGAACTCGGGTTTGATTAATGTCCGCTCGCGGCATCGAGGTGCATAATGCTCTGTAGCTAACCAATTTCCATTAAGGAGGTTGTCTCATGCGAAACCGATTCCAGGAGTGTACAGTCGCCATTGTCGCGGAAACAGTTGCGGCCAGTTTGAGCCCGGTCGCGAATCGGAGGCATATGCCAAAAATTCAGACAACCTAAAATAAGCGCCCGGTCGCTGAGATCGCAAGGAGCCGGTTTTATTGGAGGCGAGGCAGGCTGTCAGAGAGAGCAGATGGATTGTAAACAACCTTTGCGTCGATTGGGTGAAAATGTGGTCGACCATGCGAGCAAATGGATCACAGTGTCGTTCAAAAGAACACGAGCATGCTTGAGGTGTCAGACTATGCGCATCAGGCGTAGCAACGAATCTAGCTCAGATAGGGTAGCGCAAGAATCTAGCCCGGATAGGGAGCGCGCATGGCTCGAGAATCTTGCGCCATAGAATACAGTTAAATGACATGCTCAGCTTTTATAGCAAGCGATCTTGACTTGGAGAAGTAGATGACAAAGGTAATTCAGAAAATGATAATTCGATCATGACCACCATAGCCAAATTTTTAGCCTTGCAGCCTTACCGAAATCATTTCTTTATTCCCCAGCTCCACCACCCCTTTTAACAATTCCGCCCTCCTCCAGAAATCTTACCCAGCTCCCCTTCAGTAACCACACCGGCGCGAGGTGAAGCGAGCTTGTACCCAACCGAGTGTTACACAATGTCGTACTCTCTGTAAAGCGATCTTAATCCAGGTATCTCGATCCAAATTGCACGCCATGCCAATGGAAAAGAAGCTTTACGGCACGAGCCCTCTCCTTCCTCCGACCCCAACACCATCGTAATTCCATTCCCTCTGCCCATCGTCGACAGCCAATACACCCACACACACACACACACACACGCATCGGCCCTAATCGATCTTATCTGAGCTGGATTCGTTGATCTCGGCGCAATTTTTCGAGGGCAGTTCGAGCAGACACCTGCGATCGATCTGTGCTGGAGTCGAGGCTCATGGCAAGTTGCCAGGAGGAATCGCATAATGCGAGGCCCTCCGGCAGGTCGAAATTCTTTATAGTTGGTGAGCCTGTGCTCGCTCGGTAGGTCGCCTCCTTGGGGACTGCGATCCTCTGTTGGGTACAATAGTGGAGGGGGGAAGGGGTTGGGGGTGGGGTAAGAGGGGGTTGGGGGAAGGGAGGGGGTTGGGAGGGGCCTCTTAAATCTATGTATTAAACGGCCCCGCGCACAGTATTAGGCGTTTTATTCAAGAACTGCCACAACGGGAGCGCATGAGGAGCGGGGCCGAGGCGCCGACGCAGAGTATGATTGCCCCGAGAGGCCGGACGGACAACGTCCCAGTGACCTACCCGCGGGCACGAGCATGTTCACATGGGCAACCCACCGGCTGCTCACCGGCTCTGCCCACCGAGCGCACGAATCTTTTCCGGCATATTCCGGATCGACGCACAGCGGCGTCTTCCTCCCGCGCTCGAATCTCATCGGCCGGTTCCATTGGCTCGTCGAGCGCGCGTGCTGCGTTTAGAACTGACCTGAAGTAGCTGGAACAGTCAAGCGCCGTCCGTCCGTCTGGAGGATGGAGGATGGAGGACGGCGGGACGCCGGCTTGTCGCCCTTCTGGCTTGCTGCCGGGAAACGGCCAGCGGCGAGCGGCGAGTTTTACCACGTTGGTGGTTACCGCGTTGGAGGGACTGGGGCTGGGCTGGGCTTGGGCTTGGCTGGGGTTGGGGTTGGGGCTGGGGCTGCGTACGCGGTTGCTTGCAAGGGGTCGAGGACGGTCGGGGGAGGGGGGAAAACATTCTCTCGAGCGTCCGTGCACGTCATTCTCGTGAGGCCTAGACGGCGATGGAGGGCGATGGCGATGGCGAACGAAGGCTGGCGCAAATCCCGAAATCGGCAAATCTGCTATGCGACGACAGCCGCTTCCGCTGCTGGCCGACGAGCTCCGGCGAATGGCAGCCTTCGCTGAGTGAGTGAGCGAGCGAGCGAGTGCAGCGTAGCGTCGCGTAGCCTTCCTTCTCGTGGTATGACAAGCGGAAAGTCTCAAAAGCCGCAGATTTGTGTTCGGCACATGTCGAGAATATTTTCGCGAGCGAGCTGCGAGGCAATCGTCATCGAACCGATGATAGTCACGAACTCGAGTTCCGTCTGTCTCGTGATTTCCACATGCGAAAATCCATGACTCGGGTCATCACCTCGCATCTCCCAGGCATGCAAGATTCACTCCCTGAAGTGGTATCATCCGTGGACCCACTGCCGATGCCTCGCTACATCGCAACCCGATTTTACGTGTTTCGAAGCTTTAGATTATTCCCGAAGTCAACATTCGGGAACGAAACCTAGTGAATGTGTAGATAGTGTAGCCGACATGGCGTCTCCAAGCTATAGACTAATTGCTCCCCCCATAATAGAATGCCTCCTTAACGACCTAATTCTCCGTCGGCGACAATCATCATATTATTCCATTTGAGGACGTGAGTTTCTTGACACCAATCACTGCGCATTTGATTCCAAACTTGTCGCTGATGGCGCGGGCATTGTCAAGCTTTGCAGGCTGAGTAGCTTGAGGATAATTCTGCAGATTCAAGGTCCTAAGAAATCTTCCTGTGCTCCTGTCCTTTCCTCTAAGACGAGGTGGAAAGAGTCATCATAGAACATGTTGTCACAACTTGGTTCATACCAAATCTTTTCAGCTTCGCTTTTTCTAGTTGCCCAAAATATGTGCCGATGATTGTGGAGGATGTGATTCTACTACTTGAGTGTCTTGACGACTCGATGGTTTTATTAAAGGAAGCCGATGAGGTGTACTTGAGCATCTGGACAGAGAAATGACAGCATAATATTGTTCGAGTTTTGCAAGACAACTATGAAGTACGATATGAATTGATTTAACAAAACTTTCCTTTATGGATATCGAGAGATATCTGGCATATGATAAACAACTTCAAGCGACACCCTCGCATCTTCGTAAGCAATACATTCTCAATAAAATCCCATCGAGCTGTCTGGGATCTGCGGAACCTCTCGAAACACGCTTCTACCACTTTTGGGAACAACATCGGATACACAAAATCGCACTTCTCGTGTCAGGAATCGGGAGTGCAATCCCGAACGAGGTGCGAGCATTTTGTTAGCACTTGAAATCTTGAAAATCGGATGGAAGGAGGGTCGGGATCGGATACTCACGCCCAAACAAGCCGCGCACGCTGAGACAAAAGAAAGCTGCAGGATGGCAACGGGATTAGAGAGAGAGATAGAGAGGGACCTCGTCGCAGTTTACCGCGGCGTAGATCGTACGCCGGAAGAAGAGAGGGAAGAGAGGGAGGGCATCAAACAAGAGCGGCGAAAACATTGGGGCCTGACACAGGGACGCAATCAATTGAGTTTTCAATGATATGCGCATGCACCGTGAAAGAAACCGCAAATGCGCCGCGGGGTTTTCATCTAGATTCGATGCCAGAGGGTAAAGCGCAAGAGGCAGCAGAGGCCGCGAGGGCCAGGAGTGGAAAGTTTGATTCCCTCTCGGCGGATGATTTCATTTCTAATGATTTCCCGATTGATTGATGGACGGTTTCGGCAGCCGGGCGGGGGCTGCATCAATCACATCCAGTAGGATCTGACACGCGAGCAGAGAGGCCCAGGCCCAAGCCCAAGCCCAGGCCCAGGCGCAGGCCCAAGCCCAGAGCGCGACTCAGGCCGCGGGGGGAGCGCGTATGCGGGGGAGCGCTTACTGGAGCTCGTCAGTAAGAAGAAGCGCCGCGGTAAGTCCCAAGTGGGGGGTACGGGTACGGTACAGTAGATGTTGGTGGAGCTTATCCCAGTCCCCCAGAGGCACACGTAAGGACGAGGAGGAGGAGGGGAGAATCTTGCGACCGGCAGCGGGAGACCAGCTTAGCACCTTCTGCCCCCAGAGACCGGTCAAGGGGCCTTCGCCCGAGTGCTGCCAAAGAAGCTTAGCCCCGGTGCCGGCAACGTCGTCCGCCACACGGAATGGCACGGCCAGCCAATTATAGCAAAGCATTCGAGCTTGGGCTTGGGGCTGGGGCTGGGGCTGGAGCTAGCTCACGAACAACGGAAATCCGCTAGCAGGTGGCTGGACCGGATCGAGGCGGGGGCTAGCGTGGTCGGGGCTCGTTAAATTGCGGCTCTCGCCCGCTCGATGTGATGCGATGTGGGGCTGGCCGGGCGGGGCTTGACTGGACTGGACTGGACCGGACTGTCAGCAGCAGCAGCAGCGGGGACTAGAAGTGCGTGGGCTGTGCATTGTTATATGCGTCCGGAGGGCAAGCAGTCCTGTGTGGCTCATCGGCAGCAGCAGCAGCAGCAGCAGCACTCGAGACCTAATCCGCTTCCACTCACCTCTTCGTTGTTTGGGTTGGGTTTTTTGGGTTTTGGTGACTTAGAGAGAGAGGACGGCCTTTTCAGCTTTTGTTGTTGTTGTCTGTAAATCGCTCGGAAGAAGAAGAAGAAGTCGAAGAAGAAGGCGAAGCAGTCGAAGAGATTGAACGAGGGAGTGGAGTGGAGTGGAGTGAAGGAGGAGGAGGAGGAGGAGGAGGAGAAGGTGAACAATTGGAGAGAGGGCGAGGGTGCGCGCAATCATGGGGCAGTGTTACACCGCACAGCAGAAGCCGCGGGAGAGATGGATCAAGAAATCCGGCAAAGGCGGCCCTGCAGGTAGATACTCTCAGCGCGAGAGTTATGGCAATGGGTGCTTCGCGCTCGTGAGGGAGCAACGAGCTAGATTCTACATAATTCGGCGGTGCATCACCATGCTGCTGTGCTGGCACAAGTATGGCGGTTCGTGAGCGGCAGCGGCTAATCTCTCGGCTTATCTATCATCTCATCTACTCGGGCGAGGCTCTCGCGAAGCGAAGTTTTGTGCGGATCTCGCCCCGACATTTCAATGAAGCTATCCGCCGATCCAAGAGCAAAATCGTGGCTACGACTCGAGCTTTTGATTATCTTCTACATCACACTCTTCCTTGTAGGAAGCAGCGCTGCGACGGTGCAATACATCGAGAAGAGACGCCCAGGAACGGAAGGTCATGCTGTCGGTCGATCCCGATGGCCTCGATCTTCCGTGTCCTGCGCTTTCGTCCTCCCTACCCTGAGAACTTCGACAAGTCGTCTCAGAGGCATCGAATTGTGGTAAATACGCTCTTGTGAAATCCGTCATCGAGGAGAACGATTGCTTTCGAATTCACCTTGTGTATATGTGAGTGCTTCTAAACAGAGAGATCGAAAAACACGCATGCGCACCATCTCTGACAGTGGAATGCGCCTCCGGCAGCGCACCATTAGAGGTAGATTTTTGCGAAGTACAGGGGAATTGCCAATCAGATTACGAAAGTCAGGGAGTCTGTAAATAATGCAGTTTTTTTCACGACCATTTAGTCCTTTTGTATAAAGAAACGTGAGTTGTCCATTTCCGAACCGAATTTTGTCTTGTGTAATACGAGCCTCGCTCATTTCACCGATCCTTTTCTACACACCATTTTACATCTCTTGTATGCTCTCACTTGCTCCAGAATGTCTACCCTGAAGAGACTTTGTCGTAAATGGATCCGTTCTCCGAGCTGTCCAGGAAGCATGAGAGTCCACATTCTCCACTAGAAAGTCATGACTGCCTCGTACTGTCAATGTACCTCCTGGCCAGCGGAGTAAGTGAATGTGGACGGGCCAATTATTGCAATGCGAGCTGTTCGAGTTCTCAGCCGTACAGATATTCTCCCTATCCTATCTGTACCTCCTGGCAAATGGCGCCAAGCAGATTGACTGCAGACCATGACTGAAGGAGGCTTGAGCAGCAAGTCTCTGAGGATGGACTCGGCATGATGGTGCTTTCCATTGGATTCGTGCTCTTTCCGCCATACATGCAGACGGTTCCGAGCACGAAAGGAGCCCCGACGTTTCCGTGGCGTGTTGCGAGAGTAAAACAACATTACATTTTCCGCTCTCAGTACGTTCTGAGACCCTGTTCCGTTCTGTCCGCCACAAAATTCGTGTTCCTCATTCCTTTCCATTTCTACCGAGCACCTCAGAAACTCCTTATTTAGTCTTGGCCTCCACATCTTGGTTTGTTACTCCCAGAGCTGTTCAACCAGCAGCCATAGAAGCAGAGGGTGACTGTCAGTGGTACTGAACTGATGGCTGTCCTCATTGCCGAAATGGGTGTAGAGTTTTACTTCACTTACTGAAGGAGCCGACGGATGTATTGTTTCTGTTGCGGACAAATCCGCGATTCGTATGCACGTTTCTCGTGTGGATGGCAGCCTTCTGATTGATCTTAGCGAGGGTTTTATCCAGGACAATTTTACGTTTCGAGTGTGAAACCAGAAGCTGCGCTCTCGTGTGGTCCGTGGTTCAGGATTCTCATTTCCAGGGATACTGCCTGAAAAGTGGCAGAGAGTTGCTGGATGCAGCGGACGAGCATTGAGACTGCTTGCGATGTGAAAGCAGCGTTCAGGCCTTTTACCTGACTCTCCATTCCGTTAAGAATGCTCTTTATTCCGTTGAATGCTGGCACGCGGTTCAATTTCCCGCTGGGATCTAGCTCCGCTAGCTTACGTGAGGTGAAGCACATGTAGAGTGGGTGCTCTCACAGTTTAACGGTGCTAATTTGCATGCCAAGAGATTGGGTAATGATTGTTACCACCCCTACTCGGAGGCACATGCAAACCGCTCTGGTGGCGGTGAACATTCAGATCGTGTAACTTGTAATTACAGTCTGAACATTTTCTGAATTCAGGAGAATCATCATTTAGCATTGTGCTGCCTAGAAAGCGTAGGAGGCTGACAGTCGAAGTTCTACGTTTTACCACCAGACTCTTCTCAGAGCTATGAACTTCCAGAATTTTATATAGCGCGGATGGTAGCGCTGTGGTCCCGCAACAACGGGAAATCACACACACTCGGTGAGAACGGGCCCACGAGAGAATCATCTGTTGTCTGTGCTCTCTGAAGTTGAGCATCCTGCACTCTGTATACCGCTCAGTGCAGCTCTGCAGTCAGTCAACCTTCCATGTCTTCGAATATATAGCCCCGCCCGCGCTTTCCTTCATATTCGCACGTTCCATGTAATAAATCGCTGTAAAGACTAAAACCCCTGTCATTCCATCTACCGACACCATTGAAACTGTCAATGACCCCGTGTGCAGAATCGAAACTTCGTATCCATGAGTAAGTTTTCGTCCCCAACAAAAGGGACGGGTTTAGCTGCACAAACTTATACATAGCCCCTATATAGGGCCTTCATAGACCCACGCAGGTGTCATCCTGCAGTGACCCGTGACGGAAGTTCTTCTTTTCGCTGCGACTCTCCTCTTTTGGACCAAAGATGGAAGAATGTGCGGGCAGGCTAACCGGGCAGGTTTTTCATTGGCACTCAATTTTCCGGTGGAGCATCAAAGTGATTTCCGGCAGACGGATCTAACGATGGACTATAAGAACACTTTGCGGGGAGGGTCAGCGGACCATACATTCCGGCAACCATGTAGATGCACTCAACCGGATGAAATTCCAACAACCATGTAGAAGAGGGGCCGTCACTGTAGAGGCTGCAACATTGTATCTATTGCGTTGCAATGATCTACGCCGTAACAATGATTGCGGTCGTGTCTTGGAACGTTGCGGGAACTAAAAACTAAAACTGAATCGCAAGAGGGATAGCTCATATGGAATCCCTAGTGTTCAAATTGTAATTTTTGTAATCAAACTGTGATAACATATTGTATAGTACGGCCGTTTGTAAAAGTTTGTGCAACTAAACGAGTCGTGTGAAGAATACACAGTAAATAGTTCTATCTCGAACCCTTTTCTACCTGTATCTGTCAGATACCTGTATCTGAACACTAAAAGTTCAGAACAATTTGATTTGGAACTCTTCGATGTGCATTGAAACTTACAGTGTGATACCTCTAATAGGCACGTCCAATCTCGAAGTAGATTCACTTAAAGTTTTGTGTGACTATCAGACTGTTGTCTTTGTCACCTATGCCGACGTCTAGTGCACCTATAAGCTCTCAGATGGCTGTGTGACTTGCATAATTGGTAACATAGTCACATATTAGAGCATATAATCGTTTAACATATTTACAGCTGCAATTTCGAGATAGTTTGAGTTTTTGCTGGATGTAGATAGCTCAGGACCTGACTGATTATAATCGTCCATCTTGCATAGAAATGAGCATTTTGCAATGAGCAAAGTCAGATAACAGAAGCAAATATATGACATTTTGTGAGATGAATTATGAATCAATGTGACTAAAGGTCCAGACCAATGACAGCTTCAATAACTGGCAACTTCTGTCGGATGAGACAAGAATTGTCTTTGGAACTCGCCACCCTTTTGGCTATTACATACTTCTGTCGAATCAGTTCTCACTACTCTCCATACTTACTGTCCAAGGTCCAACTTAATTCACTTAAGCATGCAGTAAGTTCACATAACACACCTATGACCAGAAATCTTACAGCAGATGCTTCTGTTGACTTTATGTATGTCGTCGGATATACACAGGATTCTGTGATGTAGGGTTTAGTGTGATCCTACATTGAGTTCAAGAAAAAATCTTCAAATTCAAACAAAAGTACTGTATACGTCTTCCTGTTTTTGTCATGAGAGTTCTATAGGAATATAAACACACAGAAATAGGCGGGGGATATTGTTTGAACAAGAAATGACTTTTTATGGAGAAGGTAGTCCCGATTCCTTTTCTTTGTATCTCTTATCATTGAGCTAGATTTGTTGGGTATGTTTCTCTCCCTTTCATGTGACCCTATATTTTTGCTTTCGACCTGTGTGCCACCATGTAGATTGACTATCTCCTAACTTACAGCTTCCATGAACCGAACTGGTACTAAAAACCACGCTGACATCTCACAATACAAAAAGATTCAAAATTAGCCTCCAAGGCTTCAAATTCATAATTCAAATAAGTCTGAGACTGTAGAGAAATCCGAGTGTACAGAAAAGTTAATGTGTAGTGCACGATTTAGCTCTATTCCAATTTTTTTCCGATACAAAAACTCTAAAGCTGCGAACTGTCAACTGAAAGCAGAGTCAAACTTCCAGAAAGTGATGAGTGCGGCCTAAAGCCACTGCATACATGATTTGCAAAACTTTCGCTACAGCTCATCATCCTCAGTCGACTGAGGATGACTTCGTGGAATATAAACAGCATAATTTGAAGATGTTCTATCTCATTTGCAATTGCAAGGGTTGCATGAGGACTTGTCATCGCACTTGCATCCTTCGTTGGCACCATAAAAGCTGTATCAGAAAAAGCAAAATTATAATCAGATACTGATCTACCGTCCCAGAATCCAAGAACGGTGATTTTATGAATACGTTAAGGATAAACATATGTTAAGGATCCAGTTCAGACTGACATCAGCAGATTTCGAGTTCCAGAATGAAGCAACTACACTACCATGGTTACTGAAGCAAAAGCATAGCAGTCTGAAACACCGATTCAAAATACATATAATTATCCGCTTCCTCTTCGAAAGTAGGACAAGTACACCAACTACAAGGAAGAAATGAGGAGAAAAAACCCCATACCACTTCTTTCGAGCCACATTGGAGCCTATCTAGGTAGAGTGGGAAAAAAAACAGGTATGAAAATTGCCATTTAAGACTTTTGTAAGTGAAACTAACCAGTATCGAAGTCCACATACGACTTTCAACTCATCGCCATATGTTAGCACGTCGTGTCCTCTCACCAGGTGGCTTTCTCTTGACGCCTACATCCATGTTACCATCTGAAGAACGAGTTCTCCTATCTGTAATAACAGCAACCCAATCGCAGATATTATCATTTTGATACAACATATTTCAGTTAAAATTAAAGCTCAAAGAAAATGCTTGGGAACGATCTTACTTGCACGTTTCCCGCCGCGATCACGTTCTGGTCCTTTGCTAAGATCCTTAACAAGAGACATCGCTGTTGCAAACAATTCAACTTTATTCCACCACTTGTTGACAGCAACAGCCCATTTTACCGACCCTTTGTTTTCAAGTGTGCTGACACGGATCTTATATGAGGCGTCTGTCGTATTAAGTTCGTCTGCCGTATACTTCGCTCCCCACTCCAAGAGAAGATTTCGTTTTTTTGCATCCATTCTCTTGACTTCAACCTTCGCTCCCCACTTTTCAACTTCCTATGATATATGTACAGACATAAAAAATGGCTATATGGGCTCTACGGAAGCATACATCTCTTATTCATCAAGAGCTGACTTTGAAATCTCACCCTAAAAAAAATTAACAAGCACAATACTCTTAGATCATATCCAAACTGCAATATCTGTAATTGTAACATAAACATTACAAATTGGAAAATCTTTACGTCAGGAGTAAGAATGTCTGACCTTTGTCCGAGCTGTCTCTTCATCTTTGATGACACCCAGGTCTGCCATGCGC